ACACTGGACAAAAACAAATAATTTGATGGGATAGCGTAAGCGTAAGAATACAATATTGGTTCTCTAACATCTGAATAATAAATATCTATTAGTAAAAATGTTAAATATGTTAGATTCCTCTCTCTACGATAAAACATAAATAGAGGATGCAGCATTCTCTATACTCCAATGGATACAATCACTTTCGCTCTCTCTGCACCACTGGAAAATGTCATGGCAAAACTGAAGGTTCCATGTGCGACATCTTGTTTACAAGGCGGAAAGACTATTCTAATCCTTTGATGTACATTAAACGGAGCTTGGGGTCGCATACTGGTATATTGTAATGGTTTCGAAGTTGGGTGTAGCTCCTTTGTAATCTTCAAACGGAGCATATCGGCATGTTATTTGTGGTTATTGTTTTCTCCTGGAACCAATCATATCACTTCACTTTTGCCTGCAATTCTACGGAGTGTTGCCGCAATAGCAACAGTCAATCAAAATAAATCATGTTGGAGTCTATTAAGTTTTCAGATTTAACGAGTAACTTCCCTTACAAATGATATCTAATTTTCAATTTAATCGATAGTCGCTAACTAAGGAAGAAAGTAATTAATCATGGTTTGAAATTAATAATCGGTCAAACACTAGCAACTAGCCCCTTTATTGTCTTTTTTGACAAGTCATCACAAATGTGACGTCATAAATAAGCGCCTTTCAAGAGGCTCGTGACAAAGCAAAGCTGATGGGTTTCCTTGGTCGGATTTAATACTGCTCATTTTCAAAGCTGCAAACGCTCTTATTTAACTTTTTTTCCATTTTCGCGGAGAGAATGTAATGAAAACTGGTACATTATTACTAACAATCAGAGCTGACTTCCTGAAGAAGAAAACAATCCAAACCTCTTGAACGCTTTCATTTAGTACTGTTTTTTTTATTTAACTATTAAATGTCTTTTTGCTGTTCGTCATCAAAGTTTGGAAATACTTCTGCCACACGTGAAATGATCTTTGTAATGTTTTATATGTAATTGATACTGGTTGTTTAACTGAAGTGTGAAGAATGTTCTGTCTTACCTGTGAAGTTGAAACATTTTATATCACATAATCATTTTCATATTAAATTAATTATGCACCTGTAGCAGAGAGGTGAGTTTATTTCTAAGCAGTATTATATTTTTCATCATTCATCATTGTTTCGGGGTTTTAGTGCACATAAAATGTATTTTCCTCTATGTAAGAACATAGATTCAAAACGGCAGCTTTGCTAAGGAAAGCTTTATCTATTTCAAAGACAACACCCAGAAGAATAATAAAGAATGTGAATGTATGCTTAGCAATTGAAAACCATATGTTTACCATTTACAAAAAGACTAATCAAGCTTTAGTACATTACACTTCAATAATAAAAACTTTTTAAAAATTTTTCTGTTACTTAGACTTTATAGTACAATTATTTAAATGTTGCATCTTATACACGTCCCATACTTGTACTTAAAATATTAATGAAATTCCGTCACGTTTTTATCAGAAAATACTTTAAACGTTAAGAGGGATGTACTGTTGTCACATTTCTGGCTGTTTAGTCATGTGTTAACTCTATCTAATGACTTTGAAACTAATGTCAACATCATATCTTTCTTAAGGTCACATTTGACAGGCAAGATCGGTGGAAATGCATAATGATATATAAAAAAAACATTAAAAAATACTGTTTTATTTTAAAAACGGCCACAAAACACATGGTATCTGAGCGAATCTGCACTGGGCGATATAGTAGTGGGGAGTTATAGTTGAAATTTTGGGGCAAATAACTTGTAATTGGGCGATATGAATCAAATCTTGGACATAACGGTCGAAACGGTTTTTAAGTGAAATATCTATAAATCAGGAAAGGTAGACCAATGGATAAAGACTAGACATTTCAGTACAGTAATAGTGAAACACTGTTTGCTTAAACCTACCACGTAAAGCTTGGTACTTGTCTATCTGTCAATGCTACCTGTCAAAAATAAAACAATGGCAGAGCTTTTAAGTGAAAGCTTCAATACATGTAAGTGTGATTTTGGTTGTGGGTGGGGGCGGGGGGCTTGACACTGGACAAAAACAAATAATTTGATGGGATAGCGTAAGCGTAAGAATACAATATTGGTTCTCTAACATCTGAATAATAAATATCTATTAGTAAAAATGTTAAATATGTTAGATTCCTCTCTCTACGATAAAACATAAATAGAGGATGCAGCATTCTCTATACTCCAATGGATACAATCACTTTCGCTCTCTCTGCACCACTGGAAAATGTCATGGCAAAACTGAAGGTTCCATGTGCGACATCTTGTTTACAAGGCGGAAAGACTATTCTAATCCTTTGATGTACATTAAACGGAGCTTGGGGTCGCATACTGGTATATTGTAATGGTTTCGAAGTTGGGTGTAGCTCCTTTGTAATCTTCAAACGGAGCATATCGGCATGTTATTTGTGGTTATTGTTTTCTCCTGGAACCAATCATATCACTTCACTTTTGCCTGCAATTCTACGGAGTGTTGCCGCAATAGCAACAGTCAATCAAAATAAATCATGTTGGAGTCTATTAAGTTTTCAGATTTAACGAGTAACTTCCCTTACAAATGATATCTAATTTTCAATTTAATCGATAGTCGCTAACTAAGGAAGAAAGTAATTAATCATGGTTTGAAATTAATAATCGGTCAAACACTAGCAACTAGCCCCTTTATTGTCTTTTTTGACAAGTCATCACAAATGTGACGTCATAAATAAGCGCCTTTCAAGAGGCTCGTGACAAAGCAAAGCTGATGGGTTTCCTTGGTCGGATTTAATACTGCTCATTTTCAAAGCTGCAAACGCTCTTATTTAACTTTTTTTCCATTTTCGCGGAGAGAATGTAATGAAAACTGGTACATTATTACTAACAATCAGAGCTGACTTCCTGAAGAAGAAAACAATCCAAACCTCTTGAACGCTTTCATTTAGTACTGTTTTTTTTATTTAACTATTAAATGTCTTTTTGCTGTTCGTCATCAAAGTTTGGAAATACTTCTGCCACACGTGAAATGATCTTTGTAATGTTTTATATGTAATTGATACTGGTTGTTTAACTGAAGTGTGAAGAATGTTCTGTCTTACCTGTGAAGTTGAAACATTTTATATCACATAATCATTTTCATATTAAATTAATTATGCACCTGTAGCAGAGAGGTGAGTTTATTTCTAAGCAGTATTATATTTTTCATCATTCATCATTGTTTCGGGGTTTTAGTGCACATAAAATGTATTTTCCTCTATGTAAGAACATAGATTCAAAACGGCAGCTTTGCTAAGGAAAGCTTTATCTATTTCAAAGACAACACCCAGAAGAATAATAAAGAATGTGAATGTATGCTTAGCAATTGAAAACCATATGTTTACCATTTACAAAAAGACTAATCAAGCTTTAGTACATTACACTTCAATAATAAAAACTTTTTAAAAATTTTTCTGTTACTTAGACTTTATAGTACAATTATTTAAATGTTGCATCTTATACACGTCCCATACTTGTACTTAAAATATTAATGAAATTCCGTCACGTTTTTATCAGAAAATACTTTAAACGTTAAGAGGGATGTACTGTTGTCACATTTCTGGCTGTTTAGTCATGTGTTAACTCTATCTAATGACTTTGAAACTAATGTCAACATCATATCTTTCTTAAGGTCACATTTGACAGGCAAGATCGGTGGAAATGCATAATGATATATAAAAAAAAAACATTAAAAAATACTGTTTTATTTTAAAAACGGCCACAAAACACATGGATATCTGAGCGAATCTGCACTGGGCGATATAGTAGTGGGGAGTTATAGTTGAAATTTTGGGGCAAATAACTTGTAATTGGGCGATATGAATCAAATCTTGGACATAACGGTCGAAACGGTTTTTAAGTGAAATATCTATAAATCAGGAAAGGTAGACCAATGGATAAAGACTAGACATTTCAGTACAGTAATAGTGAAACACTGTTTGCTTAAACCTACCACGTAAAGCTTGGTACTTGTCTATCTGTCAATGCTACCTGTCAAAAATAAAACAATGGCAGAGCTTTTAAGTGAAAGCTTCAATACATGTAAGTGTGATTTTGGTTGTGGGTGGGGGCGGGGGGCTTGACACTGGACAAAAACAAATAATTTGATGGGATAGCGTAAGCGTAAGAATACAATATTGGTTCTCTAACATCTGAATAATAAATATCTATTAGTAAAAATGTTAAATATGTTAGATTCCTCTCTCTACGATAAAACATAAATAGAGGATGCAGCATTCTCTATACTCCAATGGATACAATCACTTTCGCTCTCTCTGCACCACTGGAAAATGTCATGGCAAAACTGAAGGTTCCATGTGCGACATCTTGTTTACAAGGCGGAAAGACTATTCTAATCCTTTGATGTACATTAAACGGAGCTTGGGGTCGCATACTGGTATATTGTAATGGTTTCGAAGTTGGGTGTAGCTCCTTTGTAATCTTCAAACGGAGCATATCGGCATGTTATTTGTGGTTATTGTTTTCTCCTGGAACCAATCATATCACTTCACTTTTGCCTGCAATTCTGCCATGGCATGTTCCATGGCTGCAGAGAGCGAAAGGGTTTGTATCTCCAGGGGTGTCGAGGATGACGATGCAGTTAATATTTTGTTATTTCCCTTACATTGTATGGGGAAGGTAGGAAGGTATTGTTTCTACTATTGTTTATTATCAGGATACACTTTGCTTTTCTTATCACTGTTATGCGCACTACAGTTAACACTTTGACTATTTGATTACTGGAGAAGGCCAATTAAGATTTCTTGTTCATATTACAGAAGATTTATCACGAGGGCGTCAAACCAGTTCCACAAAACCTCGCTTGGAAAGAGGAGGGCCTTCACGTTTAGTTGTTGATGGGAATGATTCCGACAGCCTATATGATCCGAATAACAACTCCATTCCACAATGCCTGTATACAACAAAAAACCAAAAAACTGCCTTCTGGCAAGTTAACCTTGAGCAAGATGTTGTGATAGATCACGTGGTAGTCATATTCCAGAAAGGAAATACTTCGCAAAGAAAACGTAAGTGTTGACCATTTTGTAGCACAGCAGTGATTTAAAAGAAAAACATTAACAACATAAACATGATAGGGAATTCTCGATCGTTAATGAAAAGTCTTAATTATCCATGCAAAAAGCCGAGTGAATTAATTGTTCCTAATGTCAACATTACATGATTCACAATGGACTTTGGTGTCTTTTCTCTATTCTTTCTACTTATTTTCTTTATAATAACCTATGCAATATCTAGATATCTTCTATGTGTTAAGCGTCTGACCAAATGGTGAAGGTGACGGGTTATCGATATATAAGCTTTTAATGAATTGCAAAGCCTGCATTTTACGTTCTCTGTCAGCATCATGTTCCCGAAAACGGTGATAAGATAAGCTATATCAATGTAAGGTCATCCGAAATCATCTTTGATTTTTTTTATAACGAAAATAGCTTGACTTTACCATCAAAAACGATTTGTGTGAACGATATACATTGGTTCTTCAATGAAGTCGTTATTTGGATCCGTGGATTATTTAAAGTTATCGATACTTCTACAGATATGTTTTAGTTTCTATAACATAATTCAAAGTTTATTCTTAGAATTGTTTAACTTCACATTGCTGATTCTCATATTGTAGATGGGTATGTTATTTACTCAGTTTTGAATCTTTCTTTCTGATGAAGTAGTAGCCATGCAGACGACTACTTTCAAAGTTATAGAATATATATCGTGTGTAACAGTGTACAATAAGGATATTGAAATCATCACGTACAGCATACAGTTTGATGGAAAATTGTCCATGTTGGTTTCGTTGTAGATCAAGGTTAACGGCAGATGTGGAAGAGTCTTGCGTGTCTTGATTTCCTAATCTGTCGGATATGTAAGATGGGAATGGTCAACAAATTGTCATTAAATCAATACGTCATCAGTGTTACTGAAAGTGAAATTGAATTATTTTGCAAGATGTTTGTGGGCTGGCTTTGTAAGCACTTCGATAAATTCAGCCACGTATGTTCAAAAGCAAAAACAAGTCAGTCAGGAGAAGGGCACATGTATGCCGGTAGTCTGTAAGATCTTTCCGCCGAAACTCCACGAAGATTTATGATTTTTATATACAACTAATTATTTGACAATCTAGTTACAGGATAAGAAGAGATCATCAAGACTCCAATAATTTTATAAAGATAACAATTGTACATCTCTTAAATTTAAAAACAAAAATCTGAAAAATGAAAAACTGAGAGACAGAGTATAAAATGAAATTTATTTATCCCCCATTCTATGGGTTTGGGCTTACACTAACAGCGTGAAATACGTTCAATCGCGTTCCTTTTCAAAACAATATATGATAACCTCTCATCAATAGTTAATGCATCCTAATAATTTTGTATGCACTTAAAAAAAAATTCAGATATATGAACTAAGAAATGTATGAATAATGGGGTACTGTACATTTCTTTCCATCCTTTTCTTGTATTGTAACCACAGAACAAAAACGTCGGAATGGATATTCCATTATTGTAACGGATTCTCCTACATACCTACCCATGACATCTGCTAACACGTGTTACAACGATAAGGATCCTGACCTGAGTGCAGAGAACCATGAAAATAGATCATGCAGCATCATCGGAAAATATGTCACTATTTATAACCAAAGGAAGACCCTTTCAGGACCAAATTATAGCAAGAATGCTGTACTAGAATTGTGCGAGGTTCATGTTATGGGTATGTATTTAAACTTTTTTTCCGGTAAGGATGTACACTCTTATTGAACAAGAAAGAGAGAATTATTGATTATTGATATTATCACCATTATAAATCTTTTTACAAAATTTATCAATGGGAAGATGTAAACAAAACAATAGGTATTGTCTTAATGGTCATTTATAGGTGTCTTTCTGACGTTTCCATGAGTTGAAGACTACAACAGATCATCTTATTATATACCTGCGGAAACAGAACAAATATTTGTTCGACTTTTTAATTAAGACAGTAGGCATAACTTTTGTTTAGTTCCAATAGTTTATCCAAAACAATCAAAATGTCACATTTCCACATGCATCAGCTTACTTAATAAAGAGAAACAATAAAGATCATCGCACGGGCGTTTATACATTTTAAAAATGGAGGGAATGAGCAAGAATTGAAATCAACAAATACCTGAGTAAAGACGCTTGTTATTCAGTATTTTCCTTTAATTGATGTACAAATGTTCTATCCCTTACAGCATTTCTTTGTGTTTACAATATGGGTAAAATATTACTAGCGTAACAACAGAGAAAACTTTTTTAACAATACAACAATGGATTTGTATATAAGTAAGGTATTAATATTGTAAAACAAAACAAAAACAAAAACAACCAACCTATTCAAGCTATGATGTATCCCATTTGTAGGATTGAATCGTGTATTTACAAACATGACACAAATCTCCCCTTTAGAATCTTGTAGAGAGATTTTATGGTGAAAATTGAGAATATGCATTTATCTTAATGACCAGGAACGGAACCATCTGGTCCATGAAAGAAATTTCCCAATGAGGTCATTATAACGAACATAAAAGTTAAAAATTTCTATATAACTGCATCTCTCGTAATTTTCGTTACAGTATGAAAAGAAAGATCAATCAGAGTGACAACAAACGGTAAAGTACGCTAATAAACATGAAAAATCTATCCCCACATCACATTTGTGTTAATAGCACATAATACAGACGGTGTTTCCTAACAGGTTGTCCATTAACCAAATATGGTACTGAATGTAAGGAAGACTGTCCAGAAAACTGTAAAAACCGATTGTGCTTTCCCAGAAATGGAACCTGCATGAAAGGATGTTCACCAGGTTACCTTCCACCAAAGTGTGGACAAGGTAAGTGTTTGTGTGTATTATTGACTTAAAGTTATTGGACATATTGTTTGATGTTTGTTGTGATGATATACATGAAAAATGAATGCTGTGTAAGTAAAGTAATATTTCTCAGCTAATTTCAACCTCATTGGGTGAAAATTTTCAAACGTTGGAATATGAGTTTGGTTTTTAGAATATTAAAGTTCATGAACACGTTAGATAATTGGCGTCGTGTAAGTCATACATTATCGAAAGTGTCAGGTTAAATTACACCATGGTATTGCAAGACATTATACCTCGCATCATAATCACACCTGCAGTATGCACCACTTTCACATTTGCCAATTCGCATGTAACGATCGTTTTTATCCATTTTGATTTCGGAGTAAACATTTTGACAGTATTTTCGTGTTACTGTTATTTAATAATATGGCTGATACTTATATGGTTTGTAGTGTGTTTCTGTTATATTCAGGATTTCAAACAAAGAAAAAGAGATTTTTAAACTGGTTGTTTGAAAATTCTATTGGCGAAGTCTAGCAAAGTAACTAGAATCATACATTTTATAGATACCATATAGAATGGGTATTTTTCATTAAATGATATATGTTTGCTAATTTAAACCACGTGTAATTATTATATTTCATATAAGATATGATGCATTTAAACCCATTCAGAGATTCATTTGCATTACCGCGGTCACTCCAAAATGCCGATTAAGAGAGGAAGAACGGATATTATGTGGAATTATATGTCTATTTACATTGTTTTATTCAATAGAACAAAGACATCCAGGAAATTTCTATGATCCGTTTCTATCTTGAGTCGAAAGAAGCTGTGATTTAACAAAGGGTAAAAACAAAGAAACAAACGTACATGACATAACATATACAAATATATATTGAGTAATCGGTAAACTATAGTCCGAATATTAAATATAACAGTGAAATAAATCTGTTTCCCTTTGAATGACGTTTCTGTGAGCTTTGGGGCTCAAAACATGGGTAGCAGTGATTCGATCATGATTAAGAGATGTTTTCATTGTAAAATTAAGATTACTGTGTAAATTCTGAAGCGGTAGTAATGGTGACGTGACATGCAATACTTTGGAGACGTCAGAAAGTAAATGTTTCCAAAATTGTAAGTAAGTGATGATATTACTGATTCAAGGAAGTCTTAAATATGATAAAGGGATGACAGAAAGCTTTCAATTCTTTCTTATTAATTAGCGCATATCGCGACATAAAGAAAATGTATTTTCCAACTTATCATTTTCTTGCTTTATATATTGTTATTCGCCAACTGCTTAATTGCGCTTCCCAAAAATTTTCGGGGGAGAATATTGTCGGCGTCTTCCCGTCCGACCTTTTGTTTTCGGATCATAACGTTGTCAACTGTTAAGCTAGGGTCATTTTTGATGATGAACAGTGTACAAAATTCAGGGCCCGGGACCCCTCAATTAAACAGTTATTGCCCCTTGTTAAAAAAATTATCCAATAAAGTTGTTTTCGAGGATCATTCATCAGTTTTACTTATACTCTTGTTCGGAGATTTTTTCGGATATTATGAATGTGTATATTACAATCATGGAAATCATAATGTCCGTTATAGAATGATTAGTATAAACCATCGACGCTGCAGTGTGCAAATCGGACCGATAATGTTTCTGTAATAAAGTAACGCTTTATAATGTACACACATATTATACGATACATAATAATGTACGAAGTTATAATATTAGTTTGTATTGTTACTGGCTCGTTGTGCTGACTAGACACGTGATAACATGGAGAGCTCCACTGGTTGATGCGCAAACAATCTGTATTAATTTTTGTGTTTTCAAACGAATTTTGATGTCAAATTTAGAATTAACATGGTGTAAGTATTTGTCATTGTATAATATCCACAGAGAATACAGGACAAAATTGCAATATAGGAGAATGTATTTAAGGCGGATTGACGAAACCCAACGCTCGATGTCAAAGTGATAATATTTTGATATGATGATTGAAATAAAGTAAATTATCAATCGATTCTTGAATGTCATCGATAGTCATATGATATTCTTAGTTTTTCCAGCATTATTTGCAGCTCCCAAATCTAAGTCCAACTCTGCTGCAGGGATAGTTGGTGGTGTTGTATCATCAGCAACTGTGGTGATAATCTTATTGGTTTCCCTGGCTACTGTGGTGATAAAGAGAAGAAGGTAATATTGTCTATGGTTATGTTTGTATTGATTTCGTAGGATTAAAGTCCCATTCTTTTAATATTCATAACGTTTTCAAAATTCATAATCAAAACAAATCATCAAACCTTTTTCTCATTGAGCTATGTTGAGGGACATTTTTGTAGAACACTTTCGTAAACGTTTCTGTAAATCAACCAGTTGAATTGAAATATTTTCTTTTTATCTTTGCAGACATTATAGAAATATGTTTTCCATAAGAAATGCAGGCAATGATCAAGAGCAAGGTACTGTAAACATGCTATAAGCATGAAAATAGAATTAAAACTGATTTCTTTTACAGTTATATTTACTGATGTTCAGATATACTCTTCGCCCTGATGCATGAATATCTTACCTTTACCTAAAAATTAAAAATAAAGTATTGGTAAAGTTTACAGATGTTTACTACATGAAAGTTTTTTTTTTTTAAAAAATCATTAACAGGATTTCATTCTCAAATACCGTTTTCATTCTCGATGACGAATTCATCGATCGCTATTTTGACTACTGTTCTGTAAATGTTGATTTTGATTTGATTTTCAAATATTCGTCGTTTTACCAGAAGTATAACGTGAACAGATGTTTTTTCGCCTGAAATCATGATATGATGTCACACTTTGTAATGTCATAATGAATATATATATACATTTAGTCGCGATGACTCAATGATTTTACATTAAGAAAGATGAAATAATGACAAAACAAGAAATCTGAAATAAGTTCTATTCTTATTTCATAAAAAGGAAATATGAAAACTCATGGTCCGATTGTATATGTATAATAGATTATTAAAAACCCTCTTATTACATACACACCAATTCTAACCAGGTGTCGTGTATGATGACGTTACATCAGATATACATATGGATGACGAACCAAACCATACAGGTATGATAACGTTTGAGAGCGTCATCAACAATTGCAGGGAAAACGTAGTATCAAGGAAAACGCTAACAGAGCATCTTCGAATGGAAATCGCCAGAAAAGAAAACTGCGACGAATTTGAAAGGGACTTCAATGTTAGTATATAGATGTAATGTATACATATGTGAAATTAAAATGAATTGCTAAATAAGAATGGTTAATATATATTGTACGAAACAATTTACACCAGAAAATTGACATAGAAACCCCACGACGAATTCCTGTATACTTCTCTAGTAGGTCTTTAAGTTGATTTTATGCCATTGTTACATCATCGTCTCCTCCATAATTGACATTGGATATTAAGAGGCATCCTTTACATATTGAAAATACCACTATCCTCGTCTATGTAATTTTTTGTTTACGATTTAGGATTTTCAGTCTGGTATCCAGTTCCCTTGTGAAGAGTCAGTTAAGGATGAAAACATGAAAAAGAACAGATACACGAATATAATTCCGTGTAAGTGTTATCAAAGAAAGCTGCACAATATTCTTTTGTTTAATGTTTCAGCGAAAATATTCAACATAATTAATTCAAACTAAAAAAACAAAGAAATGTTTTCGCGATTTTGTTTCACGTTTAAAACGATGAATGATACAGCTGACCCCCGAATAAAGTTATATTTTATATATGTCTCAAAGTAAGTTCTTAAAGCTTAAACATTAAAATTTATGTAAACAGACCCGGGAAGAGCGGGGAGGGAGACAAAACGATGATGGCAAAGTAAAAATGTAGCTCATCAAAACCAAAGAATAACAGTAACATAGATTACTTTGATATGAACAAATGGTCAGGGACGAAACAAAAGGTGTTTCATGATGAGAGATATGATTGAAGTAGCCGATCAAAATCAAGGAACAAAAATCGATAAGACTTTCTTTTCTGGACTTACAGACGATCACTCCAGGGTACAACTTGGAAACCGAAGTTACATCAATGCTAACTTTATAAAGGTCAGTAAAGAGGTTATATTGATGTAAGTTTGCATAGGCTCAAATTCAGAATGTTGATAATGCAGTTGTTGAGAGACACTTTAAATGCAGTTCAAAAGATTTTAAGCCAGCAATTTTTTCCATTAATACTTTGTTTTTAATTTCGCTTTATAAAAATTGTAGAGATGATAAGTAGTATCTGTTGCAGTAGCTGGGTCACTCATTAAAAAGTGCCACTGAACGGAAAACGGATGTCTCTCTCTCTCTCTCATGCACACCACCACCACACATACACACACACACTAACTAAAACACTTATTGGAATGGGGAATGCAACAGTTTTCCTTTTGGATATATATATATAAACTCTCGATCCATTAAGTTTGTCGTTAAAGAGCATTATATGTCTGGTTAAACGGAATGTAGAAAAAGGTAAGATGATCAAGATTGATATTCAATAGTGTCGGCTAATTCCCTAGTAAGTTTCAAGCAAAATGTGCAAGTCTCTTTATTTATTTGTGACCTTTAACTTAACTAAACGTTTTGATTTTGTCATTCTTGAACTACACTGAGAAGAATATTGAATCACGTTGGTTTAACAATGCTTGATACCACGTACGATTGCTTTCAGAATTTGGAAGGAACAAATGAGTATGTGGCAACACAAGGCAAGTAGTAAATAACTGAAATATGACAACACGTTCTATTTACATTAAGACATCATCCGATATATGATCATGAGAAAAGAAAGCACTCCTGTGTAAGCAAGGAAAAAGTTCTTTTTTCCAAGACACAAGCAGCCTAAATTTGATTTCCTTCGTCGCATTATGTTCAGGAAGTTTGCCTGCGGCATCAATCCTCCAGAAAATAGTTCAATATGAAGCCCATGTAGGATTAAATATAAGTACTCAATAGCTATCTAATATTCATCGTGTAATACTATATTGAAATTTAAAAATGCAAAAATATAGATTGATTTGTTGGATTATAAAATAACCTTATATATATATATATAAGGTATACACGATATATACAAGGTATACATCAAATAAATTCATACGCAGATGTAGTAGTCTCTCTCTCAAATAGCGAATCGAATGATGTTTCACAACAAAAAGTAATTGAATGCTCCTACGTCTTTTTCATCTTAACGTCTACAAGGTACCATACTGTGTCACAATTACTTACCATATCTATTATACGTTAATACTGACAACCACGTTGCGATAGCTCTGAAAGGAGGAGTGCCAGTTTGGGACTTCCGGTGGCCATGACGAATACTTTTTATTTTTTGTCTATTAAAAACTTGAGGTCAGGCGGTAATGACATGAAATTAATCTAAGGTCAGCTCAAGGCTGTTCAGTTGTTATAGGGGGACGAGTGGTGGATCTAATTCATAATTATTGCAATATTTATCAAACTAAAATTTTTTTTTTAGTTTTTTTTCTCTTAAATGTCATTTGCTGATATATTTCAAAACCTTCATTAGAAAAAATGACCAAAAAATACGCCATTGTTGAAAAGTAGGTCACGGTAATTAAGTGCCCTAATTACTAATTAAGTCACACTTGAACACCGTTTTTTGTGTTAATAAACAATACGTTTTTCACCTGCAGTGTATTTATTTGAAATATGTTTGCATGAATTAGAGCAATGAAGAAGTTACAGTCAGGATAAGAGAGGCATGCCATTTAAATAGACTAGTTACAATTTAAAGTGCAAGAGCACCAGTCACTCTCTTATTCCAGTTAATGAAAATGAATATTGAATTATACTGTATGAAAAATTATTTCAAATAAATTTCACAGTATAATAATTCTTCCGTGCATTAGTTGTATTCTTGAGCTTTAACATAAGATTGTTTGACACTAGAGCTTTAACATAAAATAGTATGACATCATGACATCTCCCTGATGTATACCTTGTTAATGGTCTTGTTTCAAACACTAGCAAACTTTAGTAATCTACAATGCAGTGTATGTAACACATGGTATATCCAGATATATAAGGATACTTTGTTCTGTGCAGTTCGTACATTCATTGACTTATGCACATATCTTGTGTATCACTAAACCGTTAAATACAATTTCATTCATACAAGTGTGACATATATATAATAGTATTATAGTATTTTGTTTAGTTTATGTAAACTTTTTGTTATTTTTGCAAAATGCCAGTAAACAATCAGTGTGCATGCTGCAAAGCAGATTATAAAGTCAGAATATATTGTCTGAATCAGGCAGATGTTCTGTCTTTCTTGAAAGATAACATCAATAAAGATTTATGTTTAGGTGACCCTGTATGTAAGAAATGCAGAGGGAGATTCTACAAACACCATGAACCAGTAGAGCATTCTAACAGTGGTTTAGACCATCAGAATGAGACACCTGACTCTAAAACAATCAGACTTTATAAATCTTAGTTTTCCAAGCTTTTACAGTCAGTTTACACATCTCTGTACTCTTCACTAAACAGTGCAAGGACTGCATTAGCTGTTCTTCTTGTAAAGTTGAAAACGGGCATGTCCTAAGCAATTTTAGTTATTTTTTCAATGTAAGGTTGGTGCCAGAGTAGTCGGCTGCTGTGCCCACATTGCATCTGTCCTATGGTATCTTTCTTATGACCGACACCAGTCTGATACTGCATAAACAACTGCCCCCTCAAGTTTCCTTAGTTGTGTTGATGACACAATGACGGTGGAGAGCTGGTCAGATTGTGACAGCGACAGTAACTCCTAAATGAATATCCCAACACCACCATTCCCCTTACTAAAGCAGTAAACAAACATTCAGTCCCGTAAGTAATAGAAAAAGGTCATTTATGATCCTGTGAAACCCGGTGCTGAATTGATTATTTCCATTTTAATATCATCCATATTTGCAAACATATTTCAAACAAATACACTGCAGCTGATACACACATTGTTTATAGATGTATTAAGACAAAATACGGTGCTCAAGTGTGACTTAATTAGTAATTAGGGCACTTTTAGTTTGATAAATATTGCAATAATTATGAATTTGATCCCCCACTCGTCCCCCTATAACAACTGAACAGCCTTGAGCTGACCTTAGATTAATTTCATGTCATTACCGCCTGACCTCAAGTTTTTAATAGACAAAACAAAAAACAAACAAAAAATAAAAAGTATTCGTCATGGCCACTAGGAGGCCCAAACTGGCACTCCTCTTTTTCAGACAATCAAGTTCAAGTAGGTGTAATATTGAACTTACTCGTGATATCTAACTAAAAGCAAAGTATTTCTATAGTGCGGCAAAGCATTCTTGTTTAAAGAACCGTTATCAATTTGGCATTATAGGTCCGAAAGGTTGCACTCTTGGTGATTTCTGGCAAATGGTCTGGCAGCTTAAGACGAAAAAGATAGTGATGCTCGCAAAGTGTATAGAAATGGCAAAGGTTTGTCTTTTCTTTGTAGAAACATTTTTCCTCCTTTTTAAACTCATCATGATCGAATTGTTGAGGATTGTACAAAAGACATACAATATATTAGCACATTTAGAAACAAATCTAGAATTAAATACACTGTACTAAAAAATGAATTACATTGGAACACACAGCTACTTCGTCTTTCTAGGTGCCGCCGTCCATGATGCTTCAACTGTTATGTATATGTCATACTGGTCTGTGTGATATCTAATTATTTCATATTTTACGGTGTAAGGTCAAATAACACCATTTCGGAATTTGGTTGATTTTATTATTAATTTGTACGTAAATCAGGATAAGTTCTAAATCATAATCCTGATTGAAGCTAAATAATCTGAACCTTGAAGATTGAGTCTAACGTTATATTTTAAGCAAGGACATCATTTTACATTCAAAGTAAACTATAAGGCCTAAAATGTTGAAACCTAAGAGATGACTGAGAAAACTTTACAGTGACATTCACTGACCCCATAATTTCCTATTATTATTCATTTCAAAAGAACGTCAAGTATACTTGTACATCCTTAACCGCGCTTTTATTCAGTTAAAGAATAAAAACATGGCTTGCAAGTAAAAGCAAACATCGGAGACTAAAAGTCCACCAGCAGTGGTTGCAGTCTGAAAGGACTGTACAAAAGACACAATTATTTATCTCTTTCAATATCAGTTTTGAATTAAATACATTAGAGACGCATAATTAATATCATTTAGAATTCGATACAGTTAGCATATAACCTAAAGTTTAGATTATTCTAAAAATTATTGTAAATTGTACATTTACTTTAATGCAGACAGTTTAATGTAAAGAATACTCCAGTTGCCAGCAATATGATAAATGTTTGCGAAACAGTCGAAGTTACAAATTCGTTCTTTCTATTAGTATTTAAACAGTGCTCTCTTCGACAGCTGTTAACAGGAAAGTCTTGTATCCTAATCATCCATCAAGGAAGTATCTTGTATTGGAATGATGCGAACACTTACATGTACATGCTTTTCTTCAGTGAAGTTATTAGCATCTCGAGACTTTTGTACCATATTTGATATTCTCATTGTTTGATATTCTTGTATTTGTAATCCGCCCACAAAGAGAGGTAGGGCTTTATATTGAATGTTTACCTGGCCTATTTGACCTGTAAAAAGACGGCATATGATTAATTTGCATGCTGAATAATAAGCATTATCAATATGTTACTCATATGATTTCTTAACATTAATCTCAAACATGTCTAGTCATATATATGTGTGTGTGTCATAAACCATCTTCTTTTTAGCGTAAAGTTGATCAGTACTGGCCTGATAGTGGTGATCCGATCGAACACTACAATTTGAAGTTAAGCTTAACATCTTCCAATCAATATGCGGCATATACAGTTCGGGAGCTGATGCTTGAAAACAAAAAAGTAGGTTAAATACTTCATCCAAGGTTGAAAACTTTTCTATTTTGCATGCTGTCATATAAAGAATGCTAATAAATTGAATGAGCATCTTCCGTTATTATTAAGATATTCATTTAGTCATTTCAATACTTCAAGCAGTTTTCTTTTCCACCATTTTCGAGGATGAAATTAAACGAAAAAAAAAATGTCTTGAAGATGAGAGTTATGAATCCTTTTCATAACTCTCAAAAGACTTCATTTTTCCTTCAAGATTTAAAGTAAAACTGAAAATTTGAATCCAATTTGATATTGTATGGCGATAAATGGAGTAAACGTCAAAACATCATTATACGGTTGTTTCTCTGTTCTGGGAATCTGGAGATAGCTGGGCCAATGATAAGAATGTCCAAATAATATTAAAAATCTGCCTTTGAAATATTTATATACACCTTTCCCATACTGCAATAACCATATGGTAAACTAATACGATAGACGTTTAAGTATCTTCGTCCATCTAAATCAATTTCACTATTCATATTCAGACAATGTTTTAGGTTAAACGGATCACAACCAACGTAACCCAACAAGATCTGTTCTGACGACACAAATGTAATGTAAATCAAAGAAAAATACAATACATTAATCTTTATTTGAAAATTTTAATTAAATTGATATTAACACGCCGGTTCCGTGTACATTATTGTATCATTTCTAACAAGTGTAGTCATTCGAAATATGAGGATATCAAAAATGCCGTCGATTTCGTAACATAAAATGTTCAACTGTTATTCACTGCAGTGAAAAAGAAAAGAGAAGAAAATGCCGACATGTTAAAAGAATATGAATTTGATGTAATGTGAAATATGTCATTGACATAGGATCTTAAATGAATTTTCATTTTATATAACATTTTTTTAAACTGGTCTCTAAACTTTTAATTTAGGTTTGTCAAAATTTAAGCTTAGAGACTATTTTGAAATCTCGTGTGAAATGTACAGAGGTAGCTAATTTGTTCCGCCATTTTCAGTTCATGACGTAATATCATTATCCATAAAATCACATCACAATCGATTTCTGATTGTCAATGAGAAATGCTCGAGGGAATATTATAGTAATGACATATTCAATAATATTACGTGGGCGAATTCATTGCCCAACAGGCGGATTATGTGAGAAAAGCATATACTATTAATTATTTCAATATATATGCAGGAAACATTTTGTTCAGAAATCATATTTTATAGCGCTGGTGTCAAGCTTAATAATTAATTGGTTATTCCAGACAGCATGGTCACTAAATCATGGTCCTAAGATTGAAGGATTATTGGAAAGTCTGCATTTAGCAAAATCACTAACAGCATTAACTATTATCCACATTCATCTGATTAACTTATAATGGAACAACTGTGTGCAGCTAAAACAAAACATTTGATTCCTTGATTTTTTTTCAGACAAATGAGAAGAGAGTGGTTACTCAGTTCCATTTCAAAAAGTGGCCTGACAACGACATACCTGACGTCATGCATTTTGCCCTCTTCCTTCTCCATGTAGAGTCTGTCAAACCAAGTTCCTCAGGACCAATGATTGTTCATTGCAGGTAGATATACGTGCAATCCTATTAAGACAACAATAGTTGTTTTCAGAGGTACTTACATGCTTAAATTTGTAACGAAAATAAAGAGAAAATAATTCCTCGTTGATGCAGGAAAATGTACAGAAGTTTGACGACGAGTTTAGTAGATAAGTATATAAATAAAAATACACTATCCAGCTACTTCCCTCCGCAATCTGATTTCTCCTCTCCTTCTCCACTTCACCTTCAGAAATGGTTTTGACATATGAAGCTCAAACACAACAAGGAATACCAATATCAACATAACAAAGTGTGTACAAATGAGCTGTGCTATGCTCTTTCATGTAAATTCCTGTATCTTTTCTTCAGTGCTGGTGTTGGACGTACCGGGGTATTCATAGCTAGCGATGCATTGTACAAACACGGAAAGTACACAGAGGGAGTGAACCCAGCTGCATACATTCACAGCATGAGAAAGGACAGGATGGATATGGTTCAGACAAAGGTTTTTGTTTCTACCACTGTATAGGATCTTTAAACAATGCATTTATTGTAACCAAAATACGAAAACTGTAAATGCATGAATTCTAAGGCAAACGTTATCTAACGAATGTTTTATACCAATTTCATCAATGAATCGGTCCACAGACAAGCAATTTTGTTTGAAAACACTCATGGGGAACTTCTTTCTGAATTATACCCAAGTCTTATCATTGATATCATTAATTTATTTGACATCTATTTATATTTTTCTATTTTAAGTAAAAATCAGAGTTGGTTTTCAGTGTTGTTATTAGATACATATATATGTACATACTATTCAAATAAGCTGTAATCAAATTTCGTCATAGATTGTTATATTGTATTACAGCCACAGTACATCTTTATCTACCGTGCCTTACTTGAGCTTTTTCTCATTGACAAATCAAGTCTGACCATGGGCGACTTCAAATCCCAATACTTGCAGTCATCTTGTCTACTTCAAGATTACCATGTAAGTACACTGAGGATTTAGAAAGAGGAAAACCATTTGCGATGTACACAAATATTGAAAGATCAAGGAATGTTAAATACACAAGTCAGCTTCTGTTGACTTCTGAACACACATCAAATCGAAATGAAAATAAAGATAAGGAACAAAGAGAATGCTTGTGGTTATGCGTAAAATGCTTTGCGTGCTGAGGTGTGAAGCGTTCATAGAATTTAATGCAACAGCACCGATATGGAAAAAACTGAGTAGTTTAGTGGTGTGACAGATAAAGAACTTTCCCAATGGCGACGAAGTTGCGATTCCCTTATCGAATGTGAAAAGATGTTAAGGCATGTGCCCGTTCATTCAATTGGACATATATAATGGTTTCCATTTTTAAGATCCACTCCCATCCCACCTGCTCTCTCTCTCTCTCTCTCTCTCTCTCCGTTCCCTACTTCAACACACTTTCATTTAGGTAATCACTGAGTTTCTTTATACGCGAAGAAAATATATTTTCCTTATTTTTTCTACTATACACATTAAGCTTTTGTTCCTGTCAATTGTAATTGTAGGGATTAACTTGATAAAACAGTAAAGACACGTATTCTCGCGTAGTTTTTCTTTAAAATTCAAGGAACTCGATTCAGCATGATTCTTCATATCACACGCACTAAACAAATATTATTTCCATTTCAATGTCATAAAACATATACATCAGCTACAATTATTCATGTGTAATGTAGAAACCTAAGAAATATAATTTGCTGATGCTAAAATGACTTGCATATCGTTGTTGATAGATACAAAAATTTGCAAAAATATTTTGATGAGTTTGTTGAAAGTATTGTTTGAAAAGATAATCAGTAGAAGCATTTTCCAGCTGGTTGTGATGAACGGAAATTTATTAAAGAATATTTTTTATCATTCTGAGGAAAAGAACACAGTGTGTCTGTGCCTTCTTTGTGAATTTCAAATCTTTAGTGGTTATCTTGAAAGACGCAATGTAATTGCATCTTGAATCATTTATTCTTGGTAGTTTATAATGACCAACTTCAAAGCTGAGAAAATATCTACACGTATAGTTGATATTTGATCAATCACGACACACTTTATTCAGAAGTTAAATTGATGTTAGTTTGAATCATGTCCGCATCAATCAGTGATTTTGTGAAATAATTTTACAAATGGTTTATCAAGCTGTTATCATTGTTATTTAATGTTACTTTTTCACTTAATGTTATATTATCAATTGTCAGATGCTCGATGATAATCGTCCAATCCTTCCCAACGATCAAATAGCAGGTGGCATGGAGCCAGAAAACGAAAAGAAAAACAGGGACCGAAAAATACTGCCAGGTAAGTAACTGTTGTATTTCTTTTTATAAATACTCTCTGGATTTTCTGAAAACACTTTGAAACCTGAAGTGTAGTAATTGTGCTTTAGAATCAACGTGTCTGAAAGCCATATCGTCAAAAATGTTTATTATTTTTATAGTTTTACATACATTCATCATTCTCAAAACTCAATGCGAAAATGAACATTAAAGTGCACTACTTAGGTATATTTTCAATTAAATGAAAACATTAAACGTTCTTTTTTATGTTCTTTTGTTACTTTGGAATGTTATTATTATTGTAATATTTACTTGGGCCACATTGGATTGTTATCATTATTGTAATATTTACTTGGGCCAATCGTCGGAGTCGTCGACTCATGATTTCTATATGAAATTAAAACACAGTATAAATAATGCAAAATGAATTATATCAGTAATTAAGTTACCAAACCTTCTGTCCAGTAATTTACACATAAGCAAAATAAACATCTGTAGTAGAATTCAATCTGTTTTAACGACATCCTCCATGATCCGAGTCCCAATAAGAGAAACACATCTAACTGACATTTTCTTTTTAAAAGATCATTTCTTTTTATGCAGGCTACACCCACCGTCCTCTACTGTCGTCACAGCCAGGAAACAGGACGGGTTATATCAACGCTGTTTTTCTTCCTGTAACATTTAATAAATTAATATACTGTATTACATCGTATTTTCTCTGCTAAATGCTTTCAAAATAAACTGTATAACAGGATATTAAATAAATCCGGTGTTTTCAGTCATTCGAATAACCTAAATTGAAACATTTTACAATAGATAGCTATAACTTATATTTGCCGTTTGAAGAAAAGGTATGTTCTTATTAACATATGTTCATGAGATATAAGAAAAAAAACATTAGTCGATCAGTAAAAATATACTTTGTTCATCTCATTAATTTTCAATTTAAAAACAATTAAAGCTATTTGCGGTAATTGTCATAGTTAATGGCCTAAATATCATGTTCAAAGGGAACAATTTAATCGTACGATTAAATGGTAAATAATAAATGTATATTGGACTCAATACATACCACAAGTTTTGTATTAGACATCATTCATGGTATTGAACTAAATGCCGATATAAATTAACATATTGCAGAGTGTTCAGAACAATGAGAGGTATATAGCTACCCAGTGGCCTCTTCCTCATACTGCTGATGACTTCTGGGCGATGATTTATGACCACAGATCTACGGCCGTAGCCATCCTGGATAGCGATGCTGATACTAACGTTTGTAAACCTGAAAATTCACAAAAAATTACCAAAACATTTTCTCTCTCCTATTTTGTGTAATGTTATACATGTATGTTTCATAAAATGATGAGTTCACAAATACATATAAATGCAAATTTCTGTATTATATTTGAACTATAAATAAGCGTTATTTCTTAGAATTACGATCTGTGAGAATTATAAACATTATGATTTAAATAATGCACATCCATTGGTTATAGAAGTATTACGATGATTTTCATGTTTGAGAACAACATAAACCTATGTGAAATGTAGTTTTTCATACACTTAACGTCTAACAGTTCAAATCTTAATAGTTTCCTGGCGTTTACAATCGTTTCATCACTTCTTATGTATCTGTCACATAGGATCCTTACCTGATGCCCTCAAAAGAAGAGGCGGAGATAACAACGGCGCATTTTTCTATACGTTTTAAAAATAAGCCTCGTATTGAGAATTCCGTCGTCATAGCAGATATGTACCTGTCTAAAATTGTAAGTTACCCACTAACGAATACTCTGTAGAGTCCTAAAGGCTGCTTATGCGTATTAATGAGTAGGAAATGAGTAGTAATCAACAATCATCAACACCTGAGGTCAAATAAGTCTTTAAAGTTGGTACTGATTTCTGATCTCGATCAGACTAGAACAAGCATATTCAATCAAATAATATCGCGCTCTTTGACGATAAGATTAAAATCCTCGACTTTGTTTCTGTTCTGCTTAACAAAGGCGATGAAAGAGTGGTGGGAAATATAGGAAAATGCATGGTATAGTTTCGCTGAATTTTTCTAGGGGGATTATGACTCGCTCCAGCTCAAGATATTCAGAATGTGTGACTGGCCTAAAAGCAACCAAACGTGTGTTAGTGGCTGTGTCGTGCAGATGGTGTCTGCAGTGCATCGGTACCAACTAAACGACACTTCCGGTGGTCCGGTGACCGTCGTCTGCAGGTTTGTTGGTGTGATATCAGCATCATTTTTTGTTATGTGTCTTTTATCACACAGGCCGAATGGAACTTAAAATGGTGGCCTTTGTGAGAATGTCCACCTTGCACAACAAAAACCCCTCTGTGGGTTTTTAAAAAATGAGTAGGCATGATAACGCTGGCCCAGAGGTTAGAGTTAGATTCGCAATGGGGATTACTTAGAACAGGACACCCCCCCACCCCACCCCCCCACCCCCACCCCCCCCCCCTCAACCCCCACTTCCTTTTCCTTTCTGTCCTTAACCGATCTTCTCGTTACGACAGGCTTAGTGAGAGTTAGGCTAGGGCTATACTTAGGCCAAGAGGTCGTCATCAAAATTATAGCAGACGATCCCTCTCTACCTCATCTCTGTAACTCACTCTCTCTCATATTTTCCCCATCTACTCACTTTACTATCTATTCTCGTTCGCTGAAAGCCCACAATGTGGACGTAAAACACGTAAAATAAATATGTGCCCTGCTGTCATTCGTTATCGGTATAACGTTTGTAATAAAAACGTCAAATAAGTTTGTCCTCGACTCGCATTTTCACAAACATTTGTTCAGGGTGCATTTTATGAAAGTATTTATTCAATATTGTTACTTGTCCATTTTCGATGGTCTCCAACTGCTCCCTATTTCGTTTAAGCGATATCGATATAAAATCACAATTCTATGTTATATTTTCAGGAAGATTTGCAAACCAATAATCAATTTAATATCAAGAGAGAGATTTTAGAAAATAAATGACACTATCTATGAAATAAAAGATTTTTGAATTTTCAAAAGCGAGACCTAAAAATTGAAAATAATGAGGAAACGACATGTTTTCAGGAACGGTTCCTCGAAATGTGGTATATTCTGTGCTGTTGCCAATGCTATAGAAAATATCAGCCTTAATCGGCAAATTAGTCTTGTTCAGGTGGTGAGACAGCTTCAACTTCGACGGCCGTCCTTCATCAACACCAAAGTAAGTGAAACCGTATAATTAGATAAAAAAGTTAAAGTGTACGTAGCTTTTCATAGAATTAGCATGATGTATGACCTGGTACCAGTTTCTGAATAAAGACATTCTGGTTTTATAAACTATCAAATTTTATTTGTATATATATATGTGTGTGTGTGTGTGTATATATAAATGATAGAGAAAAGCCTATAAAAATCCCATATCCTATAGAAATACACTGTATGTTTTTAACTGTAGAATTAATGTTGATTTTTTTCGTTAAAGCAAATTTTCGCAAGTCAATTAAACGTTTGCAACAGCAAATACATATTTTTCATGGACACTACAAAAATGGCCACAATTTTTTATATGTATATTTGATATTATATATAGTTATTCACACTTCTAATGTTATTTTGAATACTTTCCGAGACCAGGAATTCGGTTACATGACAAAAGAGGTCAAACGTATGTTTTATGTGTTCCAATAGCAACAATGGTAAAACAACATGGCTCATCTTAAAACATATCCTTTCTGATTTCAGACGAGTTACCTCTTGTGTAATCGAGAAGTTGATGCTCATTTCAATACCATGTCAGAGTACCAAAACTTGGGAGGACCTTCTCCACAATAGTATCAAAGATGTCAGTGATATGAATTTCTGTAGATTTTTCTTTTCGGTTGGACTCAAAATCGTCGTATAAAATTTCATATTTGAAAACACATCTTTGTAAAACATGTTTAACTGTCAACCGTTACATTCCGTTCAATGATAAGTTGAAGAATGTATGTTTGAAGAAATGCTGTACATAGTTGCTCAGGTTATCCGGTCACCATTTAATATGTTAACTTATTAATTACTGCAAATGTGTTTCGAGCAATTTTTTATGCATTAACATTTCTTGGTAATTTTTCGGTTGGACTAAAATTCGTCGTATAAAAGTTCATATTTGAAAACACATCTTTGTAAAACATGTTTAACTGTCAACCGTTACATTCCGTTCAATGATAAGTTGAAGAATGTATGTTTGAAGAAATACTGTACATAGTTGCTCAGGTTATCCGGTCACCATTTAATATGTTAATTTATTAATTACTGCAAATGTGTTTCGAGCAATTTTTTATGCATTAACGTTTCTTGGTAATTTAGAGCTAAATCAAATCGCACATCAATATCTGAAATATATCAACAATATACAGTTAATGAAATCCTGTTTAAGCCCAGCGTACATTCCGTGCTAATTTCATGTTTTTCATCAAAGCGTAAATGACACCACTTCAGTTCGTAAAATAGAAATGCATGGTAGTTTTGCTGATTTCAATGGATCGCAACAGATATATTCAAAAGACTTAATGAGCTTGTTTGTAAGTCGACATGCATGAATTAGTTTACATATCGTGATAATGATCAGAACTTTGTCATCTTTATCAAAAATATTCTAATTATTTAGCTGGCGATGAAAAGTATTGACTGTCATATAATTTACTTGTTGATGAACATTTTCAATGTTGCAAACACTTTTGTAACAAATTTTGGTGCGAATCAAAACATCTTTCCTTCAAATTCATCTTCAATACAAGGAAGACAATATATCAATTAATATATACTTCATTTATATTGTCTTTTCACCTTCCTATACTTTATGTTGCGTTTCTTTATACTAGTCCTACCTTCGTACATATTATACATCAAATATCCCTATCGCCTTGATATATATCACCCATGAATGTGAAAAAAACACTTTCGGTGACCGTGTTGGACCCATACTTTTCCTGGGTTCATTATGATAGGTAAACATTCCTTCGGATATCCCTAACCTTACAAGCGTATGGGATGTACATTGACTACTCACTGTCAAGTCATATATTTTTAGTAGATCTTTATTTTGTGGTTTCACAATTTTTTTTTAGGTTTGTTGGCACTTGATTTCGTGGATAAATATAGTCTGTCAACGCTCGTTTTCATTTTGTAGCGATAAATTCATTGATTTAGAGGACCACGAACTAAACGAAAATAACCCCAACAAAAAATTAATGATTTACAGTATAAGGTATTTCTTCATGTAGCTGTGAATTTGTCTGGTTATTTTTCACTTTTGTAATAGCCTTTTTGTCTGCTGTCGTGCCCTTTCCGCCTTTCAGTAAACCAACTTACTCAGCAGAGAGAGATTGCGATTTGAAAATATTGTTCCATGTCATGTCGTTCATCACACAAATTCGGGCTGTGTAGAATCAATGACTTAACAACACGATAATTTTAAAAAAAGAAAGAGTAAAATTTACCTTAAATTTGATATCGCTTGTATATGATTTAATAAATAAAAAGACATGATTTAAGAATTAGAATTCCTTTATTCCTCTTATGTCTCAGTGTATATATACTGATTTGATGCGTGAATGCATGATATTTAGGCTGATACATGTTGTACACTTAAATAATGAACTGTAATCTATGTAAACTGATTAGAAGCTACATCATGTAAAATTATTATTGTTAGCTTGGAAAAGCCCAGATTTTCTAGACACCTTTTAACACACTTCCAATGAGCAACACAATAACGGACAATGCAGCGCTTCTTGACACAAAGGAGCACGCGGAGCCATATCAATACACACTGGATATATACATAACATTGTATATAATAACGGTTAAATCAGGTAGTATTGGTCTACTCAGATTTTTAGGGGGAAAACGTCCAACAATTCCAGGACAAATAGTATCTATAATGAGCCTAAGTGATTTTAACGAAATCTGTGAATTAAAAGATAACAGTTTCATATAGTGACCAGATGAAATGTAACATACCAGCTAAATTGATACAAGTGTTGCCCATCTCCTCTATTCAATTTAACATTGAATAGTCTTTAATTAAGTTTATCATTTATTTGCTTTACCAAAAAATATATATATATATATGTTGATAAAATATTGAAAACGCTATAATGATATAAAACAAAAACAAGAGACTGTTCTTGTTCTCTTTGTTGTTTCTGGTACACGTTCTATATGAGGAAACTTGCTAAGCCAACCACTTATCAAAGCACAAATAAATCACCAAATCCCCTGGCAGTATCTGCCAAAACAGCATGTTAACAAAAAATGGGACATTTAAAGACATTTGGGAGGAGGTGGGGTGGGGGGTTGGTTTTTAAAAACACCACTCATACATTCATACCGGTACTTGCATCCTTTCACTCTAAATGTACACACACATGACAAATAGCCAGATATTTTCAATTCAATTATTTATACTACAATACCGGACATACCAAGCTTAAAGATATCAGGATTTACGTACAAAAAGAAAAAACATTCTACATATTAGAAACCCATAACTCCAAAGTAAACACAAAGTATTAGCTTTACACTATCGTTTACCATGTCCCACTAATGATGGAAGATTGACTTCCATATAGAACTGTTAACACTTTCTAGATGACTTCAACAGATTCTATTATACTAGGTTTTGACTGTGTACCCTTTTAAAATATGATTTTCTATAGCTTTCATATATTGATTCTGGTGATTTTATTATGTCAAGCCCAATGGCAAACGTTTAAAAAACAATCCTCAAAAAAGGATTAAGTTTAGAATAATTAAAGTACACTCGAAAAATGACAGCGAAAACATAGTACTTTACAATATGCTGGTAGTTCAAATTACTGTATCAAGTTCAATGCTGTTTGTTGGTTTTCATTTTAGCCTCACACATCCACGTTTTTATTGTACAGCAGAAGATAATTTGATATTTGAAATCATGAGATTTTAATAATTCTTAATAACAACTGTGTGAAAGGGCTTGAAAATTTAATCAAGGTCAGACAGCAAACAGGTTGTGAAGTGTCCAATGAGGAAATGAACAGCAAACACTTCTCAAAATGAACTACAGAAGTGATTAAGTAATGTAACCTTTGTCCAATTTGCTCATTCCTGAGCTGTTCTAGCCCAATAAAATATAGGCATTTTCCAATCAGTGATCCAACATCATCTTTGGTAATCAAAAAAATGCCTGTAGCATAACACCCACTATGTAACACTCAGGTTCAAGTGAATAACCTTATTCCAAATCAATATTTTTGTTTTTTCTCTTCCACTATACAAACATTTGTCTGCTTTCAGATGAAAATAAGCCAATATGAAGGCAGTCTTAAAAATGATAATTTCTATCAATGTCCCATCTTTTAACCCTAAGGGAAAAACATTTTTTTCTTAAATATATCAATCAAAGAGTTTCATGCATTAATAGATCAAAATCTAGTTACAATAGATTTGGTAGAGCAATCTTCATTCAAAATAGGAAAGAAATTTCCAACAACACAATTAATTCTCAACAATAAAAGAGCATGACTATCATAAATGGTATGAGTGCCAACTGAGGGAAATCAACAATAAGCTAGTATATTCCTTTAAAACAAATCTGAACTTTAGTAACCTTTTTCTGGGAAACTGGGACTTATCATGTGATAAATAACTTTCCCTTCCAAGATCTGGCACATCTACAAACAGAGATATAGAATATTAATACACAACTACAGCAAACGTTATTATGCGATGTAGCATCACTGTACGTTTTCATAACTCCACCACTCAGACTTTAGGTGTCCAGGCTTACATTCACTACTATGGCATGCTTTTAGTCCTACTTCTATATATATTGTGTACAATTAAAAGTCAGTAATACAATACAACTAAAAATGAACAGTAATATAATGAAAAGACTTTCTTTCCTTGTCTTATTATGAATGTCACCAAAGTGACAAAACATTGGCACTCTCCTACTTTAATTTTCAGCCATCGTACCAGGTACTGCATTTTTAAACAAAACACATGTAAACTCAGGACTTTTATAAAAATGTAGAGATATAAACACAAACTACATTATTTACAGCAATGTACACATAAATACTGTTGCAAAATAAGTGCTATGTGATTGCATTACCATATTAGCACTACAAAAGGATGTGAAATGAGGGAGGTAACTCTCTCTAATCTCTTTCAAAGGGGGGACAACTCCATGTGTGTGTAACACAATGACAATGTCCCAGTTTTGCCCAAATCAAGCAACATGATCTTTCATCCTCTGTTACAAAAATGAAACAACTCTCGTCTTACTCATGCACAAGGGACATAACTTCCTCTGTTATGCTTAATCTACATTTCACAAGGGAAGCAACAATCTCTCATTAATGGGACACAAATCTATCACTCTTCCACAAGGGAGGTAAATCAATGGGACAAAATATCACCCTAAAACACAAGGAAGTAACACTCTCTGTTTACTTGGGATTACTTTACAGAGAGATTCATTATAGCAATATAACCAACCTCACTAACAAAAGTACATGTGTTTCCTGTAATTATCTCATCTAAAGTTAAATTTATAATTGCTGAATATACCAACAAAAGGGTAAAATGTAAAAACAGATTGTTTATTTTGAACAATATTTACCTTAGTAATTAAGTTAAATTTCATTAATAATCGTCAGAATTTAAGAAGTTATATGCAAAAGCATAAAGTGCCATATTTGACCTGTGATCTTATGTGTATTGCTAGATTCTTTCTTTAAATGCACTGAATAAATCTAAAATCCTTAAATCACTTTTGACTTCAGTGTGCAACATTGAGGCAGGGACTTGACAATAACTGACACACAAGTTGATCTCTATGTGACATTGAATCAGAGCCCCATGTTTGGTTTCTACATGATACATCAACTTTGACTTTAATATTTGATCTAGAAGGTGGGCCTTAAAAGGTCCCCAGTAAAAGCAGTACAATACACTCAATCTGATGATCATGCCATTACATAGTGGTATACAAAATCACTTCAAAGTAACACTGAGCATGCATCAAACTACCAAAATATTGTACAACGAAAACACCAGATTTGACATATTCTAAAAATCTCTTAACCTTAAATCAAACATAAACAGTTTGTGAAACTCAAGCTACAGTTGTGATTATGGTGTGAATTATTTTTTCTCAAATTTTTGATATCACTGCAGTACCTAAAGTCAATGTAAAATTTTATTGATTATCCTAACATTAGATATCGACTAAAACTAAAAACAGATGTATGTACCTTCTGTGGCTGCCAGCTACAGTTTAAATTGTGTTATATAATGATATAACTAAATCACTTTTTCACATGTGACGAACACTGATAGAACAACATATATGTAGCAAGCTGTACATCAGGCTATACAGTGATGGAATTCAGACATCTTAACACATGGCCAGTGGTTACCACAGGGCACAGCAATTAAAGAAAGTATGACTCTTGAATCACAAAAAACACCCCATCAACTTTAAAAATTAAATTGTTCAAATCTGATTTGTCTGTAACTTGACTTTCTAAAATGTTTATACAAGCTGCACAGGTACTAAGACTTTAAATAAAAAAAAACCTTCAGGAAACCTAGAATGGAATACAAAGAATCAAACTTTGAAGGCTGCAAGAGATTGTGGAGTTAATATTAAGTTCAGAATGTTCTTATTAGGGTAAATATTCCTTTAATTTGTATTTACAAATCTGGAGATTAAGTATTTCATTTCACATCTGATGTTTGAAAATTAAAATTTTAATTTTCATCAGTCATATGAAAATATTAAGTAAGAATTCAAATAACATTACAATACAAAATTGTATACAGTGTTGAAAATTCTAAAATGTAATTAATCATTTATTTCTGTTTGATAAGCAAATAATCACTCCTATGAGAACCTATTTCTCACATTGATACATATAGACCACAGTCAGTACTACAACTTGTGTTCTCTTCTATAACTTGAAAGGCATCCAAAGACATGACTTTAATCGAAACATAAAAAGATACAGGCTTATTTAGGTTTTATCATTACTGAATTTGTACTTCTTTTCTCACATACAGTAACACATCAGAGTGTAATGACCAATGATTTATGAAAACAAGAAAAACATACAGAGTACAGCGACAAAGTCAAGTAATGTGAACTGGTCCACCAGTTGTTTCTGATGAGAAAGATAAGACTCATATGACTGAATAAATAATGACACATACTTCATCACAATTGAAAATATTCTTGAATAATCATATTTCTAATTTTGGCAGTCTGAATAATTTGTTAAATTTATCACACCCCAAAATTTCAACTCCAGCTGTAATCAAAATATCGTGAATGGAGGGGCCTCACTTTATTATGATTTTGAACAATCAGAAGCATGCAACGTAGCAAATTTGGTGGTAAAAAATCAATTGAAGTCAGTTTGATGCAATGAAAAAGCACATCCCTCTTTCTGATGTTACTCTATGTCACATCTAGAGAATTGAATGAATCTGTATCATCCCATCAATCTAGTTCGAGTGGGAAAAAAGTAATTAGTTTTGAGTAGACATCTTTCCCCTAAAAAATGGTTTAAACTCAATATATTAATGTTAAATATCAAACATAAGATATATTCTAATCTTGAATAGCAAATTATTAATAACATTCTATTTCAAGACTGTTTGAAAAGAACATTTTCTGCGCTAAGGAAAATGAGAAGGATAAAAATTTGGTGTAGGAAACTTCAAAAGGCTAAACGACTAGATCTGCTTCAATGCAAAGTGGCAGAATATGAATCTGTGTCTTGTGTGGAAATGCACAAAGTACAGGTCTGTCTGTCACTCCCATCTACAGGGGATGGAGAGGAGAGAGAACCAAAAGTCAAGTCCATTTCACTCCCATCTACAGGGGAGGGAGAGGAGGGAGAACTGACAGTCAGGTCCATCTGTCACTCTCCTCAACAGGTGAGGGAGAGGAGGAAGAACCAACAGTCGGCGAAGGAAAACTGTCTTTGTATATTTGCCCAACATATCATTATGTTGAACAGCAATTTTTCTTTTCTTGTTTAGAACCACCAGTTAGGGTCTCTCCCTTGGGCTCTGAATCTCTACCTGGGGTCTGAAAGGGAAAATCAATCATTAATGAAAATGAACCAAAACACATAACAAAAGGAAAAGACATCCTTTCCTGCATCAAATACAGCCTAGCATAAAAAATTCCAATTTTGTCACACATGATACCCAATAAAATACTTAACAAATCAGCTCTGAATCTACTGCATTTAATTATAATATTTACTATACAAGAACCTTTCATTAAACAATTAACTTATTTCAGCACCTTTCATTAAACAATTAACTTATTTCATCACCTTTCATTAAACAATTAACTTATTTCATCACCTTTCATTAAACAATTAACTTATTTCAGCACCTTTCATTAAACAATTAACTTATTTCATCACCTTTCATTAAACAATTAACTTATTTCATCACCTTTCATTAAACAATTAACTTATTTCAGCACCTCATTAAACAATTAACTTATTTCATCACCTTTCATTAAACAATTAACTTATTTCATCACCTTTCATTAAACAATTAACTTATTAAAAGCTCTTTATTTATTTTACAACTATAGTGTAACAGACTATCTGCATTTTATGTATATAAAGCCATATTTGTCAGTCAGGGGTAAATTTGTGATCAATAGATTTTATTGTTGGAGGAAATTAGTCCACCAATAGAAAACTGACATTGTCGGGCGGATGACCCCATACCTTTTGTCTGTTTGAGGAATCAAACCTAGTTACCTAAAGGGCAAAAGGGTTATACCACTGCACCACCCAAACATTTACATACAAAAGTATGTGGACACTGAAACAGTGCAAGTGTGCTGACTGCATGTAGACAATGTCAATACATAATTAAAAATCACCTGCAAAAATATCTAAACATAAATCTCTTATATAAACCTCATTACAGAATCACTTGCATATGGTATGAAAAGAATCTTTAATAGGACTTTGGCCACCACACTCTACAGACCCAAGTATATTGTTGATCATGTTGGATACTGTATTACTAGTTTATCAATGGGTATCACTGGCCAGTTTACTCACCTTCAGTAATATTGCATTAGCTAAATCCATAAAAGCTTTTTCCACATTTATATTAGCTTTTGCACTGGTTTCTAAAAAGGGTATCGAGTGTTCCTTTGCAATCTGGAAGAAAAGACAGTAACATCTTAACATTACATTTATAATCATAAGAATTGTAATGTCTTTTCTAGTAAAGTTAATTTCCAGTAATTCTATTTTTCAATATTTTCAAGGGTGGAAAAACTATAAACAAAAGACCCCTTCAAAATAGAATTAATGAATAAAATAGTCAATGTCAGGAGCTTCTGAAAACGTATATCCTATTTGCATAAACTGTGAAAAAATTTGAATCATGAAAACAGTCTTTACACTAGTTTGAACACAAATACCATATCTAAATTAACAGCTTTAGTGAGTCCTTTTACTGCCACCATCTGTCACATTGGATTAACTAGTTTTGTGAAAAACTTGTATATCATATAACCAAAATATTTAAATAGATTTGAAAATAATGTCCACAGTATCAAGACATTTTCATAAAATTTAAAGATTTCATAGTATTCACATTAGAAACCATTCCAATTGCTAAAATTCAAGATGGGCACCAATAACCATATCAAATTTCAGATCAGACTATATCATATCTTGCAACAAGTAATTGATATTTGCAATCTTTGTTAAATTACATTAAAACACAGACATTCTTTTAGAATTAAGACAAATTGAGTCGTCACAATATTCTTGCCTTAGATTTAGGGAATAGACAAAAATACAAGTAGGATTTGTCATTATTGTCTGTTAAAGTAGTCAGAAAGCATTTTCCTTTTAAAATGTTAATTAAGTATAAGAATGAAGATTGAAACAAAATGCGGAAAAAGCAGGGTGATATCTGACTTACCGACTCTCCACGGTCCTTTGAGACTTGACGTTTGTTCTCCATGTCACATTTATTACCTAAAATCATTTTTTCTACGTCTTCATTGGCATGCTGAAAAAATAAGAAACAATGCTAATGTTTTTCAAAGTAAATTTTTGAATTCAAATGAATTGTAAATAAATAAAAAACATAAGTCTATCAAAACATTTTTTGCTGTTGAAACAGACTTTACACAATAATATTCACAGGATATTTTGTAAAGACTGCTTTGAATTAACAAATGACATAAGTATGTCTTAAAACACAAAAGCATGAAATTCCCAAAACAGAATCAAGAATTCAGAATCCAAAGGGATACCCATTTTCATTTAGAAGTGTGCTCTGTCTCCACATATGCCAGAAATAATCTACCAAAATATCTATCAGAAGCCAGAGGAAAGTTGGGCAATAAAGTGTGATGCTGTGCTAAAATTGTGCTGTTTTCTACAAACATCATGGACATCTTAAATATAAATCATATTGATTTATCAATCAATAAGTCCTTGTCTGGTAATAACACCACCAATGCATCTTATTATCCTGCAAATGGCATTGGCGAAATACACCTGCCACATACATTTTTGCTATATTTGACAGTGATGGAAAACAATTGTATTTCAGCACCAGCATTACCTCGTCAGAATAACTTTATAAACAAATCTTAATCTTACACTTAAAAATGAAAAAACTTGAAATAAGCAATTTTGTTAAATTGAACAAGTTTATTTAGTAAAATTCATGAAATTGTTATTATATCTATTGAAGTTAGGTACTACATATCAACATATGGAGAAGTTATTTTGACATATGTCATCAAGCATAATTTAGGCTTACTTATGCCTGTTGATATATGTCAAAATAACTGCTCTATATGTTGAAAGCATAACATCAACAATTGGTAAACACAGGTTTTAAGTTATGAAGTTTCAATAGTCTGAATTTTCAAGAAATGTCAAAAGATTTATAGAATACATGGTCAATGTCATAAAATAAAACATAAGTTGCTTTGTTTTTTACTTGGGATCAAAAGACAAAAAGTTGCTTGTCGCTTTTGCCTTTTTCTTAACCATAATAAAAATAATGTTTCAATTTTTGTAACACTATTACTTTTTACTAACCATGTATTCTAGATGCAATGCTGATCATTACAATCACCAACAAATGTTATTTTATGTTTCCTTTCAATCTTATCAATATTGAGTAGAACTGAAATGTGTTATGTACCTCGTCAATATTCCTTAACCACTTGGATATATTTTCGAAAGACTTTGTGTTAGTGATGTCATAGACAAGCATGATGCCCATGGCTCCACGGTAGTAGGAAGTGGTGATGGTGTGGAAGCGTTCCTGTCCAGCTGTGTCCCTGTAATACACACAAACATTTCATAACTCTCTCTGACTGCCACAATACACAAAATTCACACAAGTGTTCCAGTAACATATTATACAGGTAGTTTTATTTCTTATTACAAATGTTAATATTACAGCTATATAAACAAAGAAGCTTATCATACTCATGTTCTAAATCTGTATGAATGTATATGTAACATTTAAAAGTGGTGGTTGATTTTTGGAAATTGAGAGTGGACTTTTTCTTGTAAATTATACATACTAATTTTTTTTTTAAGTATAGGTATACAGCTATTATAGGTAATCATAGCAGGGTAGCTAGATACATAAGTGCAGGGTTTTCAATAAGAGCCGGTCGCCGGCCAATTTTAACCGGCTACTCTGATCATTTGGCCGTCTACACCAATCCAGTTCCATAATAATGTTCCATAAACGACTACACGTACACGGCAGGCCAGCCTCCTTCTTTCACTACACAGCCTACTACTAACAAAATTATGGAAAACCCTGTAAGTGGATTGGCAGAGTACTAGTCCTGTACACATTTATATAAGTCCCATATATAGCTTTACAAGTTTGTATATATTGGGAACATTTGAGTCCAGACTGCTTGATGTTAGGCATATAACTAAACTTACCATATTTGCAGTTTTATTTTCTTGCCTCCTAACTCAACCGTCTTTATTTTAAAGTCGATACCTGAAAAGAGAATGAACATGTAGATTTTGTTGGGACTGTTTATCTTTTTAAGGGGTTTTGCATCAGCTAATCCAACCTCTCTCAGAAGACAAGGAAACATAAAGTGATAAGTATGATTAAAATATGGAGTGAAATTGGAGAAAAAGCAATTATCAGATTGATTGATTGGTTTAATTCATTGCCTAATTGAACAGTAAGTGTGACAGCTTCTTCACTGAACAACATATCAGAGGCCCATCACATGCCATCTAGTGAAAAAAGGTTAAAGTATCTTGCCAAAGGAAACAATGACATCAGCACAGACTGGCTCATTTCTCGTTGAATGGTTGAACACCTTTGCAATAGCTAAGGGTAGTAATGGAACTCCACAAAAATTTCCATGATGAATAATTTGAAGTTATAGCATGCCTAAACGCAATATGTACATGAGGAGCACACATTAATTGTAAGGACATATCCCTGTGCATCAATACTAAAGTATGGTACTCGTGTGAAGACTTCTAATGCTAATTTAACTGGAAATACTGCATAGCTTAAATTACATGTGTCAATCAAATTTGTTTTGATGGGCTATTCTATCTCTATGGCTTTCTTTACTTATTCACAAGACTTAGGAGTCTGACATTCTGTCAGAAAGAATATATAATAATCAGTATAAAAATAGCTATTGAATACTGGTTATTCTACTGCGATTATTACGTAATCTTTATGTCAAACGTCAGGCTCCGGTGACTTGTAATTACTCATGATCATCATTTCTCTTTTTCCAACGATGTGGATACATACACCACTAGATTACACAGTGAGTATATAGTTGATGTCTATAATCATCATATTAAAAACTTTCACTAGACTATGACTCAACACTCGGAAGAGATATGAATGGATATGTCGGTCAATTTAAAATTAGGGAGGGGGCACCTGATCGGTGTCAAAACCGAGGGCTACAGCATTTAACTTACCTATCGTAGAGATAAATGTTGTATTAAAAGCATCATCGGAAAAGCGAAAAAGAAGACAAGTCTTTCCTACGCCGGAATCTCCAATCAAAAGCAATTTAAACAACAGATCATAGGTCTTTTTAGCCATCTCAAGACTTTTGAATAACACAAAATGGCGGAGTTCGATTTAAGTAAGAGCAAGATGATTACTCTTTCCCCGGAGTCTCCTCTACTTAAATTTGGGTAGTCCTCGAATGTCTGTCATTTCATGTGTCAATCTGGCCTTAATGACAGACTAATTTCTATTTCTGGATATTATATCAGATCAATAATCGGCAGACTTCATCAGTCGCCTCGAATCACGACGTCACTTCCTTATACGGGTTCTACTGCATTACTTCATCACAAGGGAAACAACTCTTGGTGACTAGACGTAAGGTATCAAGCAGTAAATTAATGATAGTGTTAGGCTTTTAATATGTGAATATTTGAGATAAAAATGGTCTGCGACGCAAAAGTGTTCAAGTAGAATGCACATGACTGGCACGTTTTTAAAATTTCCAGGCGAAGTTCAAATGTAATAGATTCTTTACATGAAATGGCACGTTATCTCGAAAAAGTTGGGAAAGAAGATTTTGTCACACCGGTAGATTTGAAAGTGATATTGTCATATTGAGTCTCAGTATGTAACTTGATACAAAATTAAGTTTCCATACACGTTAAATGACGTTCTATAATTAATGACTCAGAACCGAAATCGAATGCTCAATGATGCAATGTCAAGCTCACCAGTGCAAATAAAACTCAACACAATTTCTGAAATATATTCACGATATCCATGGAGTCATTTTATGAATCAGTTTGAATTTTGGTAAAAATCAACAAAAATACCCATATGTGAACATGGTAATAATCCAAATCCAAAACTAGGACAAAATATGAAAAGAAAGATTTATACGAAGACTCCCGAAAAAAATACGAGGATAATAATGCAGGTGTTCTGGAAGAGTAAACGTCTTCTGCTTCAGCGACGATACTCTCCATGTAAATCTATATAAGTAACGCCACGTTCTCAAATCAAAGGAGGACAAAGGCCAACTAACGATCATCAAACACATGGTGAATGAGAAAAATAAATCCTTCAATATTTGTAGTGTTATATAACTGTCTTTGGCCCAAATAATTCCTTGTCGATATCAGACACATTTTTTTTTACAGGATATTTGTTGCACACTGATCAATGTTATTTGTCTAGCTATTCGTCTTACATAATTATATATTCACTTTAAATACAATGAAAAAGGAATCTATGTACTTTTATTTGATTTAAACATATTCATTACTGACAGCGCGCGATAGTTTGGAATTAAATTCCATGCAATTCAATTTATTTTCACTTCACAAAGCCATGCATAGAAAAACATATTTGCAAATAATATACACCGAAGTGCGTGTTCATAACCAGAAACACACAACTAAAACCATCTTCATTGGACAGGGTTCATCTAGGATAAACTCCTAACAATGAGTAAATCTGTGTTTACGAGATGAATCAATGGCTAGCTGAAATAAACTAGTCAGGGTCGTGGAGGACAAATGGTTTTGATACAATACGAAGTGGTAACGTATATAATTAGCCGAGGTTATGTTAGGTCTAAAACAAGGTAGCGACCTAATAAAATTTATTATCTGTTTGATGACAGGTATCGTATCGACATTTAATTTTACTATCATTGATGTTGTTCCTTCTTCCGGTTCTGCAAAATGCTCACCTACAATATTTACTAAGCCTCAGTTTTCTCTTACATACTATAACAGTTTTTTTTGTTACAATTATGTATGGAATATTGATATTATTTATGTCTATACAGCATGACAACGAAGTAGCTTTCTTTAAAATATAGACCTTCATGGTGTCACATTCCATGTTTTTCCACCTATCAAGATAAACCTATATGATTAAGAGATATTAAGAGATAGGGTACAGAATTTTCATTGGATAATGGTTTAAACATTCCATGACCAATCTTGTCTTCTATCTCACTAGCTACAACGTACTACATATTTATTTCAGATAAAATCCAATCAGCATGTTTCTCCCAGAAAAAAACGTACCGCTAATTATCTATTTTTATCTCGTTTTCTGATAATGTACACACGAAGCTATGACCACTTCATTTGTAGCGCTGCTGTCCAATAGCGGGGAGGTTGCAGTATTTTTTCTCCTTCATATCCCGTAAGTAAGTTTCCAACTTGACTTCGTTAGGATTTTTATTGTTTGAATGACTGTAGCTATGTATTTCTAAAATACTTTTCTTATCTAATCATCTAATTTACTCTCTTTCCCACGTGTGTATACATGATCTATTTTTACTAGACCCGCTATGATGAAACATTATCTTTCAAATCTGAAAGGATATATACCTCCCTTTTTTCGGCGATATTATGTCTTAGGATCATTGGAATCATCTAAGGCTTTCTAGTCTAGTCTTTAACCATGACATGCACACCGAGGTTATAAACGGCATAAAGAGGTTACAGTTTTCGTCAGTAAAATGCATTATCTGGCCTTTGTGCGCTACCGTTTAGCGACTACAAGAGAGGACCGAGATATTCGAATAATAATAATAATAATAATAAAAAAATACAGGTTTCCGTTTTAATTACACATTATTTAACAGGGTCTCTTAATCTCTATGATGTTATATTCTCAAGCGAGCACACGGTAAACAATCACGTAACCGCCTAGTTTAAGGAGCATAAAACACGTCCATCTTCATATCGCACAGAGAAATAGAATGTTGAAATCCTTATGACGACCGCAAACTTGCTCCAATCATCTGCCCACCAACATTAAAAAGCTAGTATGCTTATTATGCAACTGACGGAGGATACCAGAGTTATGAAAAAAACCACTTGATACATTCGTGTTTAACAGGAAGTGGAAACGGATGTGTTACACTTGTGTCGATAACAGAATTGATGTCATGGATGTTAATAAACCGCTGAGTTCTGTCACTATTTATCAACTTCCTTAATCAATCTATGAAACTCGACATTAGAATATTCTAAATTAAATGAGTCACTTATCATTTTACCTTTGAGTTCAATTAGATGTATACTGTTTACTGGTGAAATTATCTTCAAAGTACAAGGATTTCATTCTCTGTATGCAAATTACCTCTTCTTAGGTCTTTTGTTCAGAGTAATTAAACATATCATTACAATGATATAGATTATTTGTCATTCTCACTCCATTTTACAAACAGCTGTCATCATCATTCCAGGGATGTACCAGCTGAAATCTTGACTGTACCAAACGTTCTTTAGAGGTAGCAGATGAGAAAACGATTTAGATATTATGCCACTGCATAAGCCCACCTGGCCCATTGAACCTGAAGTAAGCTAATACTTTGTGTATAGTACATGCTTGGAAAGGTTTCATGTTTTAAACAGTATATTACTTCAAAATTGAAGCAAGCTATCGCTATGAAAAATCTCTTTCCCCGAAAAAAAGAGAGAATTTTTTAATATTTCCTTTCCTCCAACTTCTTTTGGGAAAACCTAACATCTTACTAAGGACCTATGCATTTAGAATTGATGCTAAATTTAAAAACAGGAATTTGAAAACTATAAAACCGCATGAACTTCTCGTAGCAGATGTTGATTTGGAGAGTAATATGCATCTATTCATAGATAAACCTTCAATTAACACTAAACAAACAAGTCAAAAACAAAATGTAGCTATTTATATTTATTTGGAGAGGACTAAAATAGTCTCAGTCTTGTGAGAGGTCATTAAAGAGTGATATATAACACAGACACGGCCAGCTCTCTGCAGTTACTGTGTGAAAATAATGTAACAAAGTGTTACCTAAAAACCAAACAATTTTCTCAGTCATAACATATTGCATTTATGTTGACAAGCTGATGTTGAAGAATGGAGACAAGTCTCTTTTCTTTTCATGATAACATAAAAATACAAACATTCCTATTTTGATAGAAATAACCACTTGGACGGATTATGTGAAATTAGACATCAAGCTAAAAATCACACTGAACTACAGATATGTTGAAAATTTTCTGTTCTTTTATGAGTAACAAATCCTTTTAATTCTAACTTGTTTCTATTTTAAAAACACTAATAATAATAAATCAGATTTGATATTAAATATCTTCCATTTTTCATATTACCATGTCAGGTATATATAGAACTCCATAAAATGGAACTCTTTTGTCATTGATTACCATTAATTTATCATTAAAAAGATTACTTGTAGTAAGCTTAAAAAGTGCACAACTACCTAATGAACAATGAACATTGGTTGACATAATGGCAGCTACCCTACAACTCTCATTCAACTTATAGCCTATCACACAATTAAAGGAAACAACTTGCCCCATTACCATATAAAGATGAAAGTTGGTTTTGTCTAATTCTCTACTATGTTAAGTATCAACTGTACTTTGTTGATTTTATTTTTAACGAACAAAACAAAAGATTCATAACTGCATCAAACCTTCATTGTTTCTAGTTTTTCACCCCGAATTGCGTATCTATAGTTTTTATTCTGCAACACAATAAGAATTATATATACCGGTATATATTACAAGGGTGAAAGTTACATAGCAACTGACTCATTTCAAAACAAAATTTTTGTTTAGTCATTCTTAATGCTTATAAAAAAACATCCCATTTTATGTATGACAAATATTATAGCAACCACGTATCTCTATTCATTTTGTCTTAACTACTGCAGTGAAAACGATCCTTTATCATTAGCATAGTGTATACATATGCTGTACATACATGTATATTCACTCATTTAAAACTGTTCATATCAGGGGAAAGTCACAAGAGCACAAAATGTGATGTTTTTTCCATGTAAAATAAATGAATATTTTCTACAACTGACAGGGAGATAAATTGATAAAACATTGTAAGTGAAAATCTTAAAACACATGACAACATCAGTGAGAAAATTTCAAGTGCTCTAAAATGTCTATGTTATAGGAATGGTAAAAGATTAATTCTGTTTAATTTTCCAAATGAGATATTTTTGAAAACATGTACATTTTTGGTATAGCATGGAGACAGGGCTTGTTTGCAAGTTATACAAAAACAAAGATTTTCTGAAAACAATCAGGTAATTGAATTTTATGATCCCTCAGATATACTCCAGAAGCATATGTGACAGATCAAAGAGCCAGGTCCAGCTAGACTCATGCCTTGACGACAGGTAACAGGTATAAAAAGTCGTACATTCTGCATGTTAGAAGCAGTGATCTGGTGACACAAATCTGAAATTAAGTCCCACGATATTAAAAGATCTGAAATTTTACTTGAGAAACACAGAAAGCACCTGATCTTGTAGGTAAGGGATATGATGAATTCATTTGTATGAATGAGGAGGAAAATGACACAGTGTCCATGTTTGTGAAAAAATAGCATTCATGTCTGAAGGACCTTAGGACACAGACACAATAGTCAAGTTGTTGAAATTTGAGGGACACAGGGACAACAATGTTTATCTGTGAGGGACACATAAACCTGACATCTACTTGAAAGACACAGGGATTTTCAGCCTTTCAGTGAGCACTGCCATATTGTTATCAAGGTACCAAAAGATTACAAACAGTTTAAACTGGTTTATTGTACAGCTGGGACACATCAGCATTGACAAGCCCTGGTTTTATCTGCTTCTTAGATAATAAATACATTCAGGAGATTCAAGTTTTGACGGAATGGTTGTTATTAGCATCAGGTCTCCATTCCAGATTTTTACTAATTTATTTGTAAACACAAACGAAAGCTTCACTTTCAATTTTTCTACAACATAGTCATAATCCAAAAAAGCAAAATTAGAATCCCAACAGTATTTACAATGACAATCAGGATGAAAAATTTTGTACCATATATATATCACAGTGTTGTTTCAATATTTACATATTTTCTTATTTACAGGATGGAAAAAGAAAAATATCACAGACACAACTATTGGGATCTCATTATGATGAAACCACCCGAGTACAATACAACAACATGAACAAATTGATCTGTGTAAGTGATTCCACCGTATAAACTGACAGTGATGATAATGACAATTGATGACCATGATTAAGGTTGTACGTTGAAATGTTCACAAGAAGAAAATGCAATAACCTGTATTAAAAGTAGCACCAACTATGGTTAGTAGTCACTTTTTTTTTTACTGAAAAAAGACAAAAAGATCGCATTTGTGAAAAATGATGTTCTTAAAATAGTAGTTGAAATTGTCCATATTAATTTTATTTCATGAATCGGACTGATTCAATACAGTAATAATCCAAATTTCAAAGGAAAAGAATTAAAATTTGCCAAACTAGAATTGTTGTAAGGATACTTTCAAAATTTAAAACTTGGGATTAAAACTGGACAATTCTTACCTTTAAAAGGGAATGCTGCTGATAATTAGTGTATTTGTGAAAAAGAGACTCAGCAGACTAATAAATACTACAGGCAGAGGCCATGGTCAACAATATTTTGTGAATGTTTCTTTTTTAATCTCTCCTCGATGGTTCAAATTTTTATACCATAAACTTGAAGCAAGACAAATGTGTACTAAGAACTTTTCTGTCAATTGTATTTTCACTGTATCCATTGTTCCTGATTCTCTTCCATTCTCGAAAATAGCAAAAAACTGAACCTCTAAAAAAATAAAATTTGCAGTAATCTGGAGATTTTAACCACAGTGACATCTATTTTATCATACCACACATTGGTACATTACGGTATCATAAATACAATTTCCTAATGATGCTTTAAAAATCAACAGGAAAACTCACATGTTCTCTAAATCAACATACCATGATTAATCAACAAAACAACTTCAGTAACGTTGCACCATCTCCATGGTCAGAATTATAAGACCATTTAATCAAAAGAATGGCAATCTTAATATAACCAGTCCCACTCTGTCACGTATCTAACTTTTCTTGCTGAATGTTAATGGGTTTATTTCTTTTTCTTTTTTCTAGTTTTACCAAAAGACTATAGCAAATGCAAATTAAAGTTTTTTCACTAATTTTTATCTACACAGTATGTAATTTTTGTTGTTTTATTTCATCCCTAAAAAAGAAAAAATAAAGCCCCTCAATAATATGATACCATTTGTTATATCTTATCTCAAGTCCACAATATAGAACAAGATGGTGGAACAGTACATCAACAAAAATACCTGCCACATCAACAACGTAGACAAAACAACAACATGTGTCTTCGTGTCTGACCATCTAAAACATTTAACACTTCAGTATCAATTCAAAGACACTAACAACTTCTTGTATGATATAAAATGAACACGTTATAATGAAGTTCAACCCTAGCATTTCAAGTGGTTTACTCTCAACAAAATTTGAGTACATAATTCTGAATGGAATTATCATTTTGCCCATTCTATGGTTTTACAGAGTGCTTTATAACATCACATCCCCACCAGAACAAGTTTTCTTTGGATCTGTGTTATATTCATTAGCATTCATTGAAGATGATTTTTTATGGATAACTAGCACTGGCCGTCTCCGACAAATTCATAACGTCTGTAGTACATTGTCCATGCTTGGCACTTAGTTGTCATGAAATGATACTAAATTCCATCACTTTAAATACCTGAAAGATAATAAGAAATGGAATTACTTATTTGGTTGGTAAAATAAACCCCAAAAATCCAACAGGAAATAGAGAAACAGTTTTTCTTTCTAAAAATCATTTAAAACAATTTTGTGAATATGAGTCTAACAACGGTTGTCAGTAGATTGGTGAGGATGGGCTGTGGGGATGACATACTGGATGTAGTTGGGAATATGTGCTTGGCATTGTAATAGTGGAATGTTGGGACTCTGTGATTGAGATGAGAGGATTACGTGGGTAGAATAGTGATGATGGGATGTAGGGACTCTTGAGATTGGAATGGAATTTGTAATGGTGGGATGTGGGGATATGTGGACAGAATTGTGACAGTGGGATGTGGGGACTGAGACTGAAATGTAGGGACTATATCAGTGGAATTGTGACGATGAGATGTTGGGACTTTGAAGTTGGGATGTAAGGATTATGTAAACTGTATGCGAGTTGTAGGGATTGTGAGATTAGGGTATGAAGACTGAGGGCAGGCTAAGGAACTGAGAGAGATATATCGGAATTGTTAAAGTGAGGTGTGAGGTTTGTGAGTGTTTGGTTGCGAGGTCTAAGAGGCCATGATACAAGGTTGGTAAAGGTGGATTGTCAGTACAATGTGTGGGGACTTTGCGGGTAGGATGTAGGAATTTATGAGGTGGGGAGTGGAGATTAATGGCAAAACAATAAGGTTAGCAGATTTTAGAAGTGTATAAGACTTACTTGGCAGCCCAGTCTGTCCGTGTGTTGGTTGCTCCAACAGGTTGACGAAAACCTGCTGAATTCTTATTCAAGGACATCGGAGCTGCTGGTTGTGCTCGCTTCCAACTCACATTGGAATAAGCTGATTAAACAGATAAATACAACATTATAGTAATGCTACATTCTAAAAGACACCAAGAGGATCTTTCAAGTCAATGTATAATTTCATTTAAATACATCAAAGTTTAGAAAGTTAAAAATCATTGGTTTTCACATGGTAATTCATCACATTCTTTCATAAAAATTTCAAGAAAATGATTTTTTTTTCACCTTTTTCTATCTACCTTTGAACTAAAGTTGAAATATTACCCTCCGTGATAAATGAAAGCATACAACTAATTGACTTTGGTGGTAAGTGGAACTCTAAGTTTCAAGTGTTACACTGAAAGATTACATAAGCATCAATTTGTGAAATGGTTGCAGTTGAAAAGACAAATTTTCAGGCGTGCTTTACAGTTTTTGATGACCATCAATGCAATTTCAGACAACAATGTGAAAACTTGACTTAATACAAACCATTGCCTTTGGTTGGCGACAAAAAGGATGGAACATATGAATTATCTTGATTTCTCGACGAATAATCTTGATTGGTCCGTGTATTGTAACTTGGTGCCCCTGAAAAAACAGAACAATAAAAGAAAACCATTAAGACACAAAGTGGCTTCACCTAGCCTGATAACCTTATCTAAATCTTGACCTCATATCAGTCCACCAATATACACTGAACAGATAAACTCAGCAATATCTACCATATCTAATTTGAAACAAGCCCAGGACTCAGAGTCAGGGGACCAACCTACAAACTCTGACACACAGTGAGGAGCCAATCTACAAACTGAATAGCAATTAATATGGATGAACTTATTACCAACCATGGGCTTCAATGCAATATGAATACCATATTCTGTTGTCAGTTATATGCTTCATAACAGTTATTATCAATTACTGGACAGTGATTACAAAGTAGTAAGAATAATTTATATGATGTATACCTGGATATTTTTTGGCCCCACATTTTTTTATACACACATTCATGTACATTTCATCTCTGAGGAATGTGTAAAAGAGTACTACAAGTGTACAAAAGTTTCACCCCATTTTAAATTCACCCTCCATGTTTATGAATGAAAAGTGCAAAAATTAAACAGGTTGAAAATTTTCTAGTATACAGTAATCACACTCCTTGATTTTTTCAAAGACATTGTTAGTGCACCAAAAATGAAAATTAACTCACCCAGTGGTGGCAGAGGATTCCGACCCATATTGGTCCCACCACCAGTGTTTTTGTTTATACCAGTATTCCAAGGACTGCCAGTGTCTTTCTTGGCACTATTCCGAGGGTTTATACCTGGTAGGTAGCGAGCCTTCCCCAAGTAATGCTGTTTTGCTGAGGATGCTGCTGACGACCGGCCTGATGGCACTCGGGGTATCCTCTGACTTGGTTTTTTATTTAGTATGCTTCTGAACACAGCAAATATAGTAAAGTATACACATTAGTCCATACTTAATTCCAACCAGATGAACTGGCTTACATTTATATAAATGCCTATTTGATTTAATACTTATTTAGTAACAGTATTCAGGGAATGAATGGTAACATGTTGTATTTAACTACTACAGTAAGAATTACCACAAGTTTATCTAATTCAATCAATCTTTGACAATTTGACTTGACATTTATCAAAATGAAAATAACATCCAAGACCTACTCTAATCATGGCCATGTATTGCTATGATTGGGATAGAAAATGATACAAAGTCAAATCTATTCTAGTTGGTCAAGACAAACTCACCCCAGGAAATCATCATCGTCGTCATCATCAAAGTCCTTGTTAAATTTTTTGTTTTCATTTTTAGGTTTGATGGATGGTATGATGCCTTTGTATGTGTTTTTGGGTTTACTAGGCACAGAGAAGCTCATGTCCAGGTCATCACCCCAATCATCAAAGTCTGAGGTACCTACACCCCATCGCTTTCTTCCTCCACTCTTCTGTGGTGCTTTCTTCACTGCCACTGCAATCGGGTCCTGAAATGTAACAGTGTGCAGTACAAACAACTGTAACATTTCATCAGTAATCTTCTTTTAGTGCTATTCACAAGTGCAAGATTATTGCGTTGAAATAATACTGCACTAATAACAGTTTGTGTTTCATTATAGCACTTTTTCTGGATGTGCTAATTCATAACGTCACTAATGTAAAAACTGATAAAGCAGTAAATTTGACTGCATCGAAAAAATGACAAATTGATTCTATATTTAGGACCAGTCAATACATCAACCATCACTTAATGTGACCTCATTTACCTGTTTTTGTAATGTACAAACATAACTTCATTATCATTTTCTATTTCACAAACAAGTGCAATCAGTAATATTAGAGATTTTATTGCTTTGATTAAAATTCTTAGCTGAACTTATCAGTATCAATAATATACACTGTTTCTTACATTATCAAACTTATCCTTGCCATAGGATGGTAGGGGATCATTGATTTTATTGCCGTAATCCACCTTCTCCTGGAAAGGTTTAGGGGGAGAATATCGACTTTCCTCCTTCCTTACTGGGGACACTCTCACTGGCGAGGCTGCCGCTGGAGCAGGGGAGGCCATAGTCTTAGGCTCATTCCACTGTGTCTCTGTTTTGATACCTTTATTTGGACCAACTTGGAAATATTGGTACCGTAAACACTGCAATAACCGTCAACAATTTTGAGTTAGTACACATAAGTGTGGTGACAATGCATGAAACAAAATTGGATCCTAATTGCGCTCTAAGACAGGCTAAAGTAAAACCTGTCTTTAGTGAAATTTGTTTTAAATGTTAAACAAGAAAGGTGGTGGTAAAAAATATAGTGACTTTGAAATCTTTTTCAACAATTATAACTAAAGTTACTGTCAGAAACCATGGAATTGCATTGAGAAATATAGCCAGCTATTAATCTGATGTAATATCAGATCTGTTCACTGTGACACTACAATTTCAAAGAATCCTATCAAAAGGAGCAAGAGAAAGTATCACTCAAACCTACCTGCATGGAGGTGGGCCTCTTCTTGGGGTCCCACAACATGCTGTCTTTCAACACCATGATAGCCTCATTACTAGCATTAGGTATAAGACTTTTTAGGTTTGCTGCTACACACTGCGGCCATCTGAAATTCATTGCCGCAGCCAATTTGGCTCCTTCAGGCCAATCTTCCTGTAAACGATAAAAAAAACATGAGATAGTCACAGTGCATCAGCTTGTTACACAGAGGGTTACCTCCCCTTCCCCCTCTCTAATTAAAGGATACACCTAGAAGTTGAAAATTAACAAGACGTGTTTATGAGACACTATGCCTTCAGTTGCAAAAAAAAATTCTAAAGTTAGACATTAAAAATGTACTGTGTAAGGCATGTAACACAGTGTGGTAATGACTTTCAAATGTTGGTAAAATGTCAAAGTAAAGATCACATCATCAAAACTTTTGGTACCATAAGAAAGGCCTTGTTACAAGGAACTAACATGCCAAATATCAAAAGCCATACCTATTATGATGTGCTAGTTCTGGCCAATGTTGATTTTTTTCCCACATGTAGGTCAAAGGTCATGGTAAAGGTCAGATGGTCAAAACTTTTGTACCATCAGAAAGGTCTTGTCACAAGCCATATATATACCAAATATGAAATTGTTATGGCCAATGTTAAAATTTTTCAAGAATAAGTCAAAGGAAACAGTCAAGCTCACATGGTCAAAAGTTTGGTACCACCGGAAAGGTCTTGTCGCAAGGCTGGCAACAGACAACACAAAAACAATATGCCCTCGATCTTTCCAGCCGGGGACATAAAAATAATACTCCAGTTGTTTGGTAAATAAAACAAACTACAAATTTTAAACACTATTGATCTGTCAATAAACTCATGCTTGGCAATAAGCCAATTCTTAAATTACTCTTCAATACCAACCAATGCTATTTCATTACACTGCAAGCCCACCATCTAACTTTGAGTCAGAGGTAATAGGTAGTTCCTTCATCATATTTTATCAGTCATACTTTTAAAATCTCCATTTCATCAATTACAAGGCAGGAGTTATAGGAATATTGTCAACGTTTGAATTATAATAAACACAGTCTATAAACAAAGACCATGAAAATCAAACTACAATTACCTTTTTAGGTGTACCTAAAACTGAGCAAATTTTAAATATTTGGTCAATCTCTGAGCTGCCTGGGTATAGAGGCCTAAGGGTATAGAGTTCTGCCATGATACAACCAACGGCCCATATGTCTATGGGTGAATTGTAATTTGTCGACCGAAGTAGTACTTCTGGTGCACGATACCTGTAACACCAAAACATTCAGTAAAGAATTTGTCAACTTCAAAAATGTTATACAAGATTCTCTCTTCTCAGTTCTTATTGTTTTGTTGAATGTCAAAAACTTACATCCTAAATACAGAAATATTCAAGATTAAGGTATTGTCCGATATTGCATTTTGTAGTTTATATTTTGTTTTTCCTAAATTTCCTTTTTTTCTATTTTGAGGCTACTTTGATATAAAAGTAAATGAGACAGTTGTATTTGGCCCTTGTAAAGACTTGCTAAATACACTCCATGTAAGACCGGACTTACCATCTGGTAGATACATAGTCTGTGTATGGAGGTCGTGACCGAATTTCCCTGGCAAGACCAAAGTCTGCAATTTTCACTAAATCAGCACCTGAGCATAGCAGATTTTCTGGCTTCAAATCTCTGTGGAAAAAACCTGTAGAAACACATGTAAACAAACATTGAAGTAAATAAATATCCACCGTCAGCTTAAAAAAAATATTAATGTCAAATTGTAATTATCTAATGCTTACTACATATCATGCATTTTCTATCTTATCATTTCAACCCAGGGAACAGCTTCTTCATGAAGACCCAAACCTGACCCCTTCAGTAAAAAGGTCTGATCTAATGTATGTTACAGTCCTTAAGGGTAATTTTTATCCTGGAATAAGCCCAAGGGGCTCAAAACAGTGTGGACTTATTATAGGACAATGACAAAACATTTGTTAATAAATTCTATGGTACATCAATATATTGGTATATATTGGTGGACTTATTACTGGACAATGGAAATACATCTACCTCTATGGAACAGCAGTATGCTGGTAGATATGTATATAGGCTTATTACCATGACAATGGTAAAACATCTACCTCCATGGAACAGCAGTATGCTGGTATATATATATATATATATATAGATAGGCTTGTTACCATGACAATGGTAAAACATCTACCTCCATGGAACAGCAATATGCTGGTGTATATATATATATATATATATAGATAGGCTTGTTACCATGACAATAGTAAAACATCTACCTCTATGGAACAGCAGTATGCTGGTATGTATGTATCTCATAGTTGCCAATCTGACAGTCCAAACATACAAATGTAGAATCTGTTACAAACTGTGGTCATCTACTGACAGTAGCGACTGCCATTTATAATTTCCATATTTTATTATCAAAATCACATAAATCCACTCCACCACACAAACACGTAAATAATTCTTGAAGAAATACTAGTTCATCTTATTGACATCTGACTGAGAGCCAGTTCAATCTTTTTGCACAATAAACTGCTTTTATTGCAAATGAGCAAAAAAAAAATTATTATTCACAAAATTACACTTTCAATCAAGTTAAATTTGTGAATATACTATTTCATACAGTTGTTATTTATGCTGTCCTCAGATTTAAACTTCCTGCATCAGTATTTGGTCGAGTAGGAAATTTAAACAACATATTCTCATTTATGTTTTGTTTTTTTTATAGATATTTGATAACGGAAATATGAGTAATAAACAGTTACCAGATGAGGTATACAGTTGATATGAAGCCAAACCCGGTTAACAATAAGTATTCATGTGACCATTATGTTTTATATAAATACTATGATAGTATGCAGTAGGCGTTGACTGAAGTTGAAACAATCACATTTACAAGTAAAAAGTATATGGACAAAATATTTACCATGTTTATGCATGAAGGCTAATCCCTGTAGTACTTGGTAGGTTACGTTTCTTATTGTTGACTCAGGTAAGACACGATCTCTGAAAGGAACATTAAATAGATGGCTAAATGATTTTTAGGGATAAAATTCACACAATTACAGATATTGTCAACATGGTGGTAATGTATAGTAAAATCAGTAATTTTTGTGGGGAATTTATTTCCTTTGTTTTTGTGGACACCCTTCCTCCTCAAGTTCACAAATGCTTTATTAAGCTTTATTTTTCTATGAAATCAAGTGTCCACAAACTTAAGTGCTTCTTTCAATATCCATAAAAATTGAGCAACACAAAAATGTATGATTTTACAGCTAAATGCTACCAGCCATGCCTGAAGTCTTCAAAGGTAACACTAATTCAAAGAAAATACCAGCAGAAAGCTTGATTTTATGTGTGTTAAAATGATGATGAAAAAGAGTTGTTAAGTGTCTCTAGCAATTTTAGATCTTAATGTATCATCCTTGCTTTTGTCATATCAACATATCATATTGTCTTCATCTTTTGAAAACTGTTTTGCATTTAAAAGAATTATGATAATTGTCATTTTTGATTATACCAACAATTCACAGCACTCACCTATCCTTCATCATCTGATACAGATTTTCCTTCATAAATTCAAAAACAAAGAAAAGCTGGTCATTTTCTCTAATCACCTCCTTTAACTTCACAATATTGGCATGATTCAACTTCCGCAGCGACTGAAAATTTTAAAATATCTATAAAGATAAAGTCTGACAAACATCATTATTCAAAACGAAAGGATTATAAGACTTTAGTCAATAATTAGCAAATGACCTCCATGTATGTAATGTAAGCAAACAGAAAACAGGGTAAAGAAATAGTATCAATCTAAAACACTCCAAATTGTAATCACATTTTGTAACAATATCTCATTTACAATATAATTTATGATGTACATTGGGATACAATTGCTCAGTGATTTATCTTTTAATCTATTTCAGCTTCAACTTCAAACATATGCACCAATCAGTGTTTTATTTTTGTGCCAATGGGCACTAGGCTAACATAACAGGTCAAAGTTGAACTGAAATGATTGTTTCCCCAGATAGTTCCTTTAACATAATCATTACAAATATTGATTGTATAAGATAGAAAAGACAAAATGTACAATCATATTTCTGACCTTCAATAACCTTGACGTTTTGATTATGTGATGTATGAATATAAAATACTAAGTACAATAAAGATAATTATAGTTTGATTTCAAATCACAGCTCTCATTCCATGTACTGTAGGTGTAGTGTATTCATTTTTCTCTTGTTATATGAGGTATTACACAAGTAATGAGAAAATAAATTGCACTATTTTCAGTCACAGTGAACTGACATGATTAATCAGATTTAGGTAATTATATCGTTAAGCCTTTCAAGGAACGTTATAGTGTTAAATGACAAGTTCTGTATTGTAAGTGTCAAACTTCTGAAAGTTCTGTGATGTAAGTGTCAAACTTCTGACAAGTTCTGTATTGTAAGTGTCAAACTTCTGAAAGTTCCGTGATGTAAGTGTGGAATTTCTGGCATGTTCTGTAAAATAAGTGTGGAATTTCTGATTAACAAATTAACAAACAAGTGTGTTGGTCTGTTCTGCTTACCTTAACTTCTCTGAGACTTAAACATTCATCCCAGGAATAGTATTTCTTCTTCATCCTGAAATTGATACGAGTGTTTATTATAAAAAAATGCACTGCACAAGAAAAAAAAAGCCTAACACTTTTATAGTATATTTTGTACTGTAGTCATTCTTGTCTATATGAGAAAAATGTTTCCCTCACCGACAAGTTTGGAGAGATGACACATCAAGGGCTAAATGAATAAACAAATACATAGCTGTAGTTTTACTTGATCCTGAAGAACAGCTTTAAATTCAAAATGACTATCATCCTTCCCTTCATTTTTTGTAAAGTAATTGTCCAATTATATTGAACCTGTTGCTTATTGATGTCTCCCCTTACTTTGAATTATTTGGGGTCACTTAAATCAGATATTCTGTCGTTTTGTGTACAAATAACCATAGATAAATAACAATCCCAGGCAAGTCATCTGTAAATCGGAGATTATTAATTACAATGTTGGTTTAAATTCACCTTGGAATTCTTGTATAAACGTGTGTCTGCTTTCAGTCTCAAAACATAGGCCACACCAAGGTAGTTTTATGATGTTAGGAACTGCACCACTGATCCAGGATTGCAGGTTCTTTTCAGTTTTTTTTAGTGTTGTATAAACTTTTTCTGACAGTGATATTAATATACATTTCTGATGGGGCAAAGCTTATTTTCTTTTGTCCTTATGGACTTAAGCACAGTATTAATGTGACCAAAGTATACATGTTGTATCATTATACCTTCAATAAATGCTTAAAGTCAGAGAGACCTTACGTTACCAGCTTAATATAATCCCTGGTCCTTGATATGTCTAGCCAATGGCAAGGAGACTTCCTATATTCATTTACTCTTAATCACTTCTGTCTCTGAAGGTGTGTGCTTTATTGCATGTTAGTTTTTATATTTCAACCCAACAAACAATATAAGTAAGGTAAAACATTGATCCAATTTGTGTACATAAGAAAATCTTGATTACATATAATACCCAGTAATTATATTCAACTGCCCTTCGAATATTAATAATTTACAAAAGTGCAGACTAATGATCATCATGGCAAATTAAAGATTTTCACCAAATTACTAAAATGTCCCTCAAATGACTGATTATGTCTTTCTGTCAGTATTACAATAATTTCTGGACAGATCATTTTCACAAGTACACTTTTAAAAGAATCCAAAATATGGAAAACTGTACATGCATGCACTGCAGTAGCTCTGTACTACCCACAACTGGTACAGGTAGAATGCCCTTTAGCTGTGGCTTTAAAAATCAAAGATACATAAAAGATGTCTTGGCCAATTATAGCCATCTCCTACTTTCAAGTGTCTAGCTAGCATGATCAAGAATGGTCGCCGCACCAGTACGTATTTAGACTTATTCCACTATACAAAGGCAGAGTACGGGAATTCTAGATGTATACAGGCTATAAATACCATGAGTGAAAATCAGTTCGGCTGAAACTTTATATTTTTACTTCCTGCCACACCTCTAACATATGAGGCCACTGATCAGCCCAATCATTATCTCGCATTATAATTGCACCCATTGGTACAAGGCAACTGTCAAATATTTCTCACCATGTAAACACCTAATATACCTGTGTTCACTCTGATACACACTATATAAGTAACTAATATACCTGTGTTCACACTGTTACACACTATATAAGTAACTAATATACCTGTGTTCACACTGATACACGCTATATAAGTAACTAATATACCTGTGTTCACACTGATACACGCTATATAAGTAACTAATATACCTGTGTTCACACTGATACACGCTATATAAGTAACTAATGTGTTCACACTGATACACGCTATATAAGTAACTAATATACCTGTGTTCACACTGATACACGCTATATAAGTAACTAATATACCTGTGTTCACACTGATACACGCTATATAAGTAACTAATATACATGTGTTCACACTGATACACGCTATATAAGTAACTAATATACCTGTGTTCACACTGATACACGCTATGTAAGTAACTAATATACATGTGTTCACACTGATACACGCTATATAAGTAACTAATATACCTGTGTTCACACTGATACACGCTATATAAGTAACTAATATACATGTGTTCACACTGATACACACTATATAAGTAACTAATATACCTGTGTTCACACTGATACACGCTATATAAGTAACTAATGTGTTCACACTGATACACACTATATAAGTTACTAATATAAATGTGTTCACACTGATACACACTATATAAGTAACTAATGTGTTCATACTGATACACACTATATAAGTAACTAATATACCTGTGTTCACACTGATACACACTATATAAGTAACTAATGTGTTCACACTGATACACACTATATAAGTAACTAATATACCTGTGTTCACACTGATACACACTATATAAGTAACTAATGTGTTCACACTGATACACACTATATAAGTAACTAATATACCTGTGTTCACACTGATACACACTATATAAGTAACTAATGTGTTCACACTGATACACACTATATAAGTTACTAATATAAATGTGTTCACACTGATACACACTATATAAGTAACTAATATACCTGTGTTCACACTGATACACACTATATAAGTAACTAATATAAATGTGTTCACACTGATACACGCTTTATAAGTCACTGATATATACATGTGTTCAGACTGATTCACACTATATAAGTAACTTTAGCTATCAGTTTGATATAAATCAGCTCATAAAAAATTTAAGTAGTTTTTGTTGTTTGTTATAAGTACTCTATCAAGTGTTGGCTATGAAAACAGATATCAATCAATACTTCCTGATAAGAGACAACAGGCAAGTACATACATGTATATATATATATTAGAGTTTTACTATACATAGATTATCATGTCCCTTATCTTCAGATCAACAGTGACAAATTCTCTAGATAAGTAATATCTGTATACATCTATCTTGTCATATGTAACATAAACACAAATTGACAGGTACATACACATGCATGCTTTTAATCAATAGTGATGCATTTAAAACTTTGAAAATCCGGAATAAAAAATACAATATACTTACAAATAAACACAACATATTTTGTAGTAGATTCCACTACTATCATATACAAAACAATATAATTCTGTCTGATCCAAAAATCAATAAATAAAAGGTTTTTTGTGACAAAGAGATGGATGAGTCAATTATCTACAATCAGGTCGTTTTTAAGTCCTGTATAAGTTGAACCTATTTTGTATGGACTGTATTGATAGAATTAAACCGTCTTTTTTTAAGTGCAGCTGGAGGTAATAGAGATATCTCTTGCAATAATCCTGGACAATAAAACAGAATATTTTGGTAATTGCATTATTTTTAATTAAGTTGTAGACCTAAAAGTAGACATGTTTATATATCACTCCTTAAACAAAATTTAAAAGTGTTGTTAATAATGATGACGACAACAGTGATGATGATGTTTAAGAGTAACAAACAGTAAAAACTCACTTTTTAATAGCCACATGCTCTCCTGTTTCTGTACTCTTGGCAAGCAGGACACTACCATACGTCCCATCTCCCAACTGTTTCATTATCGAGTAGCGATTCATCTTGATATATATTGGTAATAAAACTTCCTAACTAATATATTTTCTTTGATGACTTAAATTTGCATTCAAAGGTGTGGTGTGACCTTTTACCCCTGACAGTGGTTATGGTGGGGTGAAGGTTGGCGGGGACTGGGTGTATCCCCACTGGTCATACTGCTACATTTCATTACTCCACCACACAGTCTGAAATAATTCAACAGAAAACACATGACAAACTTAAGCAAGTGTTAACATAATCGAAAAGTTTTAACATCATGGTTTATTACATATATATTACAATGCAGTTAATTACCTGCCAGTTACCTATTGCAATTATCTTTGGTCTATCATCATCTATCGATTCGTAAATATTTTTCAACTTTGTTTCAACATCCCTTGAACCAGTTTCAATGAAATTTTTTTCAGAAATCTCCCTTTGCCAAGCATGAACCAAACAGTAAATGATATGGTCCCCATGGTCTTGGGGCCTGAAGGGCAGGCCCAAATGGGGTCAAATTGACTAATACAAAAACCTTTTCCAAAAAAATTGCTAGGTTGTGAGAAGGTTCATTAGGTGTTTTACCAAAATTGTAAAGTTAATGACCTCAGGGTTTTACATTTCCCACATGGAATGGAGTACAGTTTATATAAGAAAATTACTTTTTTCAACATAATTACCGTTCAATTTAGAAATGATTCATTCTGCTAGAATTATGAAATATTAACATCAGATGGCAGTTAATATTATGCACATGTAAAACTTTCAATGTATGTAGTTCAAGTTAACTTACTCTGTTCACAATTTTGATATCTATAACACAATGTTACAAAAATGATAACAGGACCTAATTTGTTATCTTTTTTTATCATTTGGATATCTAAAATTTCTCTTAGATTTATACCAGCTGATTGGGACTTCGAGTCACCTACTATAGATATTTCATTAATTTTCAAATAAATGTTATATGTCAATGTCCTACTGGAAAAACAATTCTGTAACACTGATTAAGTCAGGATCATGGTTGAATTATGGAGCCAAGTGGGTAAAGTTTTTCTTTTTTTTTTTTATCACTGGAAGTCATATGATATATGATCAAACTTGCCTTAAACGCCACCTGTTACAGTATATAACAAATACCTATTTATAAGGACCACTGATTTAAGGGCAAAATTAATTACTTTTGAAATCAAGGAATTTTAGACATATCATTGAGAAAACTGTAAATAAACAACAAACAACTATTTAGTGATGTTCAACAATCTCAACAGTATAACATTTTCTTCACATATATTCAAATATGGCAAAAATTTCTAAGTATGTTGAAATTTAAACCAATGACATCTCATTTACAAAGAATTACAGAAAAAAGGAAACAATGAAATGGCAAATATTTTATCAAATATACTGGAACTTTTCCAAACCGACCATGCATAGGACATGAATATTTGGTTAGTTTAGGGAGAGTTTGGTTTGTAAAAGCAAACCAAATAGACCGGTCTCGACACAGATATAATTGGACCAATTCCATTTTGTACATTACATCAACCATTCCATCAGTATTAACTTGCAGTTTTGTTAAATCAGAATGCTTGTACTAAAAGTTTAAAGTCATTTGACACAGAAATCTCAGGTATATTGATACTATTGAAGTCTACATCTGTCACAAAACATTCAAACTAGGGATATAATTCCTTTGCAATCACGAAATAACCCTAACTCTAACCTGCAGAGTCTAGATGGTCAAATCCTATTATTACATTGTAAAATAAATTAAGATTCCATGAATCCAGTACTCACCACAGGCACAGTGTACCAGTTGACCATGATAATAAATTTTCTAATAGGGAAATAGGGAAACAGTACCAAAAATGCACTTTTTGCACTTATGAGGCAAATATGATATCAAGGTACACTGCTAGTAGCTAATATTGGGACAATTTCCATTCTTCATATTTAACACAAAATCTTGCATACACGTAAACCCCACCAGCCAGACCTTAACCATATTTCTTTAGTGTGACAGAACAATATCAACATTATTAACTTACAGCATTACATAAATGATAAGGCAAATGCTCAACACTCAATCGTGCGTACGTACCGTACAATGATATCTACCGTCACCATACAATGACAATGCTAATTAAAGAGTTATTTCCCTTCCCTTCTTAATGTTTTAACCCAAATTTATCAATTATCAACATCACGTATCAATTTATACATCCATAAACTATATCGATTGCAATGTCTGAACACAATTCAACATTTATCTGATGGTATTCATATTACCAGGATCTTGTCAGAAAGCCAAGAAATCTGGAGAGAAAAAAATGTTTTGACCTACGCCTAACGATAAGCCATCATGGTCAGCTTTTATCTAGCTCTTCGTGATGACATCGCATGTGTTAATTTTCTGACAAAATATCTAAAGCCTACATATTACGTATATATTTATCTGATATGTGACATATAAATTACTATCTGCTGTCCAGCGTGTTGTTGTATTGTGAAGTCCGAAGCAGATCAAAGAAGGAGTAAATGACAAATATACACAAATTTTAACAATAAACGTCGATAAATCGGATTAAACATACTTCTGGAAGTTAAGTTCAATGCCTGAAATATACCGACGAATCGATGTTTTAAGTCATCACTGAAAAATCAACAAATAAACATGTGAATCGGTAAAAGCTAAAGCACATACCTCCGCCATGACAGTTGTTGCTATTTGCGAGGCTATGTTTATCACGTGATCAAGATATAGCAACGAGATCACTTCCGGTAAGTAGGAATCTCGAAGATGATACTTAGAAGCGGTTCGAAGCTTTCAGGGACTTTTTTGTCTCAAATTGATAAGGCCTGTTTATTTTTTCTCTCACAAAACGTTGAACAATACTAAATACTGTAATCAATGTAAATGAACATCCAATCTTTAAACAAAATAATCTAATAGCCACGATAAATAAATAAGCCTCATAGATTTCGAAATGAAGGCCCTAAGCAATCGATGACGAGTCCCCAGAGGACAGCTGTATGTCGCAATTTGATTCATTACTTGGCTCTACTCTCTCTAACTCTAAATTTGTATTAAAAGGCCCGGGCCGTGCCAGCTTCATATTCTGTAAAAAAAAAAAAAAAAGAATCTTGTTTCAAGAAACTTGTTAGATAAAGCGGGACGGTTATGATAAGATCTTGCATTGTACATTTTGGAAGCAATACCGTCTGCATCAACATACCTCTTCAATCAATGTTTAGTAAGCCTAATGTTTCAGCAGAACTTGTCTAGATACTCCAATTCGCCCATAGTATTATTGTCATCAGTGTGTACAAAATACAAGAAAGTTTATTCTCTATCGTATACAATAAAACATGTGTAACATTAGCTCAGCAAAGATATTATAACGGCAAATATATACAAATATAACACGATAAACAAAAATCACAGGAGGAATATTGAAATAAAATTCTGCAAAGCATGCATAATGTAATAGGCATGGTATCAACATAAAAGTTATCACAGTGAGTTAAAGGTACACAGTACAACTAAAAAAATTCATAGCTTATGAAATTACACAATTTAATTATTATCACAGAACTATAAATCATTTAGATATAGTATTTTGGTAAAAATCAGGAAATAATCAAGAACTTATATTGGTAGTCAAAATAATGTTGAGTAAGAAAAATAACGATAATAAAAAAACTAGTTTTAAGACACATAAAGCACGAGAAATGCCTGAATAGCAAAACCACAACCTAGTAAATCGGCAATATTACTGAAAGTCAAAGAGCAGGTGGTTGGGCCAGTCCCTACCGACCAAATTCGGCCAGATTAAGCAGTAGAGAATACAATTGTAAATATAACAGCCAAAAGAGATCAATCAAATAATCTTTTCACAGATAAAGCAAGTACAAATGGGACCATCCCAGGTGTGGTCAGCCTCCAGAATTCTGGAAAGTATTCACATGTACATTTGGGAGGCTGTTCTACAACCCGACAGCCTTATAAGAGAATGATTTTGTCCATTCCTTGAAGATTTTATTCCTGGAATTTAGTCTCTCCTGAAATCATACGCAGATTTTAAAAATTTTACTAAATCGTGTATAGGTTCAGGGACAGCTTGTATTATGAGTAAACATCACAAACTTCTTTCAGGTAATTCTGTTAGAGAGAATTCTAACTTAATCGTATCTGCTCTAAGGAGAGGTGAACTCGTATTGAAACGCATTTCAGCTAAAGTGGCAGCATTCAAAAGAAAATGACACTCGCAATATATTTGGAATACACAAATCCTGTTTATATCATGCTTTATTCGTTTTTATTTCAAAGAATGTGGTTGTTGATTGATATTCTTTTTTCTTTGATAAACTCAATCATAATTTGAACGCATCATTATTTCTGGATATAAGACAGGAAACAATCTGCTACTTATACACTGTATCCCCTCGCGTAGTGTTAAACATCAAAATCAAAATGTAAACACAATTTTCAAATTTAAAAACTTGTGTGGTAAAATTATTCCACGGACGAAGAAGTACATATTTCAATATTTATTATAGAAAGTATGTCAAAGTTTGTTAACTCGACTCTGTTCACCATGTCTCACATGACCGCCACGTGACCAAACAGAGTATGGACAAAATGGCGGCGCGCTGTCGGGCCTTACTTTCTCTGTTATTGCCTCTGTCGTTTATGTTGTATGTGGGCGGTTGTGGCATAACAACACACATTGTCATTTGTGGGTACACATGGAACTTGATTGTAAAACTTATGTAAATTAATTAAATATTGTCTATCCAAATTTATACGAAGTGAAACGACGAAAAGTAATAAAATTCAATATATAACTTGCAACAGTCGGCAACTCTAACCCTTAGCTACTCTGTTTCACACTATAAGTTGACACTTGTTGGATAGTCTTCTTATTTTTCGTAATTTCATTTAATACTAACAACCCTAGGGAAAGTTGTTCGTACAAACTCTTGTGGCAGACTTTGGGATCTGCACCCATTCCTGTTGTGAGAATATAACTTACATTATATCAAATTACAGTCGTAAAATAGTAAAGGAAACGGAATTCTACAAATCACAATGTTCATTGACAATATTTGTATAAGTGTTGGTTCTTTACATACATGTATGTACACATATATTATGTGATATTATGTACACGGATGTGATTAACTTTGATACAAAATGTACCCAAGGATAAGCTGGCAGGCGTCCTACATTCTATATAGCTACATTATGTATCAGTACTATGTTGTTTGTATGCGTATTTTGGTCACATAAGACATTCATGGATGTACATGTTCATGAAATTATTCTGTGTATAGTATGGCAGTTCAAATATCCTAAAGACGTCCGAGGACCTGTAGTCTCAACTTCACTAAAACCGCTTCTCTTCCATGAATGCACATGTAATTGTTCAGTCAAATTAAAGGGAAGAAGTTCAAAGGTTAAGCAAGTAAATAAGAGTTTTTTTTTTGGGTTTTTTGGCAATTCAATGTCTTATTGTCCCAGAACAAAATTATTGACTACTGCAGGGTTGGGACCCTGGATTCAGCATCTGTACAAATATGTCCTCATGCAAAGTGCTCTCTTTCAACACTATAATGACATTCATTCATTTGTCATTTGTTCGTTTGTTTGTACATTCATTTATTCATTCATTCATTCATTCATTCATTCATTCAGATCTTCCTATAATTAGTACGTTATTCATTCTGTAATTCATTCATTCAATTTGTAATTTATACATTCATTATTCAACTCATTCATTCATCGAGAAATAAATTTATTCTTATTAATAGACTTTGCAGTGAGCTTTATCTCAAAATCATTCATTCTTGTTTACAAGTCTGACAAAATATTGCCCAGAGATAACATATAAAATAGATGAGGAAGGTAATATAAGTGTGTACCTCTTGACAAGTCAACTGGACACTGAATAATCCACCCATTGAGCCAAAAACAATATACTGTACATATTAACTTTCATCAACAAGGGGAGAGAACTTACCTTTTACTGAAGAATTACAGTATTCCTTTGTTTTCCCTAAGAGTATATGTTATTCAAAGATTGTTCAAAAACACACCATTTATTCTGGAAGAGAAGTAATGGTCCATTTCTTCCTGATATATTTCTGCAATTTCATTGATTTTGCAAAAACAATTTTACACATTCTGGAAAATGGAATGGAGTTTTTCATGTGATTATAATATATACAATGTTTTATGAAAGTGAATCAGGGTCAATCTCAACCAATCAAACGAAAAGGTGCAATATCTTTCAATGTTCAGCCATGAGATAATTTCTTCCCTCAGGACAAAAAAAACCAATTTAACCAATAAACAAAACTGAAGAATCATATTTAAGACTATAGATTATAGAACACAATATGCAGGTAATCATATTAGAGTAGGAGAGGTCTGATACCTTTTCCTTCAATGAAAACAATGCTATAGCTAATAATCAGGAAATTGATCAACAAATTGATAATTATTATTTTCATGAGAGGTATGACTATTTTTTCATTTTTATTATTCTCAATTAATTTATTCTTAATATATCTTTTTAAAATCTTTTGTACAGCTGAAAGAGCACAGGCAAATTTCGGTAACATTGGTCCTTCACATGTTGATTATAAAGAGGTTTGTATTTTTTGACATATGATATGAAACACATAGTTTTTAGTTTGTCATGCTTTTGGATTGTTTAGAAAATGAATTGGCTATTCTGATATACAAGATCTTAATATCATTAGGCACTAGCATCCAGCACTTTTTTCTTTTTAAGAAGAAAATGAAATAAGATATGTAACCAATTTTTTATAAAGAATTTTGGAACTCTTTAAATGCATATAGCTTATAATTATGATCTAAGTTTTTTTTATCATTAATGGAAACTTGTGAATGATTGTCCAACTTCAGATTATAACCAAGCATCATGATGCCTTTATGGCTGGTAGTCCGTACCCTGATGCCTTCTACAGTTCTCTGTGTGATAAAGGTAATCCTGAAAAATCTGTATCATTTCCTATATAAATGTATACATTATAATTTATCTTCAATAAGAGAAATAAATCATTAGTAGTTTATAGAATCTTTACTTTTTGGTGATTATGTTTTAGGTGAAACTTTCGTCTTTGAAAATGTTTCTTTCACTATACCTAAATAAATAAATACATTTAATCTGACCTGTTCAAGTTTTCAAATAAACATCTTTAAATTCACCAGTTTCACCCTCCTGGCCAGAGCTAATTAGATGGTAAGAAGTCAATAAGTCCGCTTTTGTTCATGATTATACTTAAATTTTCAAAAATAAGAAAACTGGGAAGAGGAGAAACTGTTATTAAAACAGAAGGAAAAAAAAGTGTATTTTAAATCACTTTAATAGGAAAATCAAATTCTTTTGAAATTGAATCTTTTATCTCAGGAAATTACCACAATGTGTCTGAGGACACTCACTGGTCTGGTTTTCTTAATGCAACCATCAACTACATCAGGAATCATTATCCTCAACCCTGGGACACGGTAGGTGTTATTGTCTTTTCTCCTGAGACATAGTAGGTGTCACCCTCCTCCACCCTGGGACACGGTAGGTGTCACCCTCCTCAATCCTGGGACAAGGTAGGTGTCACCCTCCTCAACTTTGAGACACAGTAGGTGTTATTGTCTTTTCTCCTGAGACATAGTAGATGTTATCCTCCTCAGCCCTACATGACATAAAAGGTGTCGCCTTCCTCAACCCTGGGACAATTTTGGTGTCGCCCTCCTAAGCCCTATAAGACATAATAGATGTCACCCTCCTCAACCCTGGGACATGGTATCTGTCAATCTTCTTAACTCTTGGACATGGTAGGTGTCACTGCCCTCAACCATGGGACATGGTAGGTGTCGCCCTGCTCAGTCCTATAGGACATAAAAGGTGTCACCCTCCTCAACCCTGGGACATGGTAGGCACCACCCTCCTCAACCCTGGGACATAGTAGGTATCACCCTCCTCAACCCTGGGACAATTTAGGTGTCACCCTTCTCAACCCTGGAACATAGTAGGTATCACCCTCCTCAACCATTGAACATGGTATATGTTAATCTCCTTAACTGTTGGACATGGTAGTTGTCACCCTCCTCAACCCTGGGACATGGTAGGCACCACCCTCCTCAACCCTGGGACATAGTAGGTATCACCTTCCACAACCCTGGGACAATTTAGGTGTCACCCTCCTCAGTCCCAGTTAGTAGGTATCACCCTCCACAACCCTGGGACAATTTAGGTGTCACCCTCCTCAACCCTGGGACATAGTAGGTATCACCCTCCTCAACCATTGAACATGGTATATGTTAATCTCCTTAACTGTTGGACATGGTAGGTGTCACCCTCCTCAACAATGGAACATGGTATTTGTCAATCTCCTTAAATCTTGGACATTTTAGGTGTATTGGTCCTCATCCCTGGGACATTGTAAATGTCACAGTCCTCAGTATTATGTAACTGTCACTGTCCTCAACATTAGGTCACACCTATAGTGGATCAGTTGCCAGTTTATTTGTTCTGAATGATGAATATTTGGGAGATATCCCCCTTTTTCCTTTGATGTTTATGCTGACTGTTTAAAACTTGTTTGTATTACAAGACCATTGAGAAACTAGTGGTACATTGTACCACTGTTTTAGGGTTAGAGTTGTCTTCCCTTACTCATTTGAAACCAATGTTGAATGTTACCTTGTTTGTATTACAGGCCACAGAGAAACTGGTAGCCTTCATGTTTGGGGTTGTCTCCCACCAAGTGTCTGATGTTGTATGGCACAGTCTCGGCATGGACCAGGGCTTCATCACTGCCATGGGAATGGTGAGTGTATAAACGATTTATATTGTCTGTTGAAAAAGTGAAGTTAAGGATTTTCCTTGAATAAAAAACGTCTGAGAAAATATATTGAGTTGCCTAACATCTTTTAACAAGAATCAATATGATAGAAGAACTGATTAACATGTTTGTTTAACTTTATCTAGGAAAACTTTCATGGCTCCTACAGTGATGCTCGCTCAGCTGCTGATTTCGGTAAGTCAGATGTAAATCAGTTTGAAAACTGATTAAAGAAAGGATTTTAATTAAAGATGGTCCCTTTAAAGGTCAATATTTTCAGATGATAATTGGCTTTGTTCAATCAGCAAAAATAATTATTAAGATACTTGTTTTGTTTCTAGGTGGAGATGTAATGAACCTGTATGATATGGATGTTACACTGTTCATGGATCCTCTCAAGGAATGGTAAGTCAAATCTGTTTCTGATGTTTACATTGACTCTATGATGGAATGAATGGAGCGTCAAAATCTATTTGATGTTTGCATGGACCCCCTGAAGGAATGAATGGTATGTTGAAATCAGTATTATGTTTACATGGCCCATTTAAAATAATGAATGGTGAGTCACATTCTGTTTACATGGACCTTTTAGAGTAGTGAGTGGTGAGTCACATTCTGTTTGATGTTTACATGGACCTTTTAGAGTAATGAATGGCGAGTCACATTCTGTTTACTGTTTACATACCTTTTAGAGTAGTGAGTGGTGAGTCACATTCTGTTTTATGTTTACATGGACCTTTTAGAGTAGTGAGTGATGAGTCACATTCTGTTTGATGTTTACATGGACCTTTTAGAGTAGTGAGTGCTGAGTGACATTCTGTTTGGTGTTTACATACCTTTTAGAGTAGTGAGTGGTGAGTCACATTCTGTTTTATGTTTACATGGACCTTTTAGAGTAGTGAGTGGTGTGTCACATTCTGTTTGATGTTTACATGGACCTTTTAGAGTAGTGAGTGCTGAGTGACATTCTGTTTGGTGTTTACATGGACCTTTTAGAGTAGTGAGTGCTGAGTGACATTCTGTTTGGTGTTTACATGCCTTTTAGAGTAGTGAGTGGTGAGTCACATTCTGTTTGATGTTTACATGGACCTTTTAGAGTAGTGAGTGGTGAGTCACATTCTGTTTGATGTTTACATGGACCTTTTAGAGTAGTGAGTGGTGAGTCACATTCTGTTTGATGTTTACATGGACCTTTTAGAGTAGTGAGTGCTGAGTGACATTCTGTTTGGTGTTTACATACCTTTTAGAGTAGTGAGTGGTGAGTCACATTCTGTTTTATGTTTACATGGACCTTTTAGAGTAGTGAGTGGTGTGTCACATTCTGTTTACTGTTTACATGGACCTTTTAAAGTAATGAATGGTGAGTCACATTCTGTTTGATGTTTACATGGACCTTTTAAAGTAATGCATGGTGAGTCACATTCTGTTTGATGTTTACATGGACCTTTTAGAGTAGTGAGTGGTGAGTCACATTCTGTTTGATGTTTACATGGACCTTTTAGAGTAATGAATGGTGAGTCACATTCTGTTTGATGTTTACATGGACCCTTTAGAGTAGTGAGTGGTGAGTCACATTCTGTTTGATGTTTACATGGACCTTTTAGATTAGTGAGTGGTGAGTCACATTCTGTTTGATGTTTACATGGACCTTTTAAAGTAATGAATGGTGAGTCACATTCTGTTTGATGTTTACATGGACCCTTTAGAGTAGTGAGTGGTGAGTCACATTCTGTTTGATGTTTACATGGACCTTTTAAAGTAATGAATGGTGAGTCATATTCTGTTTGATGTTTACATGGACCTTTAAGAGTAATGAATGGCGAGTCACATTCTGTTTACTGTTTACATACCTTTTAGAGTAGTGAGTGGTGAGTCACATTCTGTTTGATGTTTACATGGACCTTTAAAGTAATGAATGGTGAGTCACATTCTGTTTGTGTGAATTGTGATTTGACTGACACTCTGGATTCATTGGGATAAGCCTGCCTGCCTTTTAATTAGTTAATTAATTGATAAATCACCTAATATCAGTGTATGTAGGTTTTCCTTATATGTAGTTTTTTAATGATATATACAACAAATATTTTCAATGAAATATTTTGATATGTATGATAGGTATGTTCCTGTAGATGACCTGACAAGGATTTATCAGGAGTTTTATGGTACGACCAGGATCACCAGTCCAGTCATCGACAACTGTTCTACTTTACTCCTTGTAGGAGGGTGAGCATTCTGACTTTATATGAAACAGGTGATTTCTTCTTTGTATCAGTGATAATTCCCAAGCTTTGAATAATATTAACAAGTAAACAGGTTATGAATACATTATAATTACAGGTATGCTGAGATCGCTGGTGGCTCAGATGTAAGTATCACAGTTCATTGTCTGTATATAGTCATGTGGGGTACATGACTAGAAGTACATGTGTGTGTCCTGGAGTGTTTTTCACAAGGATGATGGACAGCAACCCGGGGCAGTTTAATTGTATCTAAGGAAGCTGAGAAACTGATCGTCTTGTGCACCAATGGCTGTGTTGTTGGTCAAGAAACTTAACCCAAAATACTTTGGATGACAGGTGGCACACCTCCCTTAGGTTGTGAAGGGCATAGCTACTAGCTACTAGACAAGGAGATAAACCCAGCAAAAAAAACAACAAAATTACATATTAAGATTAGACTGTAAATCAAACATTTTTGAATGATGTATAGTTTTCATATGGCATGCCTGATGGTCAGTCATAGTATTAAACAGATTGTTAATTTCCATAGTGTCAATGATTCTCACAATAAAACTTAAATTGATTCATACCAAAGTCTGTTGTATGATATCATACAAAAATAATGTGACATTGGTTTGACAGGCATATGCTGCTGTTGCCAATACCAGTCCATTTCTTGTTGATGAATACCTTGATTACTTCCTGGGCGGAGTTAGAGACATGGCAGGTTGGTCAGCTCGACTGTGGAACCGCACCATCACCATGCTGGAGAACGGCACCAGGTCAGTAATACAACTTTAAACATTATACTATTTCACCAGCAATGAGCCTATGGTTGGTACTAAGCTCACCAAAAATGTACTGCCTTTGAAAAATAGTTGAGAATCTTAGTTGTAGTTTTCTGATGTGATGTCTACAGGTTGTGGTGTTGAGAGCCTTAGTTGGAGTTTTCTGATGTGATGTCCACAGGTTGTGGTGGTGAGAGCCTTAGTTGTAGTTTTCTGATGTGATGCCCACAGGTTGTGGTGGTGAGAGCCTTAGTTGGAGTTTTCTGATGTGATGTCTACAGGTTGTGGTGTTGAGAGCCTTAGTTGGAGTTTTCTGATGTGATGTCCACAGGTTGTGGTGTTGAGAGCCTTAGTTGGAGTTTTCTGATGTGATGTCCACAGGTTGTGGTGTTGAGAGCCTTAGTTGGAGTTTTCTGATGTGATGTCCACAGGTTGTGGTGTTGAGAGCCTTAGTTGGAGTTTTCTGATGTGATGTCCACAGGTTGTGGTGTGGAGAGCTTTAGTTGTAGGTTCTGATGTGATGTCCACAGGTTGTGGTGTTGAGAGCCTTAGTTGGAGTTTTCTGATGTGATGTCCACAGGTTGTGGTGTGGAGAGCTTTAGTTGTAGGTTCTGATGTGATGTCCACAGGTTGTGGTGTTGAGAGCCTTAGTTGGAGTTTTCTGATGTGATGCCACAGGTTGTGGTGTTGAGATCCTTATTTATAGGTTTCTGATGTGATGTCCACAGGTTGTGGTGGTGAGAGCCTTAGATGGAGTTTTCTGATGTGATGTCCACAGGTTGTGGTGTTGAGAGCTTTAGTTGCAGTTTTCTGATGTAATGTCCACAGGTTGTGGTGGTGAGAGCCTTAGTTGCAGTTTTCTGATGTGATGTCCACAGGTTGTGGTGTTGAGAGCTTTAGTTGCAGTTTTCTGATGTAATGTCCACAGGTTGTGGTGTGGAGCGCCTTAGTTGTAGTTTTCTGATGTGATGTCCGCAGGTTGTAGTGTTGAGAGCCTTAGTTGGAGTTTTCTGATGTGATGTCCACAGGTTGTGGTGTGGAGAGCTTTAGTTGTAGGTTCTGATGTGATGTCCACAGGTTGTGGTGTTGAGAGCCTTAGTTAAAGTTTTCTGATGTGATGCCACAGGTTGTGGTGTTGAGATCCTTATTTGTAGGTTTCTGATGTGATGTCCACAGGTTGTGGTATTGAGAGCTTTAGTTGTAGTTTTCTGATGTGATGTCCACAGATTGTGGTGTTGAGATCCTTAGTTGGAGTTTTCTGATGTGATGTCCACAGGTTGTGGTGTGGAGAGCTTTAGTTGTAGTTTTCTGATGTGATGTCCACAGGTTGTGGTGTGGAGAGCCTTAGTTGGAGTTTTCTGATGTGATGTCCACAGGTTGTGGTGTTGAGAGCTTTAGTTGCAGTTTTCTGATGTAATGTCCACAGGTTGTGGTGTTGAGAGCCTTAGTTGGAGTTTTCTGATGTGATGCCCACAGGTTGTGGTGTTGAGAGCTTTAGTTGGAGTTTTCTGATGTGATGTCCACAGGTTGTGGTGTGGAGAGCCTTAGTTGCAGTTTTCTGATGTGATGTCCACAGGTTGTGGTGTTGAGATCTTTAGTTGCAGTTTTCTGATGTAATGTCCACAGGTTGTGGTGGTGAGAGCCTTAGTTGGAGTTTTCTGATGTGATGTCCACAGGTTGTGGTGTTGAGATCCTTAGTTGGAGTTTTCTGATGTGATGTCCACAGGTTGTGGTGTGGAGAGCTTTAGTGGTAGTTTTCTGATGTAATGTCCACAGGTTGTGGTGGTGAGAGCCTTAGTTGGAGTTTTCTGATGTGATGCCCACAGGTTGTGGTGTTGAGAGCCTTAGTTGGAGTTTTCTGATGTGATGCCCACAGGTTGTGGTGGTGAGAGCCTTAGTTGGAGTTTTCTGATGTGATGTCTACAGGTTGTGGTGTTGAGAGCTTTAGTTGGAATTTTCTGATGTGATGTCCACAGGTTGTGGTGTGGAGAGCCTTAGTTGCAGTTTTCTGATGTGATGTCCACAGGTTGTGGTGTTGAGAGCTTTAGTTGCAGTTTTCTGATGTGATGTCCACAGGTTGTGGTGTGGAGAGCTTTAGTTGCAGTTTTCTGATGTAATGTCCACAGGTTGTGGTGGTGAGAGCCTTAGTTGGAGTTTTCTGATGTGATGCCCACAGGTTGTGGTGTTGAGAGCCTTAGTTGGAGTTTTCTGATGTGATGCCCACAGGTTGTGGTGTGGAGCGCCTTAGTTGTAGTTTCTGATGTGATGTCCACAGGTTGTGGTGTTAAGAGCCTTGGTTGTAGTTTTTTGATGTGATGTCCACAGGTTGTAGTGTTGAGATCCTTAATTGCAGTTTGTGAAATCTCAACAAAAGTGTAGGGAGCAGTGTGGTAGATTGGTGTAGCTTGTTACAAATATATAAAATGTGACTGAATTGATGGAACCTTGGATAATCATGTAAGAGATACCTGTTCAGTTCCTGTTAAGAGCAGCCAGCAAAAAGTTTTTCCTGTTCTTTAATCTGCATTTTTTCTATTTCTTGTGTTGTATGGGTTAATTGTGTATATGTCGTGTGTTGTTTGTTTTTAACTTCAGGTAGAGTTTATTTTTTCTGTTTCAGTTCATGTGTGATCCCACACAATCCACTGTTTATCAACTGTAATGGGTCATCCTCACAAGAGTTTTACAGATTTCACAACAATAAGGAGAAGAATGGCTTCTTTCGACAGCCTGACCTACGTGGTCTTACACAGGATGATGTTATTGTGGAGAAGGCCTATAGGGGTATTCTTGTCAAACCAGGCCACAAGATCAGGGTAATCATTACAATTATTAGCAGCTTCTTTCTACATTGAAAGCATCTTGACCAACAAACAACAATGAAAAAGTCCTTATCCCTTTATCAGCAGAATCTGAAGTTTATTTTGAATTCCCTTGACACCTCCACTGTTGCTATTTTAGAGGGATTATAATTTAAACATTTTAACTGATGAAATGTAATCACCAAAAACATCTGATACTATTATATACTGGCAGCAGTTAATGTTCTTGTCTTCTACAGTATATACTTCCAGCAGCTCCTTTTCTCATCTTATATGTTACATACTGCCAGCAGTATTTGTCTCATATTGGTTTGTTCTGCCAAGTTTAATTGTAGCAAATTAAGTATCCATCTCTTTAAATGTTAGTTTCCTGGTAACCCATAATGATTTGTAAATATTTTGATAAGTCTTTATTAGAAAAGAGGAGGAATGCTATACTAACAAGGAGGAAGAGTATTATGGAGGAAAAGAAGAAAAGGAAGGAATTGGAACAACTAAGAGACAGTCCAAATATGATGGGTATCTACTACGCTCCTGACAGATTTGCTAAATTTGGATGGTAAATAATTACTGATGTTTCTTTAAAATTACCATGTCCCTTGTTTCACATTAAGAAATATGCAAGACCCATACATTGTGATAATTACTACATGCACTGGTACATCCAACTGTACTTGACATTTCTGAGTAATAATCATACTGTTTGATATTCATGTAATGTTGACCTACAAGAAAAACAATATGACCCACAAAAAATTATGCTTTGTGCATGTATACATTTGCTGAATGGTTTGTATCCAATACCTATCCACTGTGTATCCAATATTACTGGCAGCTTTTTCATTTATAGGTCACTTGCAGTTGGTGACATTAGTGGTGACGGTAATGATGATTTGGTGGTGGGGGCCCCTGGATATGGGGGCGGAGGCAGTCCTGACCAAGGCAGAGTGTATATTTTATATGGTGAGCTAACAATAGTTTAGACATGTGCATGGTTACAGGTTTTTCTTTTGTGTATCTTATAGGTGAATTCATATGTCCATACATTAATATTGATTTTTTAAAGTTTGGTATTAAGTTGTTTATATATAAATATAAAAGAAAAAACAATGAAAAAACAAAAACAAAGTACAGCAAAAAAAAGGTGAGCATCACATTATTTTACACTAAGAATACCGATATATGGTACTTCAAAATTGTCTGTTTCTGATTTAACTACAATATAGTACAGATATAATTGGTCAGATCTGTTGATGTGATAAAGTATGAATCCTAAGTACAAAATATATTTCATCAATATATAGAATGATAGTTGTCTCTCCTTAACCAATCAAGTGATCAATAACGTGCCTAAACCATAAACTTTTGATATATATGAAATTTGATTTTTTGCCCATTAATTATGCTATTTTGACAGGGTCGGATGATGGAATACCTGTTGCTCAAGGTGCCTTTTATGAACTTAATATGAATGAACAAGCAAATTGTACTCTACATGGCCCTCCACAGGTAACTAATATACAATTCTCCCCTGTCCTGTATCCTCCACACGTAACTAATATACAACAGTCCCCTGAGACCTCTACAGGTAACCAATACACAACAGTCCCCTGGGACCTCCACAGGCAACCAATATACAACAGTCCCCTGGGACCACCACAGGTAACCAATATACAACAGTCCTCCGGCACCTCCATAGGTAACTGATATACAATAGTCCCCCGGGACCTCCACAGGTAACTGATATACAACAGTCCCCCGGGACCTCCACAGGTAACTAATATACAATACTCCCCTGTATCCTCCACACGTAACTAATATACAATACTCCCCTGTATCCTCCACACGTAACTAATATACAATACTCCCCTGTATCCTCCACACATAACTAATATACAATACTCCCCTGTATCCTCCACACGTAACTAATATACAATACTCCCCTGTATCCTCCACACGTAACTAATATACAATACTCCCCTGTATCCTCCACACATAACTAAAATACAATACTCCCCTGTATCCTCCACACGTAACTAATATACAATACTCCCCTGTATCCTCCACACGTAACTAATATACAATACTCCCCTGTATCCTCCACACGTAACTAATATACAATACTCCCCTGTATCCTCCACACATAACTAATATACAATACTCCCCTGTATCCTCCACACGTAACTAATATACAATACTCCCCTGTATCCTCCACACGTAACTAATATACAATACTCCCCTGTATCCTCCACACATAACTAATATACAATACTCCCCTGTATCCTCCACACGTAACTAATATACAATACTCCCCTGTATCCTCCACACATAACTAATATACAATACTCCCCTGTATCCTCCACACATAACTAATATACAACTGTCCTCTGGGATCTCCATAGGTAACCAATACACAACAGTCTGCTGGATCCTCGATAGGTAACCGATATGCAACAATACACTGGGACCTCCCCAGGTACCCAATATACAACAATACACTAGGACCTCCCCAGGTACCCAATATACAACAATACACAAGGACCTCCCCAGGTTACCAATATACAACAATACACTGGGACCTCCCTAGGTAACCAATATACAACAATACACAAGGACCTCCCCAGGTACCCAATATACTACAATACACAAGGACCTCCCCAGGTACCCAATATACAACAATACACAAGGACCTCCCCAGGTACCGAATATACAACTATACACTAGAACCTCCCCAGGTAACCAATATACAACAATACACTGGGACCTCCACAGGTGACCAATATACAACAGTAGCCTGGGACCTCCATAGGTAACCAATATACAGCAGTTCCCTGGGACCACTGCAGGTAACCAATATAGAACAGTTCCCTGGGACCTCCACATGTAACTAACTTACAACAGTCCCCTGAGACCTCCACAGGTAACCAACAGTTCCCTGAGACCTCCACTGGTAACTTACTTACAATAGTCCCCTGGGACCTCCACAGGTAACTGATATACAATACTCCCCTGTATCCTCCACACGTAACTAATATACAATACTCCCCTGTATCCTCCACATGTAACTAATATACAACTGTCCTCTGGGATCTCCATAGGTAACCAATACACAACAGTCTGCTGGATCCTCGACAGGTAACCGATATACAACAATACACTGGGACCTCCCCAGGTACCCAATATACAACAATACACTAGGACCTCCCTAGGTAACCAATATACAACAATACACAAGGACCTCCCCAGGTAACCAATATACAACAATACACTAGAACCTCCCCAGGTAACCAATATACAATAATACACTGGGACCTCCCCAGGTACCCAATATACAACAATACTAACAGTTCCCTGGGACCTCCACTTGTAACTAACTTACAACAGTCCCCTGAGACCTCCACAGGTAACCAACAGTTCCCTGGGACCTCCACATGTAACTAACTTACAACAGTCCCCTGAGACCTCCACAGGTAACCAACAGTTTCCTGAGACCTCCACTGGTAACTTACTTACAACAGTCCCCTGGGACCTCCACAGGTAACTTACTTACAACAGCCCCCTGAGACCTCCACAGGTAACCAATATACAACAGACACCATGGCCCTTCACAGGTAACCAATATACAACAGCCCCCTGAGACCTCCACAGGTTACCAATATACAACAGACACCATGGCCCTTCACAGGTAACCAATATACAACAGCCCCCTGAGACCTCCACAGGTAACCAATATACAACAGACACCATGGCCCTTCACAGGTAACCAATATACAACAGTAGCCTTGGACCTCCATAAGTAACCAATATACAACAGTCCCCTGGAACCTTCACATGTAACTTACTTACAACAGTTTCCCAGGGACCTCCTCTAGGTATTAATATTCAACGCTATACCAGTGTCCTTCCCTGGTAACTAATATACAACAGTCCTCTATAGGCCCTTCATAGGTAACTAATTTAAAACATTGTACTGCAGGATATCTTCGCCCCAGGTTATTTTCGCCCTTGAACCATTTTACATTAATTCACCACAAGTTCATTATGCACTCTTGAGAATTATGTAACAGAGTTAACAAGTTTAACAAATTTTTGCCCCTCTCCCCTGGCCCCTTTCATAAATTATTCACCATCCCTATTCATTCATTGATAAAAAGGGCTTAAATTCAATGGAGACAAAATTCTGTCAGTGTACAATATTCCTCAGGACCTCCACAGGTTACTAATATACAACAGTCCCAGGATCTCGTCCTGTAATTAATATACAAGAGTCCCCTTGACCTCGAATGGTAACTAATATTACAACAGATACCTGTGAAGTGACCACTTGATGGTTATATTTATGACACCTGTTGTATATTTCCAGGCCCAGTCCCTGTTTGGTACATCGGTGGCTGTGTTAGATATTAACCAGGATGGAGATCTAGATGTGGCTGTAGGAGCTCCAGCATTCAGGAACCATGGACAACTTGACTACAATGTATGACTCTTGTTCTTGTATATACCTGTACAGTGCAGTATATACCTGTTCATTTTGATATATACCTGTACAATTTAGTACATACCCGTACAGTGCTATAGTATATACCTGTAAATATGACATCTTCTACAACAAAGAATTACTTTTTCCAAGTTATTGATTTTTTTTTGTGCATTTTCCAAGAACTATTTTGATGCCTGACAAATAGGCAATTAGATACCATTCCGATTCCAGAATGTAATGAAGCTAATACTATTTACTTTTGAATGTATGAAAATATGTAACATTTCATTTATTTTGATGTAAATTACAGGGAGCAGTATTTATCTACTATGGTAAACTGTGATGTCAATTACAGGGAACAGTATTTATCTGCTATGGTAAACTGTGATGTCAATTACAGGGAGCAGTATTTATCTACTATGGTAAACTGTGATGTCAATTACAGGGAACAGTATTTATCTGCTATGGTAAAGTGTGATGTCAATTACAGGGAACAGTATTTATCTGCTATGGTAAACTGTGATGTCAATTACAGGGAACAGTATTTATCTGCTATGGTAAACTGTGATGTCAATTACAGGGAGCAGTATTTATCTACTATGGTAAACTGTGATGTCAATTACAGGGAACAGTATTTATCTGCTATGGTAAACTGTGATGTCAATTACAGGGAGCAGTATTTATCTACTATGGTAAACTGTGATGTCAATTACAGGGAACAGTATTTATCTACTATGGTAAACTGTGATGTCAATTACAGGGAACAGTATTTATCTGCTATGGTAAAGTGTGATGTAAATTACAGGGAACAGTATTTATCTGCTATGGTAAACTGTGATGTCAATTTACAGGAGACTGTATTTATCTACTATGGTAAACTATGATGTCAATTTACAGGAGACAGTATTTATCTACTATGGTAAACTGTGATGTCAATTACAGGGAACAGTATTTATCTACTATGGTAAACTGTGATGTCAATTACAGGGAGCAGTATTTATCTGCTATGGTAAACTGTGATGTCAATTACAGGGAGCAGTATTTATCTACTATAGTAAAGTGTGATGTCAATTACAGGGAACAGTATTTATCTACTATGGTAAACTGTGATGTCAATTACAAGGAACAGTATTTATCTACTATGGTAAACTGTGATGTCAATTACAGGGAGCAGTATTTATCTACTATGGTAAACTGTGATGTAAATTACAGGGAGCAGTATTTATCTACTATGGTAAACTGTGATGTCAATTACAGGGAACAGTATTTATCTGCTATGGTAAACTGTGATGTCAATTACAGGGAGCAGTATTTATCTACTATGGTAAACTGTGATGTCAATTACAGGGAACAGTATTTATCTACTATGGTAAACTGTGATGTCAATTACAGGGAACAGTATTTATCTGCTATGGTAAACTGTGATGTCAATTACAGGGAGCAGTATTTATCTACTATGGTAAACTGTGATGTCAATTACAGGGAGCAGTATTTATCTACTATGGTAAAGTGTGATGTCAATTACAGGGAACAGTATTTATCTACTATGGTAAACTGTGATGTCAATTACAGGGAACAGTATTTATCTGCTATGGTAAACTGTGATGTCAATTACAGGGAACAGTATTTATCTACTATGGTAAACTGTGATGTCAATTACAGGGAGCAGTATTTATCTACTATGGTAAACTGTGATGTTAATAACAGGGAGCAGTATTTATCTACTATGGTAAACTGTGATGTTAATAACAGGGAGCAGTATTTATCTACTATGGTAAACTGTGATGTCTATTTACAGGGAGCAGTATTTATCTACTATGGTAAACTGTGATGTTAATAACAGGGAGCAGTATTTATCTACTATGGTAAACTGTGATGTCATTTACAGGGAGCAGTATTTATCTACTATGGTAAACTGTGATGTTAATAACAGGGAGCAGTATTTATCTACTATGGTAAACTGTGATGTCAATTACAGGGAGCAGTATTTATCTACTATGGTAAACTGTGATGTTAATAACAGGGAGCAGTATTTATCTACTATGGTAAACTGTGATGTTAATAACAGGGAGCAGTATTTATCTACTATGGTAAACTGTGATGTCAATTACAGGGAACAGTATTTATCTACTATGGTAAACTGTGATGTCAATTACAGGGAACAGTATTTATCTACTATGGTAAACTGTGATGTCAATTACAGGGAACAGTATTTATCTACTATGGTAAACTGTGATGTTAATAACAGGGAACAGTATTTATCTACTATGGTAAACTATGATGTCAGTTACAGGGAGCAGTATTTATCTACTATGGTAAACTATGATGTCAGTCACAGGGAACAGTATTTATCTACTATGGTAAACTGTGATGTCAATTACAGGGAGCAGTATTTATCTACTATGGTAAACTGTGATGTCAATTACAGGGAGCAGTATTTATCTACTATGGTAAACTGTGATGTCAATTACAGGGAGCAGTATTTATCTACTATGGTAAACTATGATGTCAGTTACAGGGAGCAGTATTTATCTACTATGGTAAACTGTGATGTCAATTACAGGGAGCAGTATTTATCTACTATAGTAAACTATGATGTCAGTTACAGGGAGCAGTATTTATCTACTATGGTAAACTATGATGTCAGTTACAGGGAGCAGTATTTATCTACTATGGTAAACTATGATGTCAGTCACAGGGAGCAGTATTTATCTACTATGGTAAACTATGATGTCAGTCACAGGGAACAGTATTTATCTACTATGGTAAACTGTGATGTCAATTACAGGGAGCAGTATTTATCTACTATGGTAAACTATGATGTCAGTTACAGGGAGCAGTATTTATCTACTATGGTAAACTATGATGTCAGTTACAGGGAGCAGTATTTATCTACTATGGTAAACTATGATGTCAGTCACAGGGAACAGTATTTATCTACTATGGTAAACTGTGATGTCAATTACAGGGAACAGTATTTATCTACTATGGTAAACTGTGATGTCAGTTACAGGGAGCAGTATTTATCTACTATGGTAAACTGTGATGTCAGTTACAGGGAGCAGTATTTATCTACTATGGTAAACTGTGATGTCAATTACAGGGAGCAGTATTTATCTACTATGGTAAACTGTGATGTCATTTACAGGGGGCAGTTTTTATCTACTTTATGGTAAATTGTGATGTCATTTACAGGGAGCAGTATTTATCTACTATGGTAAACTGAGACCTAATGCTACACTCTACCAACCAAATATAACAATCACCTGTAAGGTAAGATATAATATTGTCAGTGTTTTCATCTTCATATTATATCATAATTTTGTCTTCTTTCATTAATTTATAACTCTTCCCCTAGCTTCATTCACAAATTTACTGTTATCTTCAAATGACATTGAAGTTATTTGGCCACATGTACAGATTATGTGTAGGTGTATGTACAGCTGTCAAGGTACCAAATCACAACTGTGTATTATCTTATCCTCTGACATTCATAGCATTATAAATGAAATTTCATTTTGTAGTTTTAAGTTATGGTCTTGCAGCAGATATAAGGAAAGAGAAAGATTTCGTCTTCAAGTTTCATTATAAAAACAACAGTTCATACCTCCTGATACCTGATTAAACCTTTAACTTGCTGAACTTTCTTAATTCAGAGTCAGTACTGTAATCTTGGATTTACCATGACGACAGGTGACATTAACAAGGATAGTCACCATGACCTGTTGTTGGGGACACCATACTATCAGGTGGTGGCAAATCAGAGTGGCATTGTATCAGCCCTGCCCTCTAGTCATGCTTACTCAGGTCAGTATTCAACTCTCCAGTCAAGCTTACTCAGGTCAGTATTCAACTCTCCAGTCAAGCTTACTCAGGTCAGTGTGCAACCCTCAATTCAAGCTCACTCACATCAGTATTCAGCCCTGTAGTCAAAGTGTTCTCAGGTCAGTATTCATCTCACTAGTCAAGCTTACTTAGGTCAGTGTACAACCCTCATGTCAAGCTCACTCAGGTCAGTATTCATCTCACTAGTCAAGCTTACTTAGGTCAGTGTACAACTCTTTAGTCAAGCTTACTCAGGTCAGTATTCATCTCACTAGTCAAGCTTACTTAGGTCAGTGTCCAACTCTTTAGTCAAGCTTACTCAGGTCAGTATTCATCTCACTAGTCAAGCTTACTTAGGTCAGTATTCAACTCTCCAGTCAAGCTTACTCAGGTCAGTATTCAACTCTCCAGTCAAGCTTACTCAGGTCAGTGTGCAACCCTCAAGTCCAGCTTACTCAGGTCAGTATTCATCTCACTAGTCAAGCTTACTTAGGTCAGTGTACAACTCTTTAGTCAAGCTTACTCAGGTCAGTATTCATCTCACTAGTCAAGCTTACTTAGGTCAGTATTCAACTCTCCAGTCAAGCTTACTCAGGTCAGCATTCAACTCTCCAGTCAAGCTTACTCAGGTCAGTGTGCAACCCTCAAGTCCAGCTTACTCAGGTCAGTATTCATCTCTCTAGTCAAGCTTACTCAGGTCAGTATTCAACCCTCAAGTCCAGCTTACTCAGGTCAGTATTCAACTCTCCAGTCAAGTTTACTCAAACAAACAGTATCCAGCCCTCCATCCAGTCACACTTACAGAGGTCAGTCTTCAATCATCTAGTCAAGCTTACTCACATCAGTATTCAGCCCTGTAGTCAAAGTGTTCTCAGGTCAGTATTTAACTCTCTAGTCAAGCTTACTCACATCAGTATTCAGCCCTGTAGTCAAAGTGTTCTCAGGTCAGTATTTAACTCTCTAGTCAATCTTACTTAGGCCAGTTATCATTTTTCCAATTATATATTTCATTGGTTCTGGATTTGAAAGCAAAAAAATTCTATCTGACTAGTATGACATTTTCTGTTTTGATGTCAGTAGTAAAGTTCATCTCACTTTATTTGAAAGTGAGAGATAAATAATTGAGATAAAAACTGTAATAATTCTTTTTCCATTTCAGGACACCTGGTGATAACATTTGAATCTTTGATTGAAAAATGGAATTTACAAAATAAACAGGTATGTTTGATAGCTTTACATGTGTAGCATGATCAGTAAAAAGTGAAAGAATGATGTTTTGTTGACAAATTCACTATGTACTTTATCACCTTCAGCAAACAAAGTTTCATTAAAAGACATGCTAAATTATCAGGGTTTCCTTATATCATAAATATTTAGAACATATATCACTCCCTGTAATTCTTTATCAGTGCATTTAGCATGAGACAGGTGTATACTATTTACAGGCTTACAGCTGGTTTGGACACAATATCAGAGTACGAAATGGCCTGGTTATGGTGGGACAGCCTTACTTCAGGAAATGTAGTAGGTTTGTGACATTTAATTCATGCATATCACTTTAAGAATAAAACATTTTCTTTTCATTCTTCTTTTTATTACTGAAAATACATTTCTACATGTTTGATCAAGATTCCATTGAACACATAATGTATTATTGAGGAGACTTGGTTTATCCGTTGTTGTCCACCGCATTCCTCCTGTTCTCATTTTTAAAGTATGAAAAAAAAATGGCCAGTACATGAAGGAATTGGCCAGATATGTTTTGGTATATACTATATAAATAAGTATTTGTAATGAAAATTTCATGCATCTATGAAGCTGTTTTTATAATTACAACTTATCTTATAAAATATATCGTATTTGTAGTGGCTATTTTATATCTAAGTTACTTTATAATTCACTGATCAATTTTACATGAAGTGATTTTAATATACATCAATACTCTATCACAGACCTGACTGTCAGTTGACCCCATCTGACCTCCAGACTGTCGGGGCGCTGAACCTCTACAACCTGGGAATGACTTACAATATTTCTGGTCTCACTCTACATGGAGAACAGCAGTTTGACTTGGCAGGATACAGTGCTGATGTTGGTTTTCCCTACGATAATAAATCGCTGATCCTGGCTGTAGGTGTGGTGGGGCGTGATGCCTCTGGAACATACTTGACTGTGCCTGTCCACATCCACCAAGCAGGAGTAGTATTTGTGTATAACATTACAAACAATAACGTCCAACTTCTGGCTACCTTCACGGGCGACAGACAATTTGGCAGGTTCGGCATTTTTGTCAAGGTATAGTATTTATAGCTGTTTGGAGGATGTGCAACACTAAAGAATTAAAAATTGCGCAGACTGAAGAAATCTGATTGTGTCTTGTCTGAAATGATATAAATAGAGAACCTTACATGAGGATTTATGTAACAAAGAATTTATAAACTGAACAAGTTCAATAATTTAAGGTGTCAAGGCTCTTTAGAGATTCATGTGAAGTCATCAAGACATGATTTATTTATGGCGTCACGATAGTGTTACACTTATATTATGCCTGTGCTTTAAGAAAGAGTGTATGTATGACATTGCTGTGTACGACACAACACAACCAGGACAGTTGTGCGATATAGTGATTTCCAACATTACTGGGATAATTTCCAATTTAAAAATTATTGAAATCATACTTATAATAATGAAATCATTTGTTTCAACATCAATCGATCAGAAATTCTCTTACAATTAATTCCAGGTTTTTAGTTTTGATACTTTGTGTAAAGAGGTTGGAATTTAGTCAAATGGTAATAATGATGCCTTTATGCACAACAGTCAATATTTAATCTGTTATGTAGATATACCCAAATTCTTAGCATGGTTTTAATAACTGATTTATGTACTGCCTTTTGGCAGGCCCCAAATCTGAATAGACTGTTTATTGATGCCTGTAGATTCAATTTGTTTTGTGTACAGTTTGAAGATGTAAACGCGGATGGTATAGATGATCTAATGATTGGAGCGCCACGACGTAATTATGACGCTACAGACATTGTACCACGATGGTTCTCAGAAGGTTTGTGAACTCTCTTTCCCAACACTCATACATTCTGTAATTGTAACAGGGGTATAACAACAATGATACTGCTGCAGGGATGCTTTAAGGACTGATAGTTAATCAACCCATTGCTGATAAAGAGTAAAAACAAATAAAAATATATACATTATAACTTATAGATGAAAACATCTGATATCTTTCATTCAATACATGAGGTTACTATATTGTTTACATGTAAGAGATTATCAAAATTTGTTCGAAACATTAAAATGGCCATAATACTTGTTTTTCCTTCAGATTATGATGGTAAACTGTACATTTACTATGGGGGTAAATACTTTCCTAAGGGAAATGCTACTTATTCTACCAAGTGTGGTCAGTTCCAGCCATGTCCTCAGACAATGGTAGGTAACAAAAGCATCACATGTGTGTGACCTGTTTAAGCCTTATCCTCAAGATTGTGTGATCTGTCTGCGGACAAATTTAAGTAACTGAAATATTATACAACGGTAAGCGACTGAAATGTTTTATACCCTAAATGTGTGACCTGTTTTAGCCTTGCCTTCAATATTGTATGATCTGTCTTCAGACAACGGTAAGTGACTGAAATGTTAAATACCCTGAATGTGTAACCTGTTTTAGCCTTACCCTCAATATTGTATGATCTGTCTTCAGACAATGGTAAGTGACTGAAATTTTAAATACCCTGAATGTGTAACCTGTTTTAGTAAAACCCCTAATATTGTGTGACCTGTCCACAAAGGTATATGACAGAAATGATATATACCCTTAAGGTGTTGTTGTGACCAATAACTTTGGTTTTTGAAAATTTTTGTTTTTCAATTATGTGATTTCAGGCAAATTATACTGCTGAGGCGGATGGATACAAAGTAAAGCTAGGATATAGTGCTGCTATTATAAAAGCAAAAAATCGGGTAGGTATTTAAAAAAAAAAATGTCTTTAAATATCCAAATAAATGATTTGCACCAAATTGATAGCCTTTTGTCCCAGCATGGTACAGGCCCAAAATCAACACTGAATCTGTAGGTTAACATTTGACACCTGTGACCATGAAAGTGTGACCAAGTCATTTATTTGATTAGAGTAGGCAGCTCAATGCAGCATTCTACAGGCCCACAATTAGTTTTCTTGGCCTTTTGGTTCTCAAGTAGAATTTGTCTAAATATTTTGTGACAGTACTGATTAGTACTTCTGCTATACATGTACTTGATATGCCTAAACTATCACATTTTACATACTTTTGATAGATCTATAGGTATTTGGTAAAATTTTAAGTACTTGCTGAACTTCGAGCAATTAATTCATTATTTCTACTAGTACCCTTGATAAAACTTTTAGTTTTTAATTTTAAGTTTATTCTAATACAACAGAGATAAAAAATGTCTTCCATATTCTTCAATTTTGCATTCAAAAATATATTTTGTTGTATATTACAGGCTAAATTAGGAAAACAACTAATTATACAAGTAATTACAAAATATTGTCTTATTGAAAAATTGTGTGAGCACTCGAAAAGACAGATATCTCTTAAAAAATCTTTTATTTACAGAACAATATGGTGACCCCGGTGCTATTTGGTGACACACTCTTTGACAACAAGTCCTGTCCTACTGTTTATGTATACCGAATCAACACCACCACAACGCCATACGAAGAAGATATTGGGGATCATGGATTGAGTTGATAAAGTTTCCTTTATTAATGATATTATATTATAATAAGTTGTTAATTTGTTTTCTTAGAAATCCATATTTTTTAATCAAAGGCAATATTGAAAAGGGACCGGTGTCCAGGAGAAAAGATTTTATGATGACAAAGGGTTACTTATGATACGGGTATGATGAGAAAATGTACATTACCTTGTATAGTATTATGACAGAAAATATGTATGATGAGAGGAGATATGTATGATGACAGGAAATATGTATGATGAGAGGAGACATGTATGATGACAGGAAATATGTATGATTAGAGGAAATGTAATTTATAAGGAGAATTGCTTACAATTAAGGGAAGACAATTTATGATTGCAGAAATATTTATCAGACTATACAATTATGGTGAGAGGTAATATTTATCATGAAAGAGGATAGTGAGATACATATGATGAGAGATGTGAAATTAGCAAAGATTTCAAAGGAATCACCTGTCCAACCATGTAGATTTTTCCCAGTACTTTGTACACATTCCTTTTTTGTGCCAAAATAAAATGATAAACTAATTAATTAAGTTGATATTATTTGTGTTGAAAGTAATTGTTTTGAAGTAAATTGAGTTCATGTTTTAATGCATAAATACATGCATGCATGAAAATTGCCATTCTGTATCAGATGTTTATTACATATTGTATTTTCAAATATGATTTGAATTAAGATGACAAACCACATGGCTGCAGACGAAAACTGCCAGAAACATCACTTTCCAGTCTGACAACACTTGACTTTCATTGTTGATTGAAGATGTGTTCATTGAATCAGATTTAGCATTAGAATTATATTATAATGAATTGATGGTAAGTATTTGAAAAACTATGTTGTATTGTTAAAGATGAATATCGTTTGGTCTTAATTTCTAATTTTTACAGAGATTTATAAATTTAGCTTTAACTTTAGCATAAATTACCATGATAATAACAAAACCATCCATGTTATTTAGTGTTACCAATAAAAACAAGACTTCTAACATAGTGTGAGAGAACCAACATCCTAGTCGTCTCCATTGGTAGATCAGATCTCACTGGAATCAAAAATGGATACCCAACAGTATTCAACAGAGCCCTATCAAGCCAACAATATTCGACAGAGCCCCTTCAAGGAAGTTAAATACAAATGACATAGAGGATGGAGTACCAACATCTGTGGTTTTATATTAGGTTTATATGTTTCAGCTCGCTAGAGTAGCTGTCATCAGAATGGTTCTGATGATAGCTAGCCTAGCTAGCCAAAACTAATAATAAAATCATGGAATCCAGATGTTGATGCTCCATCTTCTATGATATTTGTGTTACTAATATTAAGAAATTATGCTTTCTAGGAAAATTCATGTTTGATGCTAATATAGAAAGATATGCCACTTTAATTTGACTCACTGTTTGTCATTCTTCGTTATTTGTGTATGTACACCACACACAACTCATAATGGATTTTAGTCCTGGTGTCCATTCTCAAGAAGTAGCCATTGTCAGATAGCATTGAGCTTTCTGTTAATTAGGACAAATAGCCTAGCAATAAGAAGTTTATTAAGATGGCACCCATCTTGAATAAAACACAGTTCTGAATTTCAAATAAAACTGTGGAACTACACAAATCATAAGAGAAAATCCTGTCTTCATATGTCTTTCAAATCAATAGAAACAGCAATAACATTATAAGAATTTAGACTTTCAAGATGATTGCTATGTCGGCCATCTTGAATGTGGGATGAGTCTAAATTTTGGATAAGGCCATCTGTAGACTATAAATGACTTTATTAGAAGTGATAAAATGTTAAAATGGAAGACATGGTGACCATCTTTAATGTGTTATAGATCTGAATTTTGGTATTGGACCAACAAAGGACCATGCCTTCATGTCACTTTAATCATTCTTTCAAGAGGACTACTAATGTATAATATACTGTTTTAAGAAGGATAATATACCCTGGACAACAGGTTATTACATAAGCTCTTTGGGTCCTGACTGGAAATGTAAGATGCAGATTTGTTATGGACGTCAGATATGTCTTCAATAAAAATACATATAGTCTATGAATGCTGGTTTTAACCCACCAACATCCGATTATTCTCAACATTCAAAACGGCCATGCAGGGTCCTGATATTGGGTCAGTAACATACTTGCATCAAGGGCTACAAAGTTTATTTATATAATGACCTTGGCCCACTTTCAATAGCACAGGGGTCAATTTTTTTTTTCAACGATCAGTAGGTCTTGGGTCATGGTATTTGTGTAGTAGCATGCTTGGGAAGTGAGCATCCAAATTTGCAGAAATTGCCTTAATCTGCAGAATAGATAAGCAATTCAGGCCCATTTGGCCTCTTGTTAAAGGTTTATACTGAAGTAATCTCAAATGTTTGGTAATTAAATCTTAACTTTAAGCTACATTTTAAGGATAGTTAATTGCTTTTTTAGGGTTTCTACCAAAGAAATTTCAAATCTTCAATTTTATTTCATCACTGACACTACAAAACAATGAAGTATATGCAATTTTATTCATTAATCAGCCTACATTACCCATATCTCTATTACCAACCTCTAATAAAAGCAGCTTGCATTTGTTTTTCTAGTACATTATCATCCAAGTATTAAATATAATTAAGATAATTTTCTTACCAAAACAATTTATTGTGTTTATCTATTTCACTTACAATGTTTCTGTGGTTGTAACTTATATCTAAGATACAGAAATTGATACAAATTAAATACACATACACACATATACAAACTTATAGTTTTTGTGTTATGCTCTGGACAAAATTTAAGTATGAAATAAATAAGAAATAACTCCTACAATGTTAATTATGCAAAACAGAGTTATGGTTCTTGTACACAGTATTTCTCCTTATCAAGATCTATCTGCTTTTGAAGTTTCATGTAGATACCTCTAAGAATTTTTGTGATATGCTCCAGACAAAATTATGAGGCAAACAAAGCAAAGACTATATGCTCTATCTTCCGGGAGCATAAAAAAGACAAGAAAATGTCCATCAGACATGAATACCCATGCTCCAATGAGTATCATTGTTTGATGACTTTACAGAAGATGGCAAATGTGACATTTGACCTTTTAACCTTGACTGATGACCAACTTAATATTACAAGATGAAGGATTTAATGTTGTATAATACTGTGGGGTAATATGAATCCATTCCGTTAAGAGGTAATACATCAGATATATATATAATCTCCACTGTCAGAAAAATGACAGGAAATAAAAACAATTTATGATTTATCACAGCTTCATTTCTACAGCAATATATGGTATAAAATTGCATATCAAATGATTGATTTACAAGTTAAATAGAATAGAAAAGGAATGAAATATTAACATTTATGAATTACATAAACAAACACATCAACAAATAAATCAACAAATTATGTAAGTTCCACATTCTTAAAAAAAACCATAATCATGGTCAATTTGAAGCTGTTAAGAACACAATATAAAAAAAAGTTAACTTTTAAAGTTAATTAATGCAATATTAGAATTACAAAATCAATATTTCCTTCAATCGGTACACATGAAAGTTATCTTTTGTCTCAAAGTTATAGAAATTCAAAATTAATTAAAAGACCATATACTCTCATAAAATGAATAGAAAATTCTTCCATTTTTCATACAAAAATACTCCACCATATGGATCCCTGAGTACCAGCCAATAATTTATGAGGTAAATAGAAACATCTCTCTGTAAATCTTATAAACAAGAGAGCCATGGCCCTTAACAGTCATCTGAAAGTCAATGAATGGATGAACAAACCACAGAATTTACAGATGGTGGTTTGACAAATCTGATGAATTCCCACAATGATATTTCAGACTACATTTGGTTTGAATCCATTAAAGCACACATCCCCAGAATAGTAAATCACCTAAGCAAGATGATCATATTTGTTACAAGGACTCGCATGGACTGAAACTTTGTATAGATTGTAGTATACCTAGGGAAGGATTCATACCTAGTACAAATGAAAAACAGGTTCAATCCCTGAAAATGCACAACATTTCTTATGAATTTATACCATATCTTATCTGACTTGGCTATCAATTGATAGGTTCTTTATCACCAGAATGTTTTAAAAATACACATCACCGGAATAACTTTTGTCAATAAACATTAATGTAATGATAAAATAATCAACAAAATTATACTCTGATCAATAAATATCTTCTTCCTGAAATATTCTCTAATCATAAACGTCATCCTTACACTTACATACATCAGATATATCATTATCTACATCTGTATATTTCATGAAGATTTCATACATATCTTATATGTACAATGTATGCCTTATACATTTCTCCTCTCATATACCATTACAAAAAACACATTTATACCAAATATCAGATTAACACAAAAAAAAGTGATCAGGTTTCAATGTAGATAAATCAAGAACACAAAGATATAGATAAATCTGATAATGTACAAATACGTTAGATTTTATCAACTTGACCCTTGACCTCCAACCTCTTCTCCGTCAGATGTCCTTGTAGTGTTTATCCTGTATACATACACGGTCGGAGAAGACCATTTGTCGAAATGTTCGTCACCATATAACACCGACGTCACCATGTTGTTCTGTAAACAAAATGTGTTCTGTGTTTAAATGTACCTTATTGATTACCTCCCCACTCCCCCCACTTACAGTTACTAAAAATAAAAATATAATTAAAATTTGTGAACATTTATTTTCATGATTATAGACTTTCATTGTATTGGCATTTTATCATGATGAGCAGATTGTGTAAATATAGCATTGTCTCAAAAATCCTTAAATCATCAATATCACTGAGATGATATAAATTAAAGTAAAATTAATGAACTGGTTATCATTGATATTAGGTATGCTGTACTAGAAGTTTATATCAGTAGTTTAGATGGGAAGAGTAAACAATTAAAACCGTTAAATACAAACCCGATTCTTTGCCTTTAAGATAGCAGCATTAAATCCCATCTTCAATTTGTATCCATAAGCGTCAGTAGTAAAATTGGCCTGGAATTACAAAGACACATAGATAGAAATCCTGACATTTATATGGATGATATCACACAGCTGTTAAATAGACATCCTTGTTCTATTTTATGCACTTAAGCCTAAAATCCATTGATACATGTAGTGAAATCTGAAGATTTAACATTTAACAACGAGACAATAATCTTTAACTGCCAAATCCAAGATGGTATCATGTTTTAAAATCAAACAGGCACAACTAGGGACCAAGGAAATTTGAGATCCATCCATCCCCATACTTCTAAAGAAATGATAACAATAAACCTTTATGTAAAAAGACCCAAAATGGTCATCTGTTGGCCATTTATATTTCTGGTCAGTCCCAAAATCAAACAAGCACAACTAGGAGCCAAAAAGAACCTACATATGAAATTTGAAAAAGATCTAACCAGTACTTCTGAAGAAATAGTGATAATGAAAATTGTTTACAGACCGACTATGGGTGTACACAGTGATTTGAATAGCCCTGATGATGGTTGGCTAAAAAGTAGCACTCAACGGACTGATAACTCAATCTTTGCTTTAGTTGTAGGTAAAATAGATTATTAGAATCTCTTACTGTAGGTAATTAAAATGAAGGAAATTGAACAGGCGCCAAAATAACACATCCTTGTAGTAACATCTTCATAGCTTCTTGAGGGTATCAATATACTAAATCTATGTGTATAATATTGTCCACAAGGCAAGCACATTATTGTTTACCTGGAGTCAGAAGGTCACCTTATTTATATTGGAGGATAATAACATTCAGTTAGTACATATAATACTGAAATATGGGTGGGCTTATTTCCAGCTGGCTGGGTCTTTCTGTTAAACACATACTTTATTTGCCATATAATTTCTTTCCTTTACCTAGTGACAGGCACAGAACAGGCTTCCAATTATGAAATTAATAAGCTAATTGTCTGTGGACAAGACTAATTAGATAAACATTTTGGATAAAGGTAAAATTTTGTAACTTACCATTGTCTCAGGACAGGGGTAGTAAAGTCCACACTGGGAGGAGTATGTGGCATTTCCCTTAGGAAAATATTTACCACCATAGTAAACATACAATTTACCATCGTAATCTGAAGAAAAAAACCATCACTATCAATTCTAATGTGTGATACTAGAACTAGAAAATGTTCCCACTATCAAGCATATTAATCCATGTTTGACAAATTTCTATAAATGGTAAAGGTGACCTTGGAGCACAAATTCATTTGATGTATTCTCATGATATTGTCTACACTTTTATTTGAAAATGATGAAAGTCACCTTGACCTTTTACTTTAAGACCCTACAGTTATATGATATATCACATTAAATAAGGAAAAGTTTTTCAGTTTTTGAAGGGTTATCAATGGAATTTTAATGGTTATGATTATCAGTAATGATTTCATTGTTTGGTAGGAGTGCAAGCAGGATACCAACCATTTGAAAACCAGCGTGGTATGATGTCTGTAGCATCAGAATTACGTCGTGGTGCTCCAATCATTAGATCATCTATACCATCCGCGTTTACATCTTCAAACTGTAAAGAAAATAGCAAATCAACTATACAGGTATCATTCAACCTTTTACAAACAATATGTTACTTTTTTTTTTAATCTTTGTTTTGTATTGCAATTTGGATCAGAAAAGACGATTCAAAACAGAGTTCAAATTAACAATAGGTGACCAAAAAGGCACGATTCCAGAATTTGTGACACCTAAAAATTCTGAATATTTGAAAAAATATTCAACTTTTCATATCCTAAATTTCATCACATAATTTTGAAAAAGTATGTATTCAGTATGTTCCTTTGAAAGGCATATAATTTCTATATATAGTCAAACCTGTCTGTAAAGGCCATCAGTACATAACAAATACCTGTCTGTAATAGTTTTTCGTACATAACAAACATCTATTCATAAAGTAAATCTGTACTTAACAAACACATATCTATTAAGGCTATTTGTGTATCACAAATACCTATCTATAAAGGTCATCTGTATATCACAAAACCTGTCTATAATAACCACTGGTTTCAGGTCCAAAAGCAATATCATATGGTTATTGAAATGTTTGATGTATTGTTCATGAAAACAATTTTAATATTCAAATTAAAATTGAAATACACTTCCAACAGATACCTTAACATAATGTTTATGTACCTTGATAAAAATGCCGAACCTGCCAAATTGTCTGTCGCCCGTGAAGGTGGCAAGGAGTTGGACGTTGTTGTTTGTGATGTTATATACAAATACTACTCCTGCTTGGTGAATATGGATCGGAATAGTGTCGTATACCCCAGAGGCATCACGCCCCACCACACCTACAGCCAGGATCAGCGATTTATTATCGTAGGGAAAACCAACATCAGCACTGTATCCTGCCAAGTCAAACTGCTGTTCTCCATGTAGAGTGAGGCCAGAAATATTGTAAGTCATTCCCAGGTTGTAGAGGTTTAGCGCCCCGACAGTCTGGAGGTCAGACGGGGTCAACTGACAATCAGGTCTGTGATAGAGTATTGATGTATATTAAAATCATTTCATGTTAAATTGATCAATTAATTATAAGTCACTTATATATAAAATAGCCACAACAAATAGCTATATATTTTTATAAAATAAGTTGAAATTATAAAAACTGCTTCATAGATGCATGAAATTTTCCTTACATATACTTATTGATATAGTATATACCAAACCATACCTGGTCAATTCCTAGACATACTGGCCATTAATTTCTGATGAATGAAAAAAGGAACACAGCATACCAGGTCTTCCCAATAATACATTATGTGTACAATGGAATCTTAATCAAACATATGTTTGAATGTACAGTAGTTGTAGAAATGTATGTACAGTAATAAAAGAGAGAGAAAAAATATGTTATACAATGTACCCTTAAGGTAATAGGAGTTAATTAAATGTCACAAACCTACTACATTTCCTGAAGTAAGGCTGTCCCACCATAACCAGGCCATTTCGTACTCTGACATTGTGTCCAAACCAGCTGTAAGCCTGGAGTTATAACATACAGTCAAACTTTGTTCTCTCATTATCTGGTGACTCTAATTTCTTTTAACAAGAAAATGTTTCCTCTGGTTCAGCCAAACCTTTTTATCTTTATTTTGATTACAATTCACACGAATACCAGGTACTTGTACCCAGACAATTCGAGTTTGAGTTTTACATACTAAATGTATTATATTCAACAACATTTCCTCATATAAATAAACACAAAGACGACATTATCAGGAATGATTACATATTCTGAATATCTATAATGACGGAAACCCTTATTCTAATGCAATGTTTAACAACCAATGTCTTATGAAGGTGACAATGTACAAAGAACACTAGTCATTGAAACATCACAAATACATTTCGTATTTTGTTCTTTATGAATATACCTGTTTATTTTGCAGGCTCCACTTTTCAATTAAAGATTCAAATGTTATCACCATGTGTCCTGAAAAAGAATTAAGTTATTTCATTTACAATAATCATAACAGACTAAAACATTTCACCAATCCTTCAAAGTGAGATGAACGAGGCCATACCAATATCAAAACAAAATTCATCTGGTCAGATAGAAGTTGTGTTTTCAAATCACTGAAAATTGAAAATCCACTTAGAAATCTCAATACTGAAATGAGGGAGTGTGATTGGAGGGTTGAATGGTGACCTGAGGAAGTGAGAATGGAGGGATGAATACTTACTGGAGGAAGTGTGATTGGAGGGTTGAATACTGATGAGAGGAAGTATGATTGGAGGGTTGAATGCTGACTGGAGGAAGTGTGATTGGAGGGTTGAATGCTGACTGGAGGAAGTGTGATTGGAGGGTTGAATGCTGACTGGAGGAAGTGTGATTGGAGGGTTGAATGCTGGCTGGAGGAAGTGTGATTGGAGGATTGAATACTGACTGGAGGAAGTGTGATTGGAGGGTTGTATGCTGACTGGAGGAAGTGTGATTGGAGGGTTGAATACTGACTGGAGGAAGTGTGATTGGAGGGTTGAATGCTGACTGGAGGAAGTGTGATTGGAGGGTTGAATTCTGACAGGAGGAAGTGTGATTGGAGGACTGAATACTGACTGGAGGAGGTGTGATTGGAGGGTTGAATGCTGACCTGAGGAAGTGTGATTGGAGGGTTGAATACTGACTGGGGGAAGTGTGATTGGAGGGTTGAAAACTGACCAAAGGAAGTGTGATTGGAGGGTTGAAAACTGACCAAAGGAAGTGTGATTGGAGGGTTGAAAACTGACCTGAGGAAGTGTGATTGGAGGGTTGAATACTGACTGGAGGAAGTGTGATTGGAGGGTTGAATGCTAACCTGAGGAAGCCTGATTGGAGGGTTGAATACTTTAATACATATATGTTGCTGTATGTAGTAAGTTTGACAGAAGGTCTGAATACTAATTTGAGTAATCTTCATTAGATGTTTGAATACTTTACTGTGTTTGAAGCTTGACTTGAAGTCTGAACAATTAGTTAGCTGGACTGGCAGGCTCAATACTGACCTGAAGAAGCTAGATTGGAGCATTGAATTCTGAATTGAGTAAATTTGACTAGAGGGTGAAATACTGACAAGAGTAAGCTTGACTGGATGTCTGAATACTTACGAGAGAAAGCATGACTGGAGGGTTGAATACTAATCTGAGTAAGCATAACCGGAGGTTCAGATACTGACCTGAGTAAGATTGACTAGAAGATTGAATACTAATGTGATTGACTAGAAATTTGAATACTGACATGAGTAAGATTGACTAGAAGGTTGACCACTGACCTGAGTAAGCATGACTAGAGGGCAGTGCTGACACAATGCCACTCTGATTTGCCACCACCTGATAGTATGGTGTCCCCAACAACAGGTCATGGTGACTATCCTTGTTAATGTCACCTGTCGTCATGGTAAATCCAAGATTACAGTACTGACTCTACAAAATAAGTAAGTTTTAGAATCGTTTGCAGTCAAAGTTGCCAGAAAGATCACCTCTGTCAAGTAATTTGTAACCAACAATTATAAACGTCTCATTTATAACTTCCCAACTTCTGTTTATACCAAAAGGAACACCAACGGCAATAAGACATAAAATTATCAACATTCCAAAATTGGTCTCAGTACATAAACAAACATTGAACTGTTAAATCTGAAACAGTTCATTACATTTACAATGAGTTTAGTACATATATTACAATATATTATATATTTTTATGGTAACGATAAGTCAATATCATATCTTACCTTACATGTGATTGTTATATTTGGCTGGTAGAGTGTTGCATTAGGTGTCAGTTTACCATAGTAGATAAATACTGCTCCCTGTAATTGACATCAAAATATTATTTTTACAAACATTTATACCTTTAACAACATATAAGCTAGATACTTACTTTCAGTACAGAATCATATTTAAATACCAGTCCTGTGTTGTGTCATTAACAGTTTAATCAACAACTGAAATATTTATTTTAGAAAAATGATCAAATATATCACTAACTTGGTAAAAGGTTTTCTACTGTTGGGGAAAAAAGTTATATTTAATGGCATGTACATCCAAGTCGTGCTGTACAGGTATATACTACATTATATAGGTATATACTACAATGTACAGGTATATACTACAATGTACAGGTATATACTACACTATACAGGTATATACTACACTGCACAGGTATATAATACACTGTACAGGTATATACTACACTGTACAGGTATATACTACCTTATACAGGTATATACTACACTGTACAGGTATATAATACACGGTACAGGTGTATACTACACTGTACAGGTATATAATACACTGTACAGGTATATACTACACTGTACAGGTATATACTACACTGTACAGGTATATAATACACTGTACAGGTATATACTACACTGTACAGGTGTATACTACAATATACAGGTATATACTACACTGTACAAGTATATACTACCTTATACAGGTATATACTACACTGTACAGGTATATATATACACTGTACAGGTGTATACTACAATACACTGTACAGGTATATATATACACTGTACAGGTATATACTACACTGTACAGGTATATACTACACTGTACAGGTATATAATACACTGTACAGGTATATACTACACTGTACAGGTATATAATACACTGTACAGGTACATACTACACTGTACAGGTATATACTACACTGTACAGGTATATACAAGAATCATACATTGTAGTCGAGTTGTCCATGGTTCCTAAATGCTGGAGCTCCTACAGCCACATCTAAATCTCCATCCTGGTTAATATCTAACACTGCCACTGATGTACCAAACAGGGACTGGGCCTGGAAATATACAATAGGTGTCATAAAACATCACTACACAAAAATGTCCATACACAGGGAATTGTTTTATATAAATGTGATACAATATACAATACAATATTATATTAATCACCGCTGGAGGTCCCTGGTGGATTTTGTATCTTACCTTTATATACTAGTATGTGGAAGGCCCTATGGATGGTTGTTTGTATAAATAGCAACCTTTGGAAAATCCTGAGTGGACAGGGTACAGATGACATATATCAGTAACCTGTGGGGCACATGGCATGGGGGAAACTGTTGCTTATTATTGGTAGTAACTTTGTGGGCACATAGGGTGGGAGAAACTGTTGGAAATTATTTGTAGTAACTTTGTGGGCACATAGGGTGGGATAAACTGTTGGATATTATCTGTAGTTACCTTGTGGGCACATAGGGTGAGAGAAACTGTTGGAAATGATTGGTAGTAACTTTGTGGGCACATAGGGTGGGAGAAACTGTTGGAAATTATTGGTAGTAACTTTGTGGGCACATAGGGTGGGAGAAACTGTTGGAAATTATTGGTAGTAACTTTGTGGGCACATAGGGTGGGAGAAACTGTTGGATATTATTTGTAGTTACCTTGTGGGCACATAGGGTGGGAGAAACTGTTGGATATTATTTGCAGTTACCTTGTGGGCATATAGGGTGGGAGAAACTGTTGGATATTATTTGTAGTTACCTTGTGGGCACATAGGGTGAGAGAAACTGTTGGATATTATTGGTAGTTACTTTGTGAGCACATAGGGTGAGAGAAACTGTTGGATATTATTGGTAGTTACCTGTGGAGGCCCCTTAAGGGTACAGTTGGTCTGGTTATTCATATTCAGGAGATAGTAGGCTCCTTGAGCTACAGGCAGTCCATCATCTGTCCCTGTCAATCAAAAATTTGTAAGGGATAAATAAACTGAAGCTCATAAGTTTCCCCTACACTATCATGTGGTCAGTTTGATTTTAAGATACACAACAAAGAAGGGCTGAGATAAACATGACTAGTGCATTAACTGTCACCTGCTTTATATTTCATATAGACTTAATTAATGCAATAAATAAATTCTCATGTGTCATAAATATTGCTAAAAACTCAGGAGGAAGAAATAGTGACAAGGGAGAAAATTCACACAAGATGTCATAAAAAATAAATGTACAAATGTATTACAATATGTCAATATGTAAGTTACAAAAGTTTGGTATCATACAATATAATTCATAAATATACATGCATGAGATATCATATACATAAAATACTCACCATATAAAACATACACCCTGCCTTGGTCAGGACTGCCTCCACCACCATATCCAGGGGCCCCCACCACCAGATCATCATTGTCGTCACCGTTAAGGTCACCAACAGCAAGTGACCTGCATATTCAGCTTGTTTACATTTCTTTCAGTGAATAATACATACTCTATTTAAACAAAAGGCTCAAGAGTCTAACAAAAAGGGCCAGGCAAACAACACACAATGCCAGACATAGGTGAGTCCAATAGATCACTTGAAACATTGTCTCAGGTGACCTACAATGTATTTATAAATATGCAGTGTTTGTCCGACACCAAAAACATTTCATATTGAAAGAAAACAAATAAAAGGTTCTATTTATGACATAACTTCACTACTTTTACAAAAACTTCAGCAACAATTTTTTATAATATCTAAATAAGTACTTGATTGGAGATATTCTCATTCAGTGACATTTTCTGATAGATATGAGGTAATGAAGTTATGACATTACAACTGAAAAATGGGATCCTTCAGCCAAGCAGTTTGACTAGCTATAGAAGTTATCACCAGTGTAGTTATAACAAAATCTATCTTAATGGATGTTATTACACTGATAACAGGGTGATTATGTTATCTTTTTTAAAATAGAAATGCCAAAATTGTGCTACAATTGAAAATGCTTTTATAAAGCTAATAACAATAGACACACATGTAGCTGTGGTAGTCATGGTGATCACAGACAAATAAAACTTTTCATTAAAAATAAGTGTATTAGTTTGCTTACCATCCAAACTTAGAGAATCTCTCCGGTGTGTAGTAGATGCCCATCTGATTTGGACTGTCTTTCATTTGTTCCAATTCCTTGTTCCTCATTAATTTCATTTTCTCTGCCATGATTCTTTTTCTTCTTGTAAGTAAAGTATCTCTCTTGTCTTGTATCTGAGACTGAGAGAGATTTTTACAAATCGTTACAAGTCATCATAAGATAAGATCATTTTTGAGGTGCTCCATTATAAAAGGATACCTTGAAAATGTCAAGTTTCAGCATTGTGTTCACATCATTTTTATGTAAAGGACATCATTTGGATCATATCCTGTGACTGATCTTTTTTTAAGACACATAAAATATATATATACTTAAAATGTCACATAAAATTTACAATATACATATATCAAACCATAACAATGCTGTCCATGCTTTTTTAATTCCTTTCAAGTAAAAGTTATCAATAATTAAAATGGTACTTGATATTATGGGACAACTTATATATATTTTTCCGTTAAATTAGATAATGAAATTTACTCTGATCTTGTGGCCTGGTTTGACAAGAATACCCCTATAGGCCTTCTCCACAATAACATCATCCTGTGTAAGACCACGTAGGTCAGGCTGTCGAAAGAAGCCATTCTTCTCCTTATTGTTGTGAAATCTGTAAAACTCTTGTGAGGATGACCCATTACAGTTGATATACAGTGGATTGTGTGGGATCACACATGAACTGTAAGAAAGTAGAAAATATTATACTGTTACAGTCAAATATCAACTCCTTCAGCATAGTAAACCAAGGGCAATAACTCTGTAAACAGTACTGCAGAAGACCTCAGACTGTGTTACATGTGCATGATTTATGTGACAATGTGATGCATGCTGGACAAAGGGCAATAACTTTGTATATAAAGATAAAGAAGCCAAGGGTTTAAAAAGATTGTAAAGAAGTTTAAAATGTCAGTAGACATGTTCTAGAAACAATTGTATGCAGAATTTTTTGTCCATAAAAGCTGTGAAAAATGCTCTGAATATCTCTTAACAAACTACTACCCTGGTACTTGCGTTTTTTTGTTAAAACTAGAACTGATAGCCAAGGCAAACTGAAAAACCTTGTCGGATCCCATATGTATTAAGAATTTACAAAATAACTTGCTTTCAATCAGGACTACAATGAATTGAATAAAAGACCTTTATTAATTAGTTAAATAAGAAGAAGACTGGTATTAAAATATTTTTAGAACATTTTTATGATATCCAAGAGCAACTTTCTTTTTTTGATTCAAACTTCTTCCATAAGAATTATGATCTGGAAACCAGTTTTAAACAATGTTACAATCATTTGAAAACAAAACTGTTCAAAGATATTTACAGAGAGTTAAAAAAAACATACCTAGTGCCATTCTCCAGCATGTTGATGGTGCGGTTCCACAGTCGAGCTGACCATCCAGCCATATCATTAACACCACCCAAAAAGTAGTCACGGTATTGATCCACTAAAAATGGACTGGTATTGGCAACAGCAGCATATGCCTGTAAAACAGTAAAAATAACGTGTGAAAGTCCTGTTAACTTGTTGCTATTAATTTTTCTCATGGCTATGAGAGCTATATAAACCATTGACCAATAAACATTTTTGTAAGGTTGGTGTATCAGAATAACTATAAAAATCATCACTGTGACTAGAATCACTTCATAATCACAGACTATATGAATCGCCAAAAAATTTAGGAGTATGAAATTGAGAAAATTCACAGCCTCAAAAATAAACTGGTTTACAATTATAACATTTTATGACATTTATGTTGTGAGGATCTGTTAGTGAAATGATAAATTCTAATATATCTATAGTTTAATATTTCAATTTCTACTCAAGTTGGACTCAATAAAACTACTAAATTAATCCTGTTTTATTTGTCTGGATCATATTTTCACTATTTCAAGGTACCATAGCATGACCATGAAAATTTAATCTATGAAATAATGTGACACAAATATTTGGTATCCTTTTACATCCATATTATAAAATTTTAATTTGTTGAAATATAATTTATCGTCTCATTAGCAAATTGTGAAAATTTTTACTCATGAATATTACCAGTTATATGGTACTTTATGATTTTTCAGGACATCAGATACTCACTTCTGAGCCTCCAGCCATCTCAGCATAGCTGAAATCATAATATATAACAGTTTAAATGTAATCATTGTAAAGACAAAATACAGAGCCATTCAGTTCTTACTGTGATGTACATGTACTGACAGATGTATATTTATCATTTTTTATTTATGAAGAAAAAGGATCAATGTAAAATATTCTACCATTAAGTATACATTCATTCAACCTTAATTAAAGGACATATCACTTATTGCTTTCTTCACAAATCTCATTGACATTTTTAAGAAACAGCAAGCATTAAAAAAAAATTATTTCAAAACACTGTACTATTTATCAAAGAATAATGTTCAACACAGACACTGTATGAAATGAAAAATGTTTTACCTAACATACAAAATCTGTAAAAAATGTAATGAATTTTTTTATTTTGTGTTGTAAATATACAGGATGATCTAAAATGCATAACAGATTTTATACAATATTATACGCATACCCTCCTACAAGGAGTAAAGTAGAACAGTTGTCGATGACTGGACTGGTGATCCTGGTCGTACCGTAAAACTCCTGATAAATCCTTGTCAGGTCATCTACAGGAACATACCTGTCATATAGACACAAATTCACATAATCTTACTGATAATATCAAATTCAATGAAAACATAACAAAACATGTTTCTGATTTGTTTTGCAAAGGAAGGAAGCAAAGTAAGGGAACAAGTATGCAAGCCAGCAAGCAAGTAAGCAAGGAAGAAAGCAAGGAAGGAAGCAAGGAAGGAAGTAAGTAAGGAGGCAAGGAAGTAAGCAAGTAAAGAAGCAAGGAAGGAAGAAAGCAAGGAAGGAAGCAAGTAAAGAAGCAAGGAAGGAAGAAAGGAAGCACGCAAGAAAGTAAGCAAGGAAGAAAGCAAGAATGGAAGAAAGCAAGCAAGGAAGAATAGTTACCATTCTTTCTGAGGATCCATGTACATTGAAACGTCTGTGTCAAACAAGTTCATCACATCCCCACCTGAAATTAAACATGTTTTTTCACACTATAATTTTCATTTTCTTTCTTGTTATTTCAGTTGTTGTGTAATTAAAAATGTCCTTTATCACAGACTTTCATGATAACCCATGTCTGACAAAACTCTCTGATGTATTAATTATAGAGGAAACCTTGTTATGATAAATACTTGCATACTCACCAAAATCTGCAGCTGTGTGAGCATCATTGTAAGAACCATGAAAATTTTCCTATAATGATAAAAAGAAAATAAAATTCACATGAAAGACATCCTCAAAGATCTTTTCAATTATTGTTAGACAAAAAAGTAATAACTTGACCTTCAAGAGCTCATAGATCATCTGTCTGTTGTGATTTGTATTTAAATGACACGACAAGGATGTTTTAATTACATAGTAACACAATTGCAATCCACTACAAATAAGTTATATAAATTAGATGGGAAAACATGGTAAATAGTTACTTAGATATAAATAAAGGTAAATGTTAAATGAATTTTGTTTTTACTCTTTTGATAGTGAGTACCTCTTTGCTTTCATTTTAATGTTAAGAATATTCACTATTTACTTTTCTATCTTTCTTAATCCCAAGGAGCTCTACATATAAACTTTACATGGAATGACCATATGTAGATAGAGATAAGGATATATTTAACCTAAAAAATGAAAAAGTTAACATTACTTTGAATATTATCACTTTAATTGCATTTAAGGAGGATATCTCATACTCCAGGTATCATATTTCAGTAAGCTAAGGATTGCTATCAAATATGTTGAGATATCCATCATCAGAAAATCTACTCACCTTATCCATTGTGGTTATGAAGCCCTGGTCCACACCGAGGCTGTGCCATACAACATCAGCTACCTGGTGGGACACAACCCCAAACATGAAGGCTACCAGTTTCTCTGTGGCCTGTAATACAAACAAGGTCAGCATCAGTATCCTTAAGAAGCAAGGGCAGATAATTCTAAAGAGCCATAACCTCAAACATGAAAGCAACCTGTTTCTCTGTGGCCTGTAATACAAACAAGGTCAGCATCAGTATCCTTAAGCAGCAAGGGCAAATAATTCTAAAGAGCCACAACCTCAAACATAAAAGTAACCTGTTTCTCTGTGGTCTGTTATACAAATAGGCTGGCATCAGCATCATTAAGGAGCAAGGGCAGACAATTCTAAAGAGCCACAACCCCAAACATGACAGCCATCAGGTTCTCTGTGGCCTGTAGTGCATACAAGGTTCACAACAGTATGGCCATCAATGATAAAAAATGACATCTACATTGTGCTATGGGATGAGAAGAGCCACATCTATAAGATCTCAGGAGAGAGGGAAGTGACACCTACCATATCCTGGGGTTCAGGAGAGTCACATCTAGCATCATTGGTTTAGGATGAGTGACACCATGTGCCAGGCTAAGGGTAAGTGGCATTTACCATGTCCCAAGGTTCCTGAGAGTGAAACCTACCATTTCTTAAGGTTGAGGAGAGCAACATGGAGTGAGCCCCAGGTTTGGTAAAAGTGACACTTGCAACATCCAATAGTTAAGGGTAGTAACATCTACAGAGTCTGTCCCATGGTTGAGAATACTGACACCTACTGTCCTAGGGTTGAGGAGGGTGACACCTACCATGTCCCAGGGTTGAGGAGGGTGACACCTACTGTGTGCCAGGGTTGAGGAGGGTGACACCAATTGTCCTAGGGTTGGGGAGGATGATACCTACCATGTCCCAGGGTTGAGGAGGGTGACACCTACTATGTCTCAGGAGAAGACAATAACACCTACCGTGTCCCAAGGTTGAGGATAATGATTCCTGATGTAGTTGATGGTTGCATTAAGGAAACCAGACCAGTGAGTGTCCTCAGACACTTTTTGGTAATTTCCTGGAACAAAAAATAATCCTTTTATTTGAAAGGATTCTTTATGAAAACACGTGTGTGATCATGTATAATTTAGCATTTTTATTATACAATCATTTGAGAAAATTCTTTGATCGAATTCATGCTGATAATAAAGCTGATTTGATCATTTACCTCCAAAACCTAGACTCAAAATTATATTTCTTTCACACAATAAAACACTGTTTAGGTATAAGTTATAATGTTCCCTTATTCTTAAAAAGTATCAGCATTTGTTAGTAGTAACCAATGGAAAAATTTTAAAAGATGATATCAACATATTTTGTTCCCTCCACCAGTAAAAAAACCAACATAAACATCCTCCATCTTTGATAATTGCTGTACCCTAATTTGATAAATATTGTTTCCCTATACAAAAGTGTAGTGGGTGTCTTTTAAAGTAAAATACAATACCTTTATCACACAGAGAGCTGTAGAAGGCATCAGGGTAAGGACTTCCTGCCATAAAGGCATCGTGATGCTTGGTTATAATCTGAAATTACCCAAAATCTTTATTTTCAATGTACAGTGTATAAGTAATTTTAAATTATATAGTACTTTTTACGTTAAAAGTCATGTTCAGAGATTTCCTTTAGTGTAGCCAAAGATTTTCTTAACATGTTTATCTAAATTTTGGATAACTAATATCAATTTTTATTAGTTACATTGATACATATGTACACTGTTTTACATCTTGTATATATTATCACTAATAATGTAAGACATTCTGATTCCAAGAACTTTTATCTTCTATAAAGTTATTATTTATGTCAGAAAGTCTAAACATGATTTAAGTTCCAATCATATAAACTTATTTAATGCCAAAGATAATTACATTTAGTTTTCCTTCAAATCTTTTAATATGCTTGATGATGAATGAAATTACAAACCTCTTTATAATCAACATGTGTGGGACTTATGTTGCCAAAGTGTTCCTTCGCTATTTCAGCTGTAAAACAGTATGGTAAGAAGAACTCATTCTTAATCAGAATAGATACAGTATATTCATCAAATATCCTTGACCTTGTAAATCACAGTGAAAAGAAAATTCTATAATGAAAGTAGTGTCTAGTTATTAACATGTATGTTGTGATTTCCTTTTGTAAAGAAGCTTGAACTATTTTTATTTTTTTTCCAATATTTGATCACTCAGCTTGTACAATCAATTTATCACTAACCTGCAGCCCTGGTGCTTATATCTCATAATTTGTGCTAACTTTAAGCTGTCCTTTTATATTTATATGTAATTAGTATTTTAACTTGTGCTGTTCATAACCACATTCAAACACCTGTGCTGCCAGTTGGTGACAGATTTAACGCGCATATAGAAAAGTAATAATAATAATTAAATATTTGATCTGAGTGTCATTATTCAGGAATCAGGATTGACTTTGAGTCAGGAAAGACTATAATGCAGAGGCTACATGTAGTATGACGACATCCACTCACAACTCCTACACATACACACACACGTACATGTTCAGTCAGTGTACTTTTTTTTCTCGTTCAAGTTCTCGTATCTACATGGAATTAAATAGTTTATGAAAAGAATTACATTCATGTTCAGGTGTACCAGTGGTACGATCACGTACACAGTAAACTCATCTCTGACTAAGATCGCAATAAAGTGCTTAATCTGCAAATATATATACCGTATCGGCGGTCAGTTCATTGCACAATGTGCGTCTGCGAGACCTCTTAGGACTTATATCTGTATGTATATAGTAATTGCTCAATGTGGTACGTCTCACTTGTACTTACAAATGACAATATGTGTCGTGATGCCACAGCCGCACACATACACAAGTAATGACAGGGACAATAACAGCGAGAATGCAACTTGACAGCGCGCCGCCATTTTGTCCAGAATATTTTGTCACGTGACATTGCAGTCATGTGAACAGAATGTACAAAAGACATAGTAGTGAATAGCACATTTTGATTCATTTTCAAGTGGCCGGTTTGGACACAAGTTTTCCAATTGATAGTTAACCACTTCCTGTAAAGTTCGATAAAATACAAGGCTAGATAAGACCAGAGACGTGTTATATACGTCTCTGATAAGACTAATCATATTTCCTCTTGAAGTGAGATGTGCATTAAATCTATTCCGATTAACTTAACGATGGAATTAGTTTTGATATTCTGATGAGATTTTCCCCACTCAAGTGGAAAAGATAATTAAACAAATAGCTGGTTGTCTGAACTCCCACCCTCTTCAATCGATTCGGACTAGCTCTTTTATTAACCAATCATTAGGTGTTTACAATCACATTAATCAAAACCATATACACAATGGAAGTAAAACTCATTTAACTGAAATTTGCATTTTGTTTTATATCACTTAACTTGTGAAAAAGAATTTAGATTGAATAAAGTGTTTGCATTATGTTATTTCTCACTTAAATTAATATCTATTTTTTAAGGGAAAAAGAATTTCACTTAAGTAAAAACAAATTCCTTAAGAGGAAACGGGATTAAATGTTTAGACGGCTTAATTGAAGACACTTACCACTACTTCTTCGTATGTAATAATCATACAGACCAGAGAGTAATTATTTCTATAATCCAGTAGACTTGAACTTACTATACCACGTGGTAGTGATAACTACTCGAATGAAAATGATGTAAAAATATGTCAAATCACTCGGCAATAAATACTTTTCTTGATAAAGAGATTTTGATCTCTCTCCCTATGTAATTTGGTATCTGGACATGTCGTCTCGCATGACAATTTAAAAGGATGTCCACATTGACACAGACGTGTGTTCTCTGATTGGCAGTAACGGTAATCTATTAAATTGGATCTGAACGGCCATTATTTAAAGTATCCGAATTATTTCGTAGTCTAGTATGCAACACATACGCTTTCCAATCACCAATCCAGAATCCTGGAGTTTTTAAAAACTGGGTAAGAAAAACCAAATCTATTTTCAAGGTCAAGCTGTGTGCATTGGTTGCAACGTCAGATAGTAGAAAGAAAAAAAGATAGGTTCGTTTGTTGTAATCGGAAATTTGGCAAAGAAAAGTTTTGTCCGTCATGGAGGTTATATTTTAAGTTTCCTGACACCAAACGAGGCAATAAAGAGGACAGATAACCAGGTGTGTTTTTATCAATTATTTCTTAAAATAGACGTAGTTTTCTTCTAGAGTCTCGTTCTGATATCGATCCTTTCACTTTCGATATAGAGAGATTCCCTGCTAGTACTTGATGGTATACCAACAATGATTTGAGAGGATTCTAACTGAAGTTTTTCCAGTTTGTCTCCATCTCCGAGAGAACACCAATCGCAAACTTCACGGCAATATGCTTATAATAGAAGTATGTATAGAAGTATGTATGTTTTATCGATTTTGACCAAACTTCGTCTCTTAACATTTTTTAAAGTTTACGGAGGATACTTACTTGTTCCAATACATTATCATGTATATTTGCTATGTTTTCATTAAAAATTTTCGTCTTTTCCAGAACATGACAATGAAGTATCGTTGGCAACAATTTGGAGGGACTGTCAAGGTTATCAGCTATATCAATGACATATTTCATAAAAAGTTGGGACCTAATACTATATTTAAAGATTTAACGGAAGATATCTATTTCCTGCCTTTTAAATATAATTACTGGCACAATTATTCAACAAGCCTACAAGTTTTCCACCTAAACCATAATTTGCTAATTTTACATTCAGGCCCTTGTGAATATTTGACGAATATCATCCGGGGAATGTGTCGCCGAAAACAAATCTAACCAATCAATAAAGTCAAGCCTATTGTTAAAAAGTTCAAAATTAACTTCACTGTAATATGTAATCTTTCCTTCGCATGTCCTTGTACAAATAATCCCAGCAGTCAGTTCAACAGTCGTCACTTTCTGGTCTGAAAGGTTGTTATCTATGTTTATTACGTCCAATAAATCATTTTTTAAAATGGAAATGCACGTGCTAGAAAGTTGTATAGGGTCAGGTAAAAATAGCGCTCGTGCGGCCAATGCGTGTCGGGCTGTCTATTGTTAGTCTGAGGAGACTATAATGAATATTACCGTGAGGGGATCAACATCGCCAACAATCACTATGTGTGCAGTTTCATGAAAGGCAGATTCTAGAGAAAGTCGGAAGATATTCTAAAACGAATATGTGATATCCAGATGTATGTACAGAGTACACAAACATATTTCTTCCCTGAAAACTGAATCCATTCAAATAACTTTACCCAGTCGAAATTTTAAGTTAGATCAACAACGAGCCACAGGAGATTACGTAAACAGTTATCACATCTCCCGGAATTTCCAGCTCCTTGCGGTGTAATTCTATAGATCGATCAAGGTGAGTCTCAGTGACACAGACAATAACATGATCAGATGTCAGATAATTTGTCTCTTTGGCTCCGAATGTTAAGACGAAAGAAATATTGATTTGTTATTTTGGTTGAGGATGGAGGGGGGGGGTGGGGTAAGGGAGGGGGGGAGGGAGGGGGGGGGGTAAGGGAGGGGGGTAAGGGAGGGGGGGCTTTAAGGAATGATAGACAGAGGTTATGATGACAGGACAGATAGAAGGCGAGACAGAAGAAAATATAAAGTGAGGACGTACAAAAAGTTTCAACGTTAAGATAATACACCAGAGACGGTTCACCCGATGGTGTGTGTCTTATAGTACACAATATCATGTGACACGAATACGTATCACTAATTAATTTTGTAGATGTACATAGTTTGGGACATTTACATCCCGATGATTGGGCAGTTTACTAGATTTGATTTTATAAATGCTATATTACATTTCGAATAAAACAAGAAAAACAAAATACCATACAGCAAACCAGATACATTACGATACACATACACGTTTTAATATCATTTAGAGCTATATACAGTAGAACCAAACAATTATTGAACAAAACTGCATAATACAGCTGTTTCGTCCTTATAGGAGGAGTGATGCTATGGGCCTAAAGTTTGAAGGCTAGGAGGCGACTTAGAACAATCGAAAATGAAAGAAAGAAATGTCAAAAATTAGTTGGGGAGGTAATTAAATAAATTTTGTAATTTTGGTATAAGAATCTGACAATTTAGAACGTCAAGTACATGTGCATATTCTCAGCCATGCCACTATCCGAATGAATTAAAAACCACCCTGGAGCTGCATATTCTAGTGTCGGTCTGACAAAGGTGCAATGCATGTAGATCTTGACTCTTGAAGTGTTGATGTTCCTTCTTAGGAATCTCGGAGTACGATGTTTTACCGCCACACTGGTTCATAGACTTGTTCCAGGCGAGGTCCTTGTTGATGGGCACTCTCAGGTACTTTCCACTGTCGATCACTTCAAGTTCGTGTTCATGCAGGGTATATGATGTTAGAAACTGTTGTCTCCTGCCCGAGATCCTGATGACTGCACTTCTCCCACTCTTCCAGTGAGTTGTTATCATTCTGTAGCAGTGCATGGGCATCACTTTGTGATATAATGCTGCAGTGAAACAGGAGACAGTTGTGCGAATTATCTGGCATCTGATGATGTTGATTAGGCAAGTTGTTGATGTTGGCTAAGAAAAGTACTGTTCACCGGGGGAAGGAGGACCCCTTGACCATGTGACACCTGGGGGACCCTAAGATGACATCTCGTGGAGGTCAGAACTCAAGTATAGCTTGTGGCTATATGGCTATCCATCGGATGTGATGTAGGCACATCCTTATCTTAATATATTTATATAGATATGTGATTTTACAGGAATTAACCGACCAATCATCTACAATCACAAAATAATTATTAAATGAGGAACTTAGAAGTATACCAATACATTGTAAATAAATCCGCCATGAACCGATAATTCATGCGGAACTTACTAAACAGGACCTTCTCAATGTTACAAAAAGCACAGAATCAAATATTAACTCAGCGCAAAAAGTTACTGATGTCATTTTTTAAAAAATATTTATTTTAAAATATATTTCTGTGTTATTTTAAAGAAATATTGAAACCAGCTGCTGCTGACAGAGACTTTTAATGTAAAAGGTGCACAGTAGACAACTATAGGGAGTATCCGTCTGGCTAGTTACACATATCCGTCTGACTAGTTACAAATAACAAATATGATAAAATATTAACGGAGATGTCTACATCAAAGATTTTTCTGAATTTTCTGCGGGCCCTATATTTGTATCTACGTTCAACTTAAGACACTAAGTCAATACATTCTGTTTTATAAACGCGATCATTTAGTCTAAAATCCAGTTGCTTCCCTTAGACTAGTTTATTTTCGCAAAAAAATATATTTCGGTAAAATAGAATGAATATGAAATAACCCGTGAGGCTAAATACATGTACTTTGTATAACCAGTGATATTCGCGATACTAACCGTGACACAATACTGAAACTAGTCCCTACCAAGATAGATAATCGTGATACTAACCGGGACACAATACTGAAACCAGCTCCTACCAATATAGGTAATCGTGATACTAACCGTGACACAATACTGAAACTAGTCCCTACCAATATAGATAATCGTGATACTAACCGTGACACAATACTGAAACTAGTCCCTACCAATATAGATAATCGTGATACTAACCGGGACACAATACTGAAACTAGTCCCTACCAATATAGGTAATCGTGATACTAAGCGTGACACAATACTGAAACTAGTCCCTACCAATATAGATAATCGTGATACTAACCGGGACACAATACTGAAACTAGTCCCTACCAAGATAGATAATCGTGATACTAACCGGGACACAATACTGAAACCAGCTCCTACCAATATAGGTAATCGTGATACTAACCGTGACACAATACTGAAACTAGTCCCTACCAATATAGATAATCGTGATACTCACCGGGACACAATACTGAAACTAG